TAACACGCGTGCACCAGTCGACATAACCTCCCTCTCCATGCAACAGCTCTCGCAAATAAAAAAGCAGTTCGAAGACGAGCTGACCCATCTCTCAAATTCATTCACACAGTTACGAGCAGCGCAGGTCAAGTTCAGGGAATGTCTACGGTCGATCGAGTTGGGTGTCTCGGGGAAGGTGAAAGGTTTGTGCTGGCTGCCTAAGAGTAAAGAAAGGGGGGGATTAAGGGCTAATGGTTGTCTGGAAAATAGGCAAGCCGATATTGGTCCCTCTTACGGCATCACTGTATGTACCGGGAACGTTGGCGGATACAGAGAATGTGATTGTGGATGTTGGGACTGGGTTTTATGTTGAGAAGGTGTGTAGTGGCTATAGAGGCGATGGCTCTTGCTAATACGATTTGCAGAGTACGAAAGACGCGACGGGATTCTACGAAAGTAAGGTGGAGGATCTGGCAGTGAATCTAAAGGCTTTGGAGAAAATATTACAAGAAAAGAATGATGGTTTACGGATGATTGAAGATGGTCAGTATCACTGCTCTCAACGGTATAAGACAACTCATGCTAATCTCATTTTATTGCAGTGTTACGGCAGAAAGTTATCAGCTCTGGTACTACTTCTTCTGCATCGTGATGCCATCTTGGAAAACGGCAAAGTACGTCTGAGTACAGTCGCTAGCGGGTAGAAGGCAATGATATGCTAGAAGGGAGACATGAATGCCGAGTTGAAAATCCCACAAAACTGGAGAAGGTTCAGCCAAGTTTCGAACCCATGGAAAGCTAATGCTGTATCGTATTTGGTGGTGGGAAGATGGTTCATAATTGGGAGCCAAACCGACTGCCTTGAAAAGATTTCGTAGGCAAAATGTGACGACTAGGCGCTTGTCGCGAGCCATTCACAGGTGTCAAACATGTTTCGGCACGCATCGCTCAGGTCGCTTTGAATTTCTCCAACCTCATGGAAAAATTGTTCTATACCCGTCTTATCTCTTGTGCCGTTACTGAAAAGTGGTGAGAGGAATTCGTCCCCTTCCCAGTCACGCACATCTGTTGTCTCTGCCAATTGCCACTCCCAGTCCTGGTGGAACATGGAAACGCTGGTCTCGACTACTGGTTCGATCTTTGTATTGCGGCCCTGCCATGTTCGATAGATGCTGATCTCGACAACAGATCCTGAATCAATAATCCTATATTGAATTGTGCTCCGGAGTATGATTGAATTGATCTGGATATTATACGGCGCTCCTGGACGCACGTCAGGGTATGGTGCTCCCAGTAAATCCATTCGATCTGTGGTTTCGGGAGTCAAGCAGCTTTCAATAAGTGCACTCCATGAAGGGTCTGGATTGGCGATCTGGTTATCGGTGATGAGTTCTAAAGCCCAGTCAACCTTCCTAAAGAGCAGATTAGTATCGCAAATTACCAGGAGGCAGGCTTGATTCATACCTTTCGATATCGATTGTTACCATCTCAAGATGCTTATTTCTCCTATTATCCCAATAATGCCTTGTTGCACCCAGCTGGTATATGCCAGGATCACCGTGCTCTTCGTTTGCTTCGACTCTGTCAAAATCTGCCTCACTTCTAACAGGAACGCCTTGACTAGTTTGGAAGAGGAGACAAAGGCTGTTCGTAAATTTAACCTGTTCCAAGGCACTTTGATCTCCATTTACTGGACCATATCTCTCGGGCCAATCGAGGATCTTTCTCATCATCAAAATCGCTATCTGAGGTTCCGGGAGCCTAGAAATGTTAGCTTCCAACTTGTATTATTAAGCCCACGACCTACTTCTTGTCAAAATTTGCAGAAGCCTGCGCTCGCGGCAAATTTACAATCTCTCCCAGTCTTTGAAAGGTTCCACCTTCCCTGAAATCTTTCGGGTATTTGGCCATGGTGTGGTGACCAAAATGAACTCTCAAACGCATCCAACCCCTGTGTGGGGCTAGATCCAGAATATGCCTAATTAAATGGGAATGAAACCTAGTAAAGTTGTCGTCGATGATTTCTTTACGGAGAATTTTCCATTTTTCCTTTTCTTTGCGGGTGAGTTCAGGTCCAACCATCTGAACCATCACAAGACCAGGGCGATATTCCACTGGCAGAAGGACCGATCTCATTCCGCTTACAGTAGGAGGCGTCAAAATGTAGAACGGATCTCCTGACCGAGATCGGGCCTTCGCACTTTTATAATATTGTCTGACCTCTTCTAGGGCGTTCAACAGATTAGATTCGACTTTGGAAGACTTTCCAGCTTTGACGACCAGGCACTTCGTATTAGCATCCCACTCAATGAAGACTCTATGCTGAAGCTTGATGGGATTGAGATCTTCAAGCTTGAGTCCGAATAAGTCTGTAGGAGTTCGAGCCTTGTCTGGCCAGAGATAAAACCCCTATGAAATGTAAGCTCTTACATCAGAGCCGGCGAGAGAATGATTTATTTGCTTACATATATAATAATATCAACGTCTTGATCGTGTCCCTTGATGAGCTTTTCCTTATCTGCCTCCATTTCGATATTGATCGCGTGCTGGATAGACTGCCGGGTAGTGACCAAGCCTGGAGGTGTAGGCCATACTTGTGACCGGATGGCCAGGCGCGGATTAGGGAGCCTAGCACTGCTCGAGGCACCCGGGAAGCCTCTGCGTTTCTCTCTTTGGTCGGTGGTACGTAGAGACAGGTTTGGCATGCTCTGAACGCTGCCTCGCCGCTCGCTGATACGTGGCTCAGGGTTTGGCTGGCTCTGGCGGATATGGAGTGTGCTAACCTCCCTGTCTCGTCTTTGGACTCCCTTTTGTTGCTCTCTCGGTTGCTGTATGTTGGACTGGGTTTGATGGAGGTTGGATTTTGAATTGCCCTCATTTCGTCGTTGTTGCGCTTTGGGTTGCCTCTGTAGCCGCCCTCCCCGTTGTGGACCACCCCGTGGCGAACTCAGAAAGGGATTTTGAGCGGGATCAGTGATACCGGGTGGTCGGAAAACTGAAGACGCTTGGAGAACTCGTGCATTTTCAGAGGAATTGTCAAAAATGAGCTGGACTCCATCGGATCCAGATTCAGATAGAGCAGCGTCCTCCGCGTTCGTGGTCACATCGGACTCCTCTGCCCATACTGAAGAATGTTACTACTGTTGTAATGATCAGGTTTGAGAGACTTACATTGCGCGTTGTATTTCTCGAAGCTGAGTAGCAAAGGTCAGTGTTGGCCTGTTGAAGGTGAAGTTGAGAGAAACGTACTCGCGAGCTCGTGTCATATTGCCGTCCTCGCAAATCTTCTTTCAATACTACTTAGTAAACCCGCAATTGTTACAGTGGTCAGTACAAAAGTATTGGAATGCGCAATAACTTCTTGAAATTGGTCCACGACGCAGTTGAGTAGTGAATTGTCAACGAGAAAACTTTAGATCGAGAAATAAAGAAATAGGTAGGTGCGTTCAGCCTCGTCTGTTTTATGGCAATAAACACCGCTTTCAGCTGGAAGCATCCTCCTCTATTCTCTGCTCTTAGGATCTTCTTCCATAAGCTCGTAAAATAATATGATAACCTAGTAGCAAGCTGTCATTGAAGGTGCCGAAGATCATCACACTGCAATTCGGTTACCGCTTTGACAAATAAGAGAAGTAATGAATTCGAGAGCATAACGCGAAACCGAGAAACTGTCGTATAATATCTGAAAGAATATAGAGTTGTTGAGAGCAAAGGGGCCTGATATATATACTATTCAGAGGAATACAAGCACTGGCCCATCTATATGATCTTCCCCTCAGCCCGAAATTGCTTGATACGACTGATTATCTCTTCAATGTCCTTCCAGATCCTAAGCCGATTGTGTAAACCCTTCAAATCCTTCCAATTAACGGCAATGTCACAATACAGCTGATACCAGTTAGTCTGAGACCGAGGGAGCTTCAACGGCGTCCATTCTGTATACACATCCTTAGATGTCACGGCCCAATCATCGAAAGTAGGCTCAGCAGCACACCCTAAGAAGGACGGGAAGTCAGCGATTCTTCTTCAGAAGAGTTTCAGGAGCACAGTAACGTCTCAACAGGTGCTCTGAAATCATGACCACGATTCCCGAAACATGATAAATCAGGAACTAAATGAAATTATCGTTATGCTTACAATCGTCAAATATCTCTGGCATGTCGGCCTTGATTATGGAACGGTATCCTTGAAGCTCGGCCTCGAATTTAGGTCTTACATATTTCTCAGCGATAATATCGGTGATAGATACTGAAGCCCAGTAAGAAGGTTTTTCATCAGACCAGACCTCCCAGAGCCAGGGCATTTCTTTCCTCAGCAGGTTGTACCACAAAGAAATTCGCAGTTGACGAAAGACCCGTGAGGATAAACGCAAATTTGCAATGTCCTGTGAACTGAGAAGCTCCACGATGTTGTCGGTGATTTCTCGAGGTAACTTCAGGAATGGATCTAATGATGGAACCGAGGAAGAGGCATCCAATGCTAGTTGCGGGACGACGAAGGCTCCATCTTGCGGGCTGAAGGACAGTTGAACCTGAATAGCGGAGCGTAAAATAGGCTCAAGGGCCGGTACAAATACTGGGTTTGCAGCTAGAAACTCATCTCCCTCGTTGTGAATCCACTCTTGGTCTAATCCGCGGCGAACAGCTGGATCACGAGGAAAATCGCCCCATCCTGGAGGTTGAAAGAAGATATTGCGCCAATTCATAAGTCCGTTGACATCAATTTGACCAAAATGAAGTTTTGATAATCGTTTGAAGATCTCGAAGCAAGTTGGATGGAAAGGCATTACGGTTCCTGCTGGCTAGAAGTGCAAGCAGTAGTCAGAGTTTGAACAATACAACCTATGCGACGCGAACCAAGATCACTTACTCCAAATGCATAGTAATTTACATTAAGCTCATCAACTTGATGTCTAGGCATAATAACCTCGGGGTTTGCCTCATCAGTAGAGGGCATCTGTGGAGCTAGTCCAGAGAGGAAGTAGTTACTATGTATCTCAAAATCTTCGTCATCTCGCTCTTGGGTCCAATAACTACCCTTCGGGACTAGAGATCTATCAAAAATGTGTCAGTTTCTTTCGTTGGGTAATTGTAGATACCTTATAAATCGACATGTGAGATTTTGAGACGACTTAGTGCACCGATTTCAGCTAGGTAACCCCATATGGAAAATATTCTCGTCCGATAGCGCAGAAACCCCCAGCTAAATTTGGAGCAATGTCGCATCTTATATGCCAACTTGGCAAATCCAAACCAATACTGAATACATCAGAGACTCACTCACTGGACTGTAGTGCAACGTTCCATTTCTTCAAATGATATGTTTTGAGCTTTGTACCCACGTGTGTGCTGGCAACCAGGACCGGCGATATGTTCATCTGGAAAGTTAGCAGCATTTCCAAAAAAGGTTCTACTCTCATAGAGCTTCCATATCTTCCTAACCCAGAGCTAGAGAAAGGCTTGTGTCCAACACCTTGGGGTGGTTGAGCTCCCGCACACGCCTGAATGTAGAAATAACACAGCCGCCTGAAATGAGAAATGCTGGCTATTAATGGCTTTTATATACAAAAGGGAATACTGTGGCCAGAAGCAAAGTTTTGGTAACACATACTAGGGTTATCGTCATTCTCTTCGTCCTGCGCTGTGGAGGCTTTGATTGGCATAAAAATATCTCTTTGCTTCTCTCCTTGTCGTAGCTTGATGGGAAGTACTCTTTCCAGAACACGCTCGTCATTCTCTTGATAGAAGTTCTCTGGATCACCACGTTCGCTGTCGCTGCCATCCGAATCATATTCCAAAACCTCGTCATCTTCATCGCTCTCGTATTCATAAGTCGAGTCAGTTGCTTCATCGTAATCTGGGTACCTGCAATACTAGTCAGTACTACTCAATCAAACTTATTCAAAGTTTCGGCAGTTTATCAATATTTCAGGACGTGTGAACCATTAAAAGGGGGCATTTGACGCTCGGAAATAAGGACGCCTGAGAGGTCACTTGCCATTCTTCATCATTGGCCTCTTGCCCACTCTTCAGAGCTGAATACCTCTTCCATCTCTCGTTTCTCGATTTCCTGAGTGCAAGACAACAGCCGGTCTCGGGCCCGCAATCATCCTGTGAACTATAAACATCTTCCTCAACAAACGTATCACCTCCGGGCCATCCTTGTGGACGCCATGCAGCTGCTTGAGGTTCTTCAGCACTCCGAACTCGACCGAGACAAAAGCTGACCCCGCAGAGCTGACAAGGTAACTGAAGGGAAGCGAATCAGTGAGCTGGACATAATGTATAATATAAGGATTTTGTGCTAAATCAGACTCGTGGTTAAAGGCATATTAGTAACAACAAGCCCCGGTAATTCCAGACGCTTCACATGGATAGATAGACGTTTCTTTAGCCAGAAGTAGTCTTAGTTCCCCACTTGAGGTGGAACATTGTATTCGGCGGTGTATGCGGGAGAAACTCGTACATGCCTCTGAATAGCCTAAAGCAAAGCATAGTATTAGAAAGAGAATAGGGATGACACATATGCTATGCAAGCTTACCCATGATTTCTCCTTTCCTGCAATGGGGTAGAAAGGCTGCCAAGTAATATGAATTATAGTGTCTTTGATTTGAAGAAGTGGAAGTCTTACCTACCCGAGCTACCTTGGGTTCCCCTGAATACGGCGAGCGGAATGAGCCAGTCTCACATTTTTGGCACAACGCGTCGACCGACGACGCGACTTGAGGAAACAATTCATGCAAGCACTTTAAGAAATCACAGCAGCCGGGAAACACCGCAGCAACATTACGACTTTTGCCTTCAATATGCCTCCAAAGGCCACCACATTAACTCCACGGCAGAAACGCAATAACAAGACCGAGTTGGCAAACAAGCTCGCCGAAGCAGCGCTTAACGGGGATAGTGACAGCTCGGAAGGGGAATCAGATGAAGAGATCGAGCAGTGGGAGCGAATTTACGAGACGAACAATGCATACAACTCGGATAATGAAGCAGGTTCTTCTAGGAAACGGCGGGGAAAGCAAGCAAAACCCACCACGAAGGAGCCGAATATAATCGGTGCGAGGAGAAGAGATGATGGACTCGAATGCAGAGTGGGAGATTGTGTTTTGTTGAAGGCTGCAGATGGTTCTGTTCCCTGGGTAGGGATGATTATGCAATTTACAGGAGCGGATGAAGATGGGGATGATTGTGCAAACTTTCTATGTAAGGACACACAGTAGACCCTCCGGTTTTCGCGAACAGACTATTGACAATGTCTAGGGTTTTGTAATGAGAAGGAGATTCAACACAAGGCCAAGAAGAGGGGGGATTTCCTTCCCGTAATATACCCGCGGAAAACTTTGAAGTGGCATGCTAACAAGTATAGAATGAGAGGTATATCACTACAGGCTGGGATGAGAGTCCGCTGGAATCGATTATTGAAAAGGCAACAATTCTGACAGAATCGGAATTTGCTGCCAGATTTCCTAAAGGGACAATTCCGCGTAAGTCGGTTTACTTCGGAAAAGTATTTGTATGCCGTCGAGGCTGCAACCTAAAGTCAACGACCTACAGCGAAGAGTTTTCGTGGAAGGATATAGCCCATGATACTGAAGACGATGTTATTCGGTTGATTGAAAAATTGAAATCTGAGACGAAAGCTACCAAGAAACCGCGGTTAGATAAACGCAAAAGAGGAGACGACGAGTTTGATCTCAAAGATGAGGCTGGTGACGAGCCTGGAACTCCTAAGAAAAAGCACAAAACATTTACTGTATCAACACCTCGAAAGCCTCGTACTCCTTCAAAACTTCTAACGCCTAGTCATAAAAGGTAAGTAGCATCTGACCAGCAGACATCTCTTCACAAACTGATGGTATGCAGGGTCATCGTTAAGAAGCCTCTCGAATTTACACCTCTTGGAACCCGGGTCCTGGATGCTGATCACGTCTACTCCTCGCCATTTCAGACTGCACGCTCAAGACTTCATGTCTCTTCAGTTCCTACCAGTCTTCCTTGTAGAGAAGATGAATTCGCTTCTGTATATTCCCATCTGGAGGCAGCGATATACGAAGGCACAGGCGCATGCATTTATATTTCAGGAACCCCTGGTACAGGGAAGACAGCCACTGTCCGTGAAGTCGTTGCCCAACTGAATGCAGCGTCTGAAGCGGAAGAGCTTGACTACTTCACATTTGTAGAGATCAACGGCATGAAAGTCACTGATCCCCATCAATCGTATTCGCTGCTTTGGGAAGCATTGAAGGGGGATCGTGTGAGTCCTTCACATGCTCTAGATCTTCTAGAGAGAGAGTTCAACCACCCAAGTCCCAGACGAACACCATGTGTTGTATTAATGGACGAATTAGACCAATTGGTCACCAAGAACCAGAGTGTCATGTACAATTTCTTCAACTGGCCAGGCCTTAGACACAGTAAACTGATCGTGCTCGCTGTGGCAAATACAATGGATCTGCCCGAACGAACTTTAAGCAACAAGATCAGTAGTCGACTCGGTAAGAACCCCTTTCCAAATATTTATGCTGACACCCAGCTAACACTCCCTCACCAGGTCTAACCCGGATAACCTTCGCCGGCTACACGCATGAACAGCTAATGAAAATAATACAATCCCGCCTCGAAGGCGTTCCCGGCGACATCGTAACCTCCGATGCCATCCAATTTGCCTCCCGAAAGGTAGCAGCCGTATCCGGCGACGCCCGACGTGCCCTCGATATCTGCCGGCGCGCCGTCGAGCTCGCGGAATCGGAAACATTATCCATTCCCGCTCCTAACACGCCTTCAAAGAGTGGCAAAGGTGTAGAAAAGATGTCGAAATCTCTAGGCATTGTAACAATAGCGACAGTGAAGAAAGCAATCAATGAGGCGACGACTAGTCCGTTGCAGCAGTATCTGAGAGGCTTGCCGCTCTCGGCGAAGATATTACTTGCAGCGCTGATGGCGAAGACGAGACGGACAGGCATTGCGGAGAGTGTGTTGGGAGATGTTTTGGATGAGGCGAGGAGGATGGCCAAGATGGATACTAGTGGTCAGACGTTGGAGTATCTCATGAAACCTGACTCGATTGTCTCTACAAAGGGGATGGTTGTCAAACAGCCTATGAAGGCGCCGCGTGTCCTAGCCATGGGAATGTGTGCTGTAGATTTAATGGAGGCCGGGATTATTGGATTAGAAGCTAGAAAGGCTGATCGTACGGGGAAAATACGTTTGAGTATTGGAGATGAGGACTTGAAGCTTGCGTTCAAGGATGATCCCGAGATCAAGAGTTTGGGATTTACGGCGTAGATACCATGGTAGATAAAATACAATTGTATAATTGTGTCAATTTGATGACTGATCCTAATCCTACAAGAACGCCATTCGCCTTTCATAACCCCTTTTCAGTAATACTAAAACTTTTGTCTGCCCAGAGTAGGTTTCCACTCCAGCGGGTGTGTTTCCGGAGTTGCTGTCTCATCTTGTTTCCATACTTTGATCGTCTTGTCGGCTTCCCCGCATATTAATCGAAGCCCAGTCTTGTCAAATGTAGAACTCATGAGTCCTGATTCGGCCTCCAGCGAACCAGGCTGAGCAGTAGTATCTAGAGCTTGGAATCTGTGACCCGATTTCCAATCCCAAAAACTCATCGATCCATTGTCTCCACCTGAGAAAAGAACGTTATCCTCGTTGACGGACATGGTATTAATAATCGAGTTTTGGCCTTCGAAATTTTGCATGAAAGCGCCTTCGGGACACTTCCATTGCTTGATGCTCCCTGTACTACCAGAAGCAAAGGTAAACTCCTTCGGATGAACAGCTAGAGCTCTTACACCCTTCTTGTGATGTGTGAGCACACCCATTGTCTTTCCTGCCGCAAGATCCCATAATCGTACGGTCGAGTCGAGGGACGCAGTGATGACTTGGGGATCCGCCTCTTGACACTTAAGTTCTGATACTGTGCCCTTGTGTCCAGCGAGAACGTGTATGTTGCTTCTAGTCCGCATATCCCAAACTCTGGCAACACCATCACGACCGCCCGTAACCAGTACATCTAGAGTAGGATGTAGTGCCAGTGTATAGACACCACTCAGATGGCCGTGATAATGCCTAATAACCTTATTCGTTTCCAAATCCCAACACTTCACCATCTTATCCTCTCCACAAGAGAAAAGATACGGATGCCTTGGCGACACAGCAAGGCCCCTGACCGTCGAAATATGCCCCGTCAAAGTCAACTTGAGATTCCCAGTCGCAAGATCCCAAATCTTAATCGTCCTATCTCCAGCACCACTTGCAAACCACTTGTTCTCCGGCTCAACAGCCAGACTTCTCACCCATCCCAAATGTCCAGAAATAACCCGCATAAGCTTCCAAGGCGCGTGCCATTCCGGCTTGACCTGCACGACCGTTTGCTTGCGAACCAGACTCGAAGACGGAAGGTTCTTTTGCGTCGTCGGTCCATTCGCATTCGGCGGCGCGCTACCATCCGCTCCCCCACGCCCTCTCAAAAGCGTCAAAGCCGTAGATGAGCCTCCCTTCGTTTCCCTCGACGACACCACGCCCTCTATAAGCTTCGTCGTCTTCGCGTCGCCCATTCCTTCGTCTGCGGGCGCAATCTTGGCCTTCTTTCTCGGTCCACCAACACTCGCCATCTTCGCCGCAAGAACAGGCGGCAGCTCTCTGACATCGTCGTATTCGGCGCGGATGCGTGACGCTATTGAGAGTCGTTCGGCTGCTTCTGTGACGTGTGCTTCATCTTGCTTTGCGCTTCCTGCGAAGAGAGCTCGAGATCGTTTCGCGTTTTGTTGGATTAGTCCCTTCAAGTGACTAACTTCGACATCAGCGGTTGGGGTGACTGCCGTAGACATTTTGTCGAAGTTATAATGGCTGAGAAAGTGGTGGATGGATTTTGAGCTGCAGTCAAGAAGCTTTATTTTCGCAGCCTTGCGTTTCCACAGGACTCAGGGCGACCTTTCCTCATTCGGCAGTATTTTGCCCCTCATATACGAGGCAGGAACGTATCAGGCTGGCGGACTTACGAGTACACTTACACTCAACGAAACAACTTTATCTGACTTCAAAAATACTTTCTCGGTTCTGAGCTCATAGTTAGGCATCATGGAGGAACCTTCAAAGTTCGCCATCCATGAAGCTGCTCGAGATGGTAGAAGTATGAATATCTCATCTTTCAACCCCGCCACCCCTCCTCCCTCGACAAGGGAGTTGCCTTTGCTAATATGAACTATTGAACAGCACTTGTGGTGGAATCTTTATTGAACGTAACAATCATCCAATCTTCATTTGGTTTTGAATAAAACGTACTCACAATCCTACAGGCAAATCCCAAACTGGTCGACCGAAAAGACGACGATGAGCGTTTGCCAATCCACTGGGCCACGTCGTATAATCACTTGGATATTGCCATCCTTCTCTCTGCCGGAAAGAACTTCGATCCTGATGTTCAAGTACGTTTCAATTTCATTAGATCCCACGCCCCATTACTTTCAAACAACTAGCTAACCCCTCCGCCCTAACTCAGGACGGCTCTGGCTGGACACCCCTAATGATCGCCGTATCTCTCAAAGATGGCGAAGAACTAGTCAAGCTCTTCCTCCGCAAAGGAGCAGACGTAAACGCCAAAAGTGCGTCTAGTCCCGTCCTCTGCCGCCCCCTCCCAAAATCCCCATCACTAACCCTTTTGAAATCCCAGCTTTCAGCGGCCAAGTACTACCTACTATCTTCTCCCCATGTTCTCCTTCCTTTCCTAACCAAAAACCCACACATAGACAGCACTTCACTTCACCGCCTCGAAAAACAACCTCGACGTCGCTCGCACCCTGCTAGACAGCAAACCGCCCGCCTCAGTCCGTGTCAAAGACAAGCGGGGTGTATACCCGATCCACCGCGCTGCGGCAGTAGGAAGCGTGCCTATGGTCGAGCTGTTTATCAAGCATAGGAGTCCATTGAATGCCAGTGATGATGCGGGACAGACACCGCTGCATCATGCGGTTGCTGAGGGTCATGGTACTTATTTACTTCTTTACCTGCCCCCTTTTTACTTATGAATGAGTGAATGAAGCTTTGATCCAGTGAGAAAGTGTGATTTGACTGAACTGACGAGGATAACAGGAGATACGGCAGTAGCGCTGCTGAAGGCGGGAGCGGAGACGGATAAGAAAGATGGTGATGGGCATACGGCGCTGGAATTGGCTCCTGATGCTCAGGTATGTGCTTTCTCTGCTCGATATGGAAGGAGAGGAGAAAGGGAGAAGGTGCTGACTCAATTTGGAGCAGGTCAAAAAATACATCGTACAATCCGCGGAGCGCGAGGGCATAGAGTTATAACATAACACATTGACATAAAGTTCTCTCATCCAAAAATAATACCCTTACAAATATCTTATCTACAAAGTAAAGTATAGCGCCGCGCTACCTTCTAAACTCCTTATGGCATCCCCTTGAATTCCCTTAGAAGAGTTCTCCCATTTGGCCTGATAATTTCACTTCTCTCGCAGAAATTCATTTCACGGTTCGCTCAACCAGCTCCCTATACATGGCCTTAATATCATCAATATCACTCCTCAACTCATCCACCATCTCGCTTTTCTCCCCCAGCATCTCAAGCGTAGTCTGGTACCTATCATTCATACTCCCCATTTCCTTCTCCAGCTCTCCCACCTTGGTTTCCGCATCGCGCTTAGCCTGCACTTCCCTCATCAGCGCTACAATCTCAGCACGCGCTTCATCGCGCTGTGCGGAGAGGCGCGCGAGGTCTTCTTTCGTGGCTTCCTTTTCGCTTTCCAAGCGTCGCACTGCGGAACTCATACGCTCGACGAGTTGTACGGTCGGGCCTGCGCCGGCTGTGGATACAGATACCATATCGTTAATGGTCTGGTGCGGGGACGTCGAGATATTGTTCTCGAAGAAATCATCTTGATCATGGTCCGTGGTATGGATCGAGGGCGTATCTGCGCATTCACCATTGTCTTTATATGATTGTGCCGAATCCTGTCTTGTTGGTGTTCCATTCCCTGAGATGCGGCCAAGAGGTAGGATTGAAGGGCGATGACCCTGGAAAGCGCTGGGTTGGTCGCTACTTGTTATGGATCGAGCTGAGTTTCGCTTCATTTGTAGATTTTGTAGTCCTAGGAACTCGGTTGTTAAGCCTCTTCGCTGGGATGGTACGGGTGATTCTGCACGGCTGTGTCCAAGAGAGCCAGAAGCTTCTTCTTGCCATTTATGCCTCTCTTCTTCAACACGCTGCAGTAATTCCATCTGCCAAGCTTGCTTCTCTTGGTCAAATACAGTCCGGGCTTCAATTAATGCGGACTCTGAAGCTTCTGCTTTCTTTTGCAAAGTATCGAGTTTAGACTTGTATTCCGCAAGCTCTTGTTCGAAACTGGGTAGCTTGGATCTGGTTTCTTCTAATTCGTCTTCATTCCGCTTGGCTTTCAAAGTCTGCGCGCATTAGTAAAGGATCTATGAAAACATATACAATTATTGACATACCACTTCTCGAGCCTTCCGCCGTATATCGGCTTCCCTTTTTGCAGCTTCGTCCCTCTCCTTCTCCAGGTTCGTCGCCCGCGCAACCAGGGATGCCTCAATGCCTTGCCAATTCTCACTGGCTACCGCGTACTGACTTTGGAGAGTCTCAATCTGCCGCAATAGTTTCGCCTGTGCATCGCCAGTAGTACCGGACGATACCTCTTCTGCTCTCGCCCTCATGACTTCTAGCTTACTTTCTAACATCTGTTGCTCTGTCTTCATCTCTAATTCAGCCACGCGTGCACGCTCGGCGTCTTTATCCATCTTCTCCCTAAGTTCTCTGATCTGAGACTGACTTCTATCGGAAACGAGACTCTTCTCGATGGACAGATTTGCAAGATCTTCTTCAAGATCCGCAACCTTCCTTCTCTCGACATCCAGCGCTTCATTGGCCCGCTTATTTTCGGCCTCCTTTTCCTGGGTTGCAGCCTCCTCTAGCTGCTGTCTCAGGTCAGCAATCGTAGAATCCTTCGCATCTCTCTCGGACTTTAGAGATTCTACATCTCTCTGTAGCTGAGCGATCTGCTTTTGTTTCTCGCCCAGTTGCCTTTCTGATGCTTGAGCTCGTTTCAGACGTTGCGTGACACTGGCAGCATCCTTTTCGGCTTTCTCTTGATTCGCCTTTGCCTCGGATATCTCCTTGTTGTTCTCTTGGATCTTTGCTCGCAACTTTTTAATTGTAGTCATGTGAGTAAGTTCCTTCTTAGAAAGTGATTGTCCCTCTTCCATGAGCAAAGCAACCTGTTGCTCTTTATCCGCCAGCTTCTTCTCCAGGCTACCTGCAGGTGCAGCGGAGCTAGCTTTTCGAGCGGCTTCCACGCTTTCTTTTGCAAGGTATTGTAGTTTTGATTGTAAAGCATCGATGCGTTCGATATAATCATGAACCTCTTCCTGCCGTTGCAACTCAGACTTTTCGAAATCTGATTGGAGTTGTTTAAGGAGAGCATCATAGTCTTCGGGTGACTTCAGGGCTGCCTCTACCGTCTCAAGTAGCTCCGTGTCATGTACTTCTGAAGATGATCGAGGCAAAGAACCTTGCGTCCTCGTTGAGTCCGTAGATGCCCTCGGTATGCTTGATCGTGTAGATTCGCCAGATGGTCGTGGCGATGCTTCCGCTTCTGCCTTTGTTCCAAGACCGTTCGTCTCTACCTGCGTGTCCATCGGCCGGATCCGCGGACTCCCTGGTTGCACTGCGATTGAAGGAGTGTCTACTGAGGGCCTTGATTCAAGTTGATTATCGTCGCCCGTAGGTTCGGAAGCAGCCCTATCCCCAGCATCTTTGCTATCAACACTCCGCGATCCAACATCTGTACTCTGTCTTGGGCTATTCGTTGCGGTGACTGGACTCCCGGTTCGCGAAGGTGTAGCTGATAGGACAGGAGAATCTACTTTCTCTCCTTTCTGTGTGGAGTTCTTTGCTGCTATTGCCCTTGCTAATCGTTCTTGTAATCGATCGTTGGTTCTATTACTTGTAGACGAGGTCTGAGAGACGCCTATGCATAGAATTAGTTTCAGGACTACTTTCTCAGTAAACGAAAGGGTAGAAATTACTCTCGGCTTTTGCGGTATTTGCAGTAGTCGATGTAGGAGTAGGCTTTTTAGCTGGAGTTGGAGCTATAGCCTCGTCGCCCTCAGCTAGGATATTGTCTAGTCGCGATTCTACCCCCGCAACAGCCTGCTGTAGAAATGATCCCCATCGGGAGGAGCTTTGTTTCGAGGGAGCTGCCATGGCTCATTGGCAATTCCTGTCTCCTGCGTTCAGAGGCGCGCGTCGCGTTGGTCGAAGTTGCGCCGGAACGTACATGTCACAGATGATTTCATAGGCAACGTATCATGACAGCGCCGCTTGAATTCCGGCACGGCGTGGAATTCCGGAGAGGTTCAATTATTGTTGCATAGGTGTCATCTGTTTGACAATCGAGGGAGGGGAGAAAAGTAAAGGAATGGAGGCAAGGGGAGGGATTGCGTGCGTGTTCAAGACCACATTTCTCAAGTTCCAACAGCCTGGCCCACGCTAGTTGTCAAAGCTGATCCATGCAAACACACCAACTCCCACAAGGCTGCTAAATTTAGCAATGCTATATACATAAGTTGTGCTGTATAACAGTTTCTCGTGGGATTTTTTCAACTAACTCTCTCAATACATATATAAATGTTGAACGAGATCTAAAAATAGTTGCATTGAAGGAACTCCATCCCTTCGTATTTGGCAATCACCAGATTTAGGCAACAAGAATCGAGAGGGACAATAACCTTACGAAGCGAGCGCAGGAAGGGAACTGGCTATTAACAATTATGGGATTTTCTTTAGTACAGATGTTGTATCCGGGTATCATGATCTAGTCTATGTAATGTGTTGCAGGGATGACTTTCTCAGCAGACTCTGTCAAACAGACTTTCGGTCCTCTCTCACTACATGACCGTTGCCGCTAGCATAGCCATTGGTGTACCCATTGATGTGTCCATTGTGTCCATTGGATTGGCCATTCATTGAAGAAGCATCTCCCTGAGGATACACTGAGAGTGGAACAACCTCAGGGATTGAGAAAAATATGCTTGGCCATTTGAGCACATATTCATCTTGTCTCTCATTCAAGCAGTGGCGAAGCCAAACTCCCCAAACAAGATAGCAGTAAGCTCCATAGCCTGTCATTAAATGCCTGTGGGCCTATTAGTAAATTCAAAAGAAAGGGAAAATAGACTAACCACCATCCGTGGCCCTCGAGGAGTATTCCCCAAGGCAGACCAATTTGATGTCTCCAACGCCGGACCGTGCCACAGTACTTGATATCCAACGCCCAAATACCGAATCCACCAAGGAAAATCGACAGGCCAATGCCCACCATCAGCCACATCTCGTTCAATATTTTTGTATCTCTCTGTGCATTTGCTAAGCGCTCTGATGTCGACAATCCTTCAAACTTTTGTGATACCGATCCGTATTTCTTTTTGAACGATGGCCGGATGTTCACCTCCATAACGTACATGCTGCGAAAAAGAATAAGAGCTGTGAGTATGGCAAAGGCATTCTGGTGGAAGTCTGGGTCTTGCAGGTAGTGATAATAAAGCTATTGCCCGCAATCTTAGCACGTAATGATAATTTGAGAGAGATGTGACATACTGTAATAAAAATAGCAAGAGAGGCCAATCCGACACCTAACAGCTGGCGCACCAGGCGAGACTGGGAGAAAGAAAATGTTGCATAGCACATAAGGCCTACAAAGACAGGAAAGTCAGCTTTACTTCTTCAATAGATTTCCAAAAAGCAAAAATAAAGTTAAAACCGTTTTCGAAGCTATGTTCTAGAAACATTCTCCGACTTCAGACTTATGCTATAACCAGTAACATGTTGGATCCAGGTTGTCTTACAAGCCGTGTATATCATTGAAAGCTCATCCACGAGCTGCATTGGATCTGTGAGCACGAGTCAGCATCTCAATGGCTTCACAAAAGAGCTAGGATTTTACATTTTAATGTACTATGGAAAGCAAAGCTCCCAACACCAACGAGCAGATCTGCGAAATCATCAGAGTTTCTCTCATGCTAATAATATATTGGAAATCCTTACACCCTGCAAACGCCACCAAGTAAACGCTGTCATGTTCGTACTTTAGACAGTTGCGAATGCCCTTGCTCCCCAGATATACGAAGAGTAGGTTCGTGAGAGTGTTAACTATTTCGGCAGAGTAAATTGTGGCATAATAGTCCTCTGAAATATATATTAGCATTGTAAGCTTGTGATCAATAGAATAATTCCATACCCTCACACCAGTTTATCGTGGAAGTAACGGGCGCCCAATAACCATCCTCTGATTTCGCCCGAGGATACTCGAAGGAGGGCAGTTTGAAACCCATGATGACGGCTGCAACGGGTAATATATGATGCTGAACAAGCAACGCTACTGTGCCTGCATGCCAATATGGATGTATAGAAATTGTGAAGCCCGGCTGTTCGGAATCCTGGGTGTCCGTAGGATGGCTGGCTGTAAGGGAGTTGCACGAAACCTTTGCAACTTCGAAGCTTTGTGTTTGGCAGGATGGGTTACATATATCTTCCGCAGAGGGAAGGCGCCCTTCTTGTAGAGCAAGCCCAGGAGGGAAAGCTCCGATTGCTTAGCTATCCTGGTAAGGCACTTTCTGAATGCGGTAGGATGTCAACTGTAATGGGCCCAGAGCTGCAACGTCATGCATATTAACAATGTGCGGAAACAGCGGGCGCTACTCGTATGATGGATGCATGTTACCGTACCGTTGAGGTCTTTATCAACAGTGGGCAGCAGGAGATTTTTTTAATTTTTTAATTTTTACCTCACCGATCTTTTGCGTCTTTTAAGTCATGGTCTCGAATACTTCCGTATCGACTTTTACTATCTCTTTATAAGGATCCTTTGGGTTTCTAAAAGGATGTGATAGATTTGAATCTCGAATGCGGAACTATCCCCGCAAGATGCCGAACCAATAAAACACTAAGCATACTACCCCTCCACCACGTGACCATGCTCACCTGACTTTTCACGATCGCATCACGAAGTTTTGAAACCGCGTTTAAGCTTCTCCTTTCCACCTACCTAGCTGCATTTCATCATTCGCCCTCTCCCTCCCAAGCTGCGATATACTCGGGCGAGATGTCTATTCCAAACGAAGCTCTCCAAAAGGTAAGTCGTGTTGTGTTGCAGTTCAAAAGCATGACTGGCCTCCTCCCCTCCCTATCGAGATACAACATAGACGCTGATGCTTCACAATATAGCTAGTCCAAGAAATTGAGACTCAAGCAATACAAGCACAACAACAGATCAACACCGTCAAGTCGCAAATCGGCCTCAAGCAGCGCGAGATCCGCATGCTCCAGTTAACCTCCAGCGAGGTATCCACCCTACCATCCGATACACCAGTCTACGAAGGTGTGGGTAAAATGTAACCTAACCATGCGTCTCCTACCTCACTCCCCAAAATATCTTCCTTTTTCACTTCAGTTCACATTCATGCCCAATCTAATCACGGGATCCCAATGCTTACTAACGATTAACAGGTTTGTCTTCAGCCCTATAGCCGAAGTCGACAAGAGGCTGACAACGGAAACTTCGGAGCTGAAAACGGACGTTGAGAATCTGGGGAAGAAGTTATTGTATTTGGAGACTACGCATAAGAATAGTCGCGAGCATATCGATCAGATCTTCAACAGCGGAGGACGAGGTTGAGGTGGGGAGAGCGGACGGGAGGGGAGGGGATAGTGGGAGGATTCATGAGGCTGTTGGCGTAGCGGTCAATGGTGGACCAAGAAGCGTATCCTACGCTGACACTATGCCCGAAAATATGCAAAGTACTCCACAATTAGAAATCCAAGCCTCGGTTTCTAAGGATTCTTGCTTCACCAGCGCAAACCCTTCTACAATGGCGTGGCTTGTGGCTTGTCGATCAGTACAAGTTGGGGTCTAAAAGTATCGACAGGATCAACAGGAAATCCGCGCTTCCTGAAGCACAAACAGAATACTAAAAATACCCATAATCCATATTTTTTATCAAAGTAGCGAAATTTGCTTTCGGGTTTCCTTAAATTATGGCCAATTAGTGGCCAACAACCTTGCGGCCATGAGACGCTTCTTCTTTGGCGTTTGGGGGCCGTTTTGAAGTAGACCACCAACATCCCGGCCAGCTGAGCGACCTTCCTAAAGACCTGGGATTCGCCGCTTCTAATTTCTGAAGCAGCGAGATGATGTTTATCCATGCGGGCCGGTCCAGAGGGCGTATCGCGAGGGGGTATCTTTTTACTTCAAAACATAATCAATAGGACCTCGTTGTCTTACTCGAGTACTGTACTAAAATGCCCGGTGGAAAGTGAAGCATCAAACCAACATGGCATTCTTTAGTCCAACTCTCGCCCGCAGTAGGATAGCAGCAGCAAAGAGACTAATTTTCACTAAGCCCAGAGCTGTAATCCTCCGGAGTCGTTCAAACATGCTCACAGGTTCCATATACGATTGGGAGGCTCGAAAGGTTGGTTTTCTGCACGTCCTGCAGTAGCGGACAACTCCAATACGCATATACGCAAATTCCTTGCCCTTGGAAAAGTAAACTCCACACCTCATCCTGGACTGTGCCGCCTACCAGCTTGAAGAGAAAAGAGGAGAGGGAAGATGTCGGACGGTGAGGAGGCTGGGAATAATTGCTGTAGCTTCGTAAGCTGGACATCCTTGACCATCAAGTGATCAAAGCAGCATTCCTCTCGGTTGCTGTGCTTACGGAGTAAAGTGACGGCGGCACTGGCCTATGTTTTGGCTTCTTGGGTCTATGGTACGGCGTGTACAGAGCCATACGCGGCCCCTGCAGGGCTGATCAAGCAGGGTATGCTTAATGGGCACGTTCACGTTGCCGCAATACTTGGGTAGTCCGTAGATATTCTTTGCGCTTTCCAGTCTCATTTCCCCGAAGCCTTTAAAGTCAGCCCGCACCCACACCTGCTGACACCTGTCCCCTCTGCCACACTCACTTGCAATTATTACTCACAAGAGCATATTATTTGCCTTCTTGGAATAAACCCCTCTCTTCTTATCATCATTTTCGCGTCCATATATATTTCTGTTGTTTGTCGCAAACCGAGAATCAAGTCTAAATTACCAACCTCCGTGCCCCTTATCGCCAAACATCTGCGGGGTCCAAAACTATACATTAGATAGTGGGGGTTCGCACAGCCCTACGCCCTGTTTCTTCGCAAAACAACCACAAGAACTCAAGCATTTGGTAGCCTTGCAGGCATAACTTATTTATTCCAACCCTCAGCCTAGGCCAATCAATATGTCATACTATTCCTACGACGACGATGAGGATCTCGACATCCGCGTGCGCAGAGGCCGAGCATCTCCACACATAACCCCCGTTATCTATCCCGAGCACCGCTATGCGCGTCCCCCAGCGCGTCCCTACTACGACCACCCGAGCGGCAGCGGGTATCTGGTGCCCCAGATGGGCGGCCCCTTGCAGAGATCGCGTTCGACGGGGCATCGAGCGAGTCCGCCGCCACCACCACCACCTCAGCCCATCGTGATCAATAACCGCGTCTACAATGATCTCGACGACGACGAGCACGAGCGCCGGGAATACCTACAGCTGGCTCCTAAGCGATCCCACCACCGCTCGCACTCGCACGCGCACTCGCACTCCCGCTCCCGCTCTCGCTCGCATTCGCGGGCTTCCTCGGGCCATTCCTCGCGCGATAGTATGGATAGGCGGTTGAGGGAGGAGTATGAGATTGAACGCGCACGGGACAAGGCGCGCAGAGAGTACGAGGCGCAGCTGGTTCACACAAGGAGGGAATACGAGTTCGAGAAGTCCAAGACGAAGAAAGATCTCGAGCTAGAGAAGACGCGTAAGGAGCTCGAGGCGTTAAAGCTGGAAGCTGAGCGCGAGGCGGAGGAGAAGCGGCTGAAGAAGGAGATGGAGCTTGCTCGTCTCAAGGAGGAGAGGCGTAAAGCAGAAGAGAAGAAACGTGCCGAAAAGGAAGCGGATGAGGCGGTAGAGAAGTGGAAGAAGAAGGAGGCGGAAAGAGTTGCGAGGGAAAAGAGGGAAGAGGAGGAGGCGATAGAGAGGTTCAAGAGAAAGCAGGCGAGGGAGAAGGAGGAGCAGGAGGAGGCCATGGAGAAGTTCAAGAGAAAGGAGGCAGAGAGGGTTGCGAAGGAGAAGAAGGAGAAGGAGGAGAGGGATAAGGAGTATGATAGGAGGCTAGAGCAGGATCTGAGGAGGTCTGGATTGGATGAGAGGCAGATTGCTGTTATCACCAAAAAGGAGCAGGCCATCGATCCCAACAGACCTACATACACCAGAATGTCCCGCAGACATCTCTCGATCGAAACACTAAACAAGTACAGGATTGACTACACGTTCGATCAGGTAAGAAGAGATCCGGCACGTCCCCTGACAATTGCTAATACCAAACAGGATCCTGACTACATCTTGATCAAACGCTGGGTTCCCGAGTTCGAGCAAGACTTCCTCTGGTCCCACACCAGGGAAATCCGAGAGCGCAGAAGGCCAACATTGATTGCAATTGAAGACCGCAAGCATCACCACAGCGAGCCGGAATTCGAATTCGTCAGAAAGAAGGAGCACAAGAGAAAGCCATCTCCTTCTCCGCTGTTGGCTTACTTGGCTGGTGGCAAAGGTCGCTAAGACGAAAAGGGGTGAATAAAGACAAGGATGAGATTGAAATTTTGGGAGTAATGGGATAGGGTTGGATGATAATGGAGTTAACGAATTATGACCCTCATGAATTTATCTAGCTATTTGCTTCGTCTTGCGTCTTTTTTGAATAGAAAATATCTGCTCAATATCAATGAAAAAACAAGTCGAATGAACAGCAGTGCTTTTTTACTTGCAGCTTGCTTGCAACTACTTCCGTAAAGCTTAATGAGGCAAAGTACTCCGTCCATCCCGACTGAATCAGTGAATAACGCCTGAATACAACCTCAAGCCGCAATAATTTCCCTATAGTGGCAAATTATGACTAGGAAACATGAAAGGCAGCAATATGACCATATTAAACGCCCCCAACGCGGCAGAACTCGATCAGCAGAACCACATTTCTGGAAACCGAGGTTGTACAAGGCTCATATCAAGTGATGCTCTGATCAAGGCTGATGCCCCCTGACAATGCCACCAGAAAGGCGAGGTATTCAAAAGGATTTAATCTGCCCAGAAACCTGACCCCTTGCCTGCTGATTAATATCTGTCGTTCATCCAGAGTGGTATCTCTTCCGTTCCTGTTTATACCAGTCGTAATCTTACAAAACCTGCGTTCCCTGCGTATCCGTCCTCGCAAGGTCTGCCCTCCTAATAAGCTCCTCATACAACGTCCAAGCCAACGCCGAACTAACAGCCTTCCTCCCCATCCGCAATCCCAAACCATCAAACAGACTCTTAAATCCATCATTCCTAACCATAAGCCTCGCCGCATGCCAAATATTCAAATACTTTTTCGGCTGCAGCTGGATCCGCGTCTTAATAGCATCAAACGGATTCGTAAACGCCGTAGCCATTCCCGCCGCCAAAATCCCAGATCCAAAATTTATACTCGCCGACGTGCTTCCCTTCATACCCACTGGAAGTTCACCCGGGATCGGTACTTTTTGAACCAACACACTAAGGCGCTTCTTCAGCTGCTCGTAGAATAAAACGTATAGACCTGCGTATGGCGCATCGCGTATGGCAGTTGCTCCGAAGCCCGAGAAAAACCCTCGCACGCCTTCAGTTCGCAATATATCTTTGCTTGCGGAAGCAAGAGATTTGTATGCGTAGAGACTCGACTCATACCGCACTTTCATAATAGTCATCGGCATAAGAATAAACCCCGCCGATGCCCTAGCTACCGCGCCCGTTGTAAGGTTCGCGAGATTCGAAAGCTTTGGCAAGGCGGACGAGTGATTCGCCCCAGGTTTATCCACGGCGCCGATTTGAGCGAGGAGGTTTGAGCGCGCGACATTCTGCCGCAGGGCGTTCAGAGCTGTGAAGTATATAGCGGAGCCGAAGCCGGTACGTAGTGCTGAGGGGAGTGTGCCGCGCCAGAAAGAGAGGATTGAGGGGGAGGCGTGGGAGATTTCGCGGATGGTGGTTAGGAGGGAGCTGGACCCGGATTGTTGCACGCGGGTCTTGAGGAGGTCGGCTGGTTGCAGGAGGACGGCGGAGAGGACGCCTGAGCCGAGGCCTGCTACGAAGTGGAATGCTGTGGAAAATTAATATGAGGTCTTGAAGAAGATGTTAATAGATAGAACTTACACGCAGATGACTTTCCCGCTTGGCTGCCATTTGACATTTTGTGTTTCTTTTAGACTGGCATTCTTTGAGCAAAGTAGCCAGAAAGCAAGCTTACTCACTTGAGCTCATTGTCTCTTTTAATACTGTATGCCGATGCTGACTCTGCACGGTTCTTTGGCAGCAGGTGGGAGTCAGAAGAGAAGGGAAGGAAGAACTCGGAGAAGATTTGTGATCCACCGTGATCCTGCACGTCATCGCGACCAGCGACGCGGCTGCACATGATTTTATACTCTTGTACAACAACCCTCATATTCGTTATTCCATTGGAATCGAAAGAAAAGCTTCCTTGAGATCAATTGCTAGTCTTTATCGAGTCTGTCTTTTCTTTCATGATCCCCGAAGCTGAATTAACCGCATTGCACTATCACCTGAATTCTTGAGATACCGAGCTTTATTCTGAGAGCTATAAAGCAGTTATAGTTCCACCATTTCTGTGATTAAATTGTTTACTTTGAAAGTCATAGTCATGGCAATTGCAGTGAGCTTTCATAATTTCTCTATTGGTATTCAGTACTGAAGTTCTCCTTTCACAGGCAATAGGGCAGCTCTGCTCGACAGCATCTATGAGCCACAACCTAGCTCTCTGTCAAACTCTAGTAAAGAAAGCTGTCGAAGCAGGTGCAAAAGTAAGCCGTTCATCCCGTATATATATTTCTATCAATCCAAAATGCCTTTCCCCCTATCCTCACCCGGAGATAAATAAGTCGTTCCCTCCCATCTCATCTCACGGCCCTTCCACAGGCACTCTTCCTCCCAGAAGCAACAGACTACATCGCCTCCTCGCCCGCGGAATCCCTATCCCTCGCCCTCCCCATGTCCAGCTCCCCCTTTGTCCTGGGCCTGCAAAAGTCAGCCCTCGAAAACAACCTAGCCATAAACGTTGGCATCCACGTGCCGGCCTCCAACAACAAGCTCTTCAACCGCAGCTGCTGGATCAACGAGAGAGGAGAGATTGAGAGCTATTATGATAAGTTGCATCTATTTGATTATGGGGCGCTGAAGGAGAGCAATAGTGTTGAGGGCGGGAAGGATATTGTGAGGCCAGTGGAGACAGTTGTCGGGAGGGTGGGGTTGATGATTTGTTTCGATGTGAGTTCTTCCGTTTCAACTCTATGATTCTTAGTTACAAGGCAACATGCGATATTGAGAAGAAAATGCTGTAGCTCCGTTTCCCAGAGACCTCTATAGCGCTCAAACGTCAAAATGCACAAATCATCACATACCCATCCGCGTTCACGGTGCCCACTGGGAAGGCGCACTGGGAGATACTACTCCGTTCAAGAGCGATCGAGACCCAAGCGTATGCGATTGCTGCCGCGCAAGTCGGCGCGCACAACGAGAAGCGGACTAGTTATGGACACTCGATGGTCGTTGATCCTTGGGGCAAAGTGTTGCTTGTCATGACTGGGGAGGGCAAGGAAGCGGATATTGGCGTTGTGGATATTGATTTGGAGTATAGGGAGAAGATCAAGAGTCAGATGCCTTTGCTGAGGAGGACGTAAGTTTCTTGTTCTGTTTGGATGGTTGAGTGCTAATTTATATCTTTAAGAGATGTATACCCAGAAGTGTGATAAGATTGTATAGCTTGTGGTCAGCTAGAATCGATGTTTCAGATGAATTAAATCTCTGTGAGCTTAGAACCGAGGATTACTTTGGTAGTATGAGTTTGACTAGAGTTCACCCATGAGGGAGATTAAGACTATGCAATTCAAACTATCGTTGGTGCTTTTGGGAATTAATGCAATGTTTTTGATAGTCGAACTTTTACCCCCATTTTACAACCCTGACGCCCACAATGCATAGTAGTTGATATCTATGCAAAGGCCATTCGATGTTGAACCCGCCTTGGTATCACCTTTTCACTATGCATGTATCTTCTCTCACAGGAACGCGACACAACATCAACTCACCTCCAGTCATCATCTCTTTTCATCTCCTTTCATCCCGTTCCATCCTCTCACCTCCCCACCAGTCCCCATCTACAACTCCTTCTTACGCAACCCCCCCTTCGCCTGTACCCTCGCTCTCTTCGCATAAATCTCCCCTGTAAACGGATCCTCAAACCTCAAAGCCACCAAATAAACAGCCAGCACCTCAAGCGTCAACAACACACCAGCCGGCTTCCCAAACAGCAACGCCGTGCCCAAAAAGCTCATCGTGCTGCCATAGTACATGGGCGCACTACAGACATTAAACGGAAAACCGGTAACCATATCATCCATCAAGATGCCGAAATAATCACCCAGGTAAGTACCCGTGATGCCCAATGCCCACATGGATGATATAACGAGCGTGTTGCCAGCGGCGAGGAGGGCGTACGCAATGTAGGTTGCGACGGGTGTTTGGAGGGCTGGGTGGGTTGGCTGCGAACGGAGCGCGCGCTCGTAGAGAAAGTCGCGGAATATGCCGAGGGAGAAGATGGTTATTGCAAGGCCGTAGCAGGCATATCGTGAGTTGCCGCCCGCGAGCTTGGTGAGGACTTTGTTGTGGTATTCTGCGCTCATTAGAGGTGCTCGTTAGTAAGGTGGGAGGAGATGGGCATGTATGTACCTTGTCGGGCTACGGTGCTGCAGGACGTTAGCTATTGTGAAAATGAGGGATGGGGGGTATATTGGGACGTACTTCCAAAATATGGGGTTGAATGCAATTGATGCTGCCGCGACTGTGAGGGGTTAATAGCTGTTTTGAATCGCAGAATATATTTGCATATACGTACTTGCAAGAGACTTCTGGTCGAAGTCAACCAGAGGGGTATTATTTCCCAGAAAGCTTGTCATGATTGCAAACTGAAATTGAGGATTTGGCGAGAGGAAAGTTGTGAAGAAGATTTGTGAGAAAGGTTGTTGTTGTTCTTCTGCTTCTAGTTCTAGGCAAATAGAGTGAAGAAATTCGGCGAATCACAAGCTCCTCTGCAGCCATGACGTTGAGAAGCGAGGTCAGCACGCAGCTCAAGTACAGTACAGAAGCCTCACCACCACACCTTTTTTCAAGTTTAGAGTGCAGTTAGGTACAGCATTCGTATAATTTGTAATGATGCAATATCAAGGATGCCCCTCTGGTAGATGAACTGTGAATTTCCAGTCCAAAAGCCATCTTCACAAGTTCACTCAAGAAGTACCTACCTAGGTATAATTGGAAGAGGCGATGGCGATCTCCCTTTTCACTGCGGGGAAGTTGCAAGCGAGCGATTTTCAGATGAATGTCTGAGTAAGGTAAGTATTTGTTATTCTTCGAGTCTATTCCTCGCTATGCTTTATTTTATACAATGCGTGTCTCAACACCCAAATTACTTTTCGATGCCCCCATCCCTCATGCATAGCCAACTTCGGTAGTGAGTATACATTAGCGGCTCAGATCATGGGGCTATGTTGGTTTGCCATAAAAGTGACCCCAGCAGTGAAGCTTCTTTGCAGCCGCGGTCTCTTTGTCAAAACCTGCCGGCTTCATTCTCGCTCTCCGACGCGCATTCTCGGCTGGGCTGTCCTACTGCCGCCGTGTCCTGGTCTTCTTCGCAGTGGTCGCGGCGTCCTCTTCTTCTTCATCCTGGCCCTTCTTGAGATCCTCGGTCAGACACCATTCATCCTTGTCGTACCAATCTTCTCCATCCGACATGTCTCGATTCGCACCAACATGTCCTTCAGCTTTGCACCATTTCAGCACTGACTTCCGGGCGACCTCCGCGTGTAATAGGCCCTCATATAATTTTTGCAGACCGCGACAGACTTCATCCTGCTTCTGTATGTACAGCTGTAGCAGCCTCCTAGTCTCCTCTGCTTCGTGTGGGGGTAATCCCACATCTCGATCCGCTCGAGATGATTCCGATGCTAAGAAATAGGGGTGTATGGATGGCTCATGGTTGGACTCCGGCGTCATCGATCTGGTTCTAATGGACGCGGTATTATCAGATGCTGCTTGAGCCTGAGCTCGCGTTCTCATCCGGCGAGGAACTGGGAGATCCTCTGCATCATCCGCTCCTCCTTCTCCATCCATCTCCACGTCGTCATTGGGATGTTCTGAGTCATGTGTCGAGTCATCCACAGCCTCGTTTTCTTGCGATGTCCCTTCTGCCACGACTTCCGGGGCCTTCCCGTTTATTGACATCCCGATTCCATTCTCCCTGGGACTGTCTCCTGTGGCATCTGTTGCTTTAGAAGCCTCGGCGAAACCATTTGCTGCCTGTTTGCCATTATGTCCATTGTCTACGGGACCATCCACAGGTGTCATGATGGCATTTTCTTCCTCGACTGCAGCTTCAGTGAGCTGTTTCACAGCTTCCATCCCAGCATTTAGAGAATGGGCGTCTGCAGTCAAAAGTCCGGCCCGTTGCTCGATATCGTCTGATATCAACGTCCCAGTAGAAGCCTGGTCCGCATCTTTCGAGACAGCTTTCCTAAGCATTATTGCTTGCTGCTTCTCCCGGTCATCAAAAAATAGGGAGAAATCATCAGCTGTCTCCACGCTCTCGCAGGGTATCCAAGTGCTATCGCCGCTCAGTCTCGTCAAGAGCTGCTTCATCTTCCAAAGAGTCGCCTTCTCCTTTTGTACCATATCCCCAATATTTTGCGTGAGGTCTGTGAGAACTCTCGAGGTAAAGGGCTTTGATAAGGTGGGATGATTGGGTAAGTCGGAGGGAGATGTAAGTGGCTTGAAAATCGCTGGGAACTTGTTGTCAGTGATGTTTTTAGATGATTAAATGTATAATCTTACTCTCAATCTTGACTTCAGAATATGGGTTATTCTCAGCAGCCGCTGCCATTGCATTATGTGCCCTCTCGTCGTCGTCATCGCTATCGACCTCGTACCCGTCTTCATCAATGAGTGGAGGATTTCGACTTATGATATCTCGAGAGTAGCCGGCGTGTTCAATTTTCTAGGTATCCTATCAGTTTAAATTCACAATGCCATGCTCTCCCTGGACATAATTGGCGCACCTTTTTATATGCTTGCGGACCGTTTGGCGGAGCTAATTGCCCTTCGTGAACAAATCTTGACTTCTTCCTCAATTTATTCCCTCGATCCGTAAGGTGCTCAATCGAACTATCGGACTCCTCATCTGTGCCATAACGTACCATTAGCATGCGATATTTTGTTGAAAGAGGGAGAACTTCTTGCCGTAAGCTTTTCTTTTCGCGGCCCTCTTCATGCCAACGATGGTATTCGCGATCTGCGCTGCTTGAGCGGCCATGATGACAACTTAGACAAGGCAGAACCCTCGTAGGTGATCTGTAGTACGTGACCGCTCGATAAGGGCCTCTTGAAGCAGCTCGAAGGTTGGGTTGGGGTAAGTTGGCGATCGCATGCAACTGTCCGCGAGTTGAGGGGTCCTTGTGGATGGTTGGAATTCGAGAGAAGGGGCACTGCGATAGTGTTTCGGCTGTAGCAAAGAATGGAAATTGTGAAATTGAGTAACGCGGGCCCAAAGCTGGTGGGTAGGAAAAGAGAATAATAATGCAGCTACAAGTGATTTGTGTGCGCTGGTGAAATCATTAACAATTGTAAAGAGTTGCTAGGCATAGGCAGCTTGGGCAAGGCTGTCGTAGCGCGGTATTTGCCGGTCGCAGAATGACGCGCTACAGGGGTACCGAAGTACGGGAGAGACATTCATATTTAGCAGTATTGATGGAGTACAAGTACAGACAACAACTTCATCTCAAACCTCTTAATGTGCCATTTGACCGCCTTCTACCATTGTCTATCTTCCCGTACATAAGCTGTAAAATCGACTGTGCTTCGCCCCTCTTCCACCTAACGAGCCATATCAAATACAATACCTACATTACCTCCTTCAGATCCCTGACCTGAGCATTCCAAGTCAAGCAAACGTGGGACCTACACTTTCTGCTTATGGAGTCTTTGGCGGAATATCGCCATGGACGGGTATCCGCCTGCCTATATTGCCCATAACCTCCCTCTTCTGATCGTCTCTGGACTCGGCTCTGTGCAGGAAACGTCAGCCTCGAAATCTGGGACACGAATAACCTCCGAGATACCCCCAGTAGATACTGAAGATGCGGAAAGGTTGTTGCGGCATTTCAAGCGAAGTGATGCTTCGGATCTGTCATGGAATGGGCGGGAGCATATTGGGAGAAACAAATTCAGGGTGAAGGTCGTGGGAAGGGTAGCTTAGTAGTCCAATCCTCCCACTACAGTATCAGTCACTGAACCTTGAATAGGACTATTGCCTACCAACTCGCAGCGCTTCTCTTCCTGAATCATCTCTACCACTCAGTCCAATTTCAAGATCGATTGTACACTCCACGTTATCACCTCTCAGTCCAGGATCCCCGCTCTTCCCTGACGGCTTGCTTGACTCGTTATGGGTTGAGAAACACCAAGAGCATGTCCCAAGCGCATATCTCTGTTTCTATGCCTTCAGCTCTGATCCAAACTTAACGACAAAACATGACAATCAATTAAAGACGGACATAAGCAACATTAAGAATGCATTGAGTGGGTCTGGTTATAAAAGTCGTCTTATAGTTGGGCTTCTGAGCGAAAAGTCTATTGTCCAATCTTCCGATGTTGAAGAACGCCTTGCCAATATTCGTAAATATACAGGACTTGACTCCAAGACCTCTTTATTCTTCTTGCCCCCTCAGTCCTCCGGGGTGGAACTCCAAGCATTCGTGGAAACTATCCTTTCAACAGTATACCCACTATCCGTCGAATATTATCGAGACTTAAGTAAGCACTCAAGGAGGAAACGCAATAGAGGCATTATACCTCCACCTACCGCTCCTCCAACTTCAGGGACATCTCAGACTTTATCTAGCCAGGGGTGGAATGTTCGCTATGACTTCAAGCTCGGGGTATTTGCCGAGTTTCGGCAGGAGATGGATGCTGCCGTACGTTCTTACGAAAGTGGTTATGAAGGATTGCTCGGCCCAGATGTCTCAGAAGCTATCGCAAGCTGGAGTCCTCGATGGAACGAGGCACGACTGCTAGCTGATGCTTTTGCCTTCCGTATCTTGAGGTGTCTACTATGGAATGGCAACTGGACAGCTGCCGTCCGCAGATGGCAATTGCATCGGGAGCGAATCCGTGACTTTGTTGATAGGCGAGGTAAGGGATCTTCTACATACGGATGGGAGGCATGGGAAGCTCGATGGGCCACTCTGATGGCTGAGATGATCACGAAAGTTTCTATACCTGAGTTCAACTCGTCCAACACTACCCTATACCTACCAACAGAGAAGGCAATTGCAATAGGAGAACGAATTCAACCGTGGGAGCTCCTTCACCATCCAGGATACTGGTACTATATGGCTTCAAAGCACCTTATTGGACGTCGCAATTTGGCCATGGCAATACCTGAAGAAGATCGATCACCTCCCGGGTTCTCTCCAGCTTCAAAAACTGCAAGCAAGGCATACACATACGATACGTATCTGTGCCCAGATCCCCACGAAGAGAATCCATTACCCGGTCGTGAGGGTGTCAACCACTCAGCTCTTATTATAGACAGCTTGTCGAAAGCCATTGCCGAATTCGAGCAACGGGGTCAGTACCGTCTCATACAAGAGCTACAATTGATATCTGGAAAGGAAAGCATGAAAACAGAGGCTTGGGATGATGCACTAATAATACTCCGCCCTCTGTGGCAGAATATGTCATATCGAAAAGAAGGCTGGTGGAATGCCGTTGAAGAGATTTCATGGGCTTTCAGGAATGCCGCAGCGCACGCAGGTGATGGTGTATCTGTAGTTGCGGTGGACTGGGAATTGATGAACAGAAGCAAGTAATACTGAATAGAAACATAGATCCAATACTGACTTTTCCAGGCTTCACTTACCATCCCAAATGGGTTTACAATCTTTCTAGGTCGCTAGAAGGTCTCGATGCTGTGAAAAGCAAGCCAGTGGTTGTACTGCATGATCGCGAAGTTCACTCTTTCCTTTCCGCGGCCTTCACATTCGAGCATGCGGAGGGCAAAGTTGGAGAAGGCTGCCCTTCACAATTAGCAATCACTTCGTCAGCCATTCAGGCATCGGCTCCAGTGAGAATATCCGAAATAAAACTCGAATTTGAGGGCACTATGAAACCTCTCGTCTTGCAGCATATTCCCAGCGATCGAGATGAAGCTGGAAAGCCTCGCGCTATGCTATACAGCAAAGTAACTTTAGTTGATGAGGCACGAGATGGAAGACCAACCCAAATCGGCAATTCGGATCTTACGTTACGACCAGGTCAGACGAAAGTTTTCGAATGTAATAGTTTTTTGAGAGAAGCTGGAGAGGTCAAAGCTGTTTCTGCTACCTTTACCATCACATCAGAACAGTTCGACTTAGACTATGTCCATACTTTTGAAAGCACGCCTGCTCCAGATATATGGTGGGGCGAGCGCACAGTGAAGAAGCGAATTGCTCGGCCTAATGCTTCATCAGTGTTAATCCTCCCTAAGCCTCCCAAGATGGAGCTTCGATTTGTCGGGCTTCAAAAGCAATACTACACAAACGAACATATTACTTTGAGGCTAAATGTGCTCAATGAAGAGGACGACGACTCTATCGCGAATCTTGAGGTTCGCTTGCTCGGTGAGGGAGCACCACTACCCACGCTGAAACTTCCCTCTGAAGTTGAATCTGAGGAGAGTGAGAAGGGGAACGAGTTGACGGGAACTCCACTTGGCAGAATTGCAAGCTCAGATGCGACAACCGTAGAGATTATCATTCCTCCAGTTGATCTACCGGCTATCTACGAGTTGGCCTTGAAAGCTTCATATAACCTGGTTTCCGACATTGAAACGTCCGTATCCCGCGCTTTGGTCATGCAGTTGGAAATAATAAGTCCCTTTGAAGCCAACTATGACTTCTCTCCTCGAATACATCCCGATCCCTGGCCAAGTTTTTTCACCCATCAAGAGGTGGTGCAGGATGAGGCCAATGAGCAAGAAATCCAGGCACATGGATTAGCACAAAAATGGTGTCTGACAGCCCGCTACGCTTCCTTTGCTACAGACGACTTGATAATCGAGGACATGGGCGTCGAAGTATTAGGCGTGAACGGTGGAATTACCTGCACTACTAAAAAGCTCATGGCAATCCCCGAAGACGGCCTCAAAGTTACTCCCAAGAGCCTGGAGGAAGCTCTCTTCGATGTCTGTACCCAAAAGCTCTCCCTCGATGATCGTGGAACTGCAACTCTCGACATCTCTCTAGCAATAAAATGGCGGCGTGACGCAGAAGGCTCCCCTTTGAACATATCCACACTCGGGGTACCCGCCTGCTAGTATCAAGCAGCGAACCCCGCGTCCTCGCTGCCGTCTCCTACTCTGCGAATACTCCCTCGATGATACACTTCGACGTTACGATTGAGAATCCATCGAACCACTTCCTCAGCTTCGGCCTGACCATGGAACCCAGCGAGAAATTCGCATTTTCCGGTATCAAGCAATCAACCCTGCAGCTTGTGCCCTTAAGTAGAAGGACGATGAAGTTCAGGCTGCTGCCGAGTATAAGAGGTGATTGGATAGGGCCGATTCAATGCGTGATTAGGGATAGGTATTTTCAGAAGGTGTTGAAGATTGCGCCGACGGAGGGATTGCGGATTGATAAAGAAGGTTTACTGATTTGGGTCCCCCCGAGGAAGAGTTATGATGAGTAGATAGTTGGTTATGATTATACGATAGATGGATAGATGAGTAGAATCAGAACATGTTCAGGTGCGCCTGATTGATCTACCTATGTCAATAGTACAGACCTCCGACTTGCAAACTTCATAAGCGTGACACCACTGCCTCTATGACAAAATGAACTGCAATTCTCAACCTACTGAATATGAGGTAGGTGAGAGTGCAATTAAGCATGTGTTGAGCTTGTATTAATCCATGTATTTATATAAAAGGGGCTTAGCTAGCGTCTCGCATGTCATTTGTAGGCCGTAGCCGTCCCAAAAGGTATGACGTATAATTCATACTGTACCCCACCAGCAACCCCCCCTCAACAACGACAAATAAATGCCATCTCCAACTACAACATCCACGACAGCCTCCCTCACAACCACAATCGCCCTACTCGTCCTCCTCGTTTGCTGTTTCTTCCCCACCGCCTTCCACGCCTTCTGGTCCGTTCCCCTCTCCGTCCTCACACCATCCACCTACATCCCGCACCCAATCCTCTCCCCACCAGGAACCATGTCCTGGTTCCAGAAAACCGTGTCCCTCCCCCCCAAATCCCGCGGCAGCTACCTCATAACCGACACCATCGAGAGAGAACTGCCCGAGCTAAAACAATACAAAGTCGGCCTGCTGAACTTGTTCGTGCAGCATACGAGTTGCGCGCTGAGCTTGAATGAGAACTGGGATGAGGATGTTCGTGCGGATATGAGTGATGCGCTGGATAGAATTGCGCCGGAGGATAGGAAGGGGAGTTTGTATAGACATAGTGCAGAGGGACTGGATGATATGCCTGTTTGTATACCTGTCTTCTAGCTATCCTCTAGTTTCAAGTGTTTTCGAGGTGCGGGGAGGGTGTCTGGATGGTAGCTAATTAATGATCTATAGGCACATATCAAGAGCGCGCTGATTGGAGCGAGTGTCACGATCCCGATTAAAGATGGGCGCTTGGCGACGGGGACGTGGCAAGGCATATGGTATCTGGAGTTTAGGGCTAGTAAGCATTCGAGGAAGGTTGTTGCTACTATTCAAGGGGAGAAGAATGCTTGAGGTTCTGCTTTGGGAGGGTTGGAGTTTAAGGTTGGAAATCTTGCTAAGGCTGGTGGAATGGGAAGTATATGACAGCGAATGAAGGGACATTTCACAGATGCAATTGGTGGTTTGATAGTGCCAGAGTTTTGGTTTTACTATTTACTTTTGAAGCTTTCATTCAGACACTACTGCTCTACCTTCTTCTTATTGTTATAAGAGCTGGTGTTTCTGCAAGGCAGATCACAAGATAATCCATATTGTGCTGCTCAAGCACCAACTAAGATTCTTCTGTCCTTGCTTTAAATGCTTGTGGTGAAGGACGGAGTTTCCCCCCTTCGCCGCTGTTGTCAGAGCTCTAGCATAAGCCGTATTGAATTAGCTGTGTAGTTGCTGTCAATCATGCTTTGGTGTCATAAGTCATACGACCAGAGGACAATAATATGTACCTTACCTTATGTTGGATTACACACAAGCCGATGAAACCTTGCAGCAAAGATGTCGCCTTAATGATGCTTGGTTTGTTCTTGTTAATGGATGCGTCGTATAGTTGATGTTTGCGCTGGGAGTTGTCAATGATCCTAGGCAAAATGTTGAATACCTTCGAGATGTACTTCATATAGTCTCAAGACTCACTTAACCAATCATTGTACATAACATGCAAAAAAGTGTAGCAAAAAAATCAATGTGGAAGTGAATGCCTCTCGTTTCGTACCCCCTCATACGATTCGGCAAAAAAGAAAATCGCCCAAGGTCTCGAAACACTTGATTGATCCCACCCTCCATTCTTTAAAAAAGAAATCGAATAACAAAAAGTTCAAAACCTTGAGATCAACCGTAGTTGACCACAGGAGAACCCCTAGCAAGCCTGCATTAAAGGGGTTTTACAATTCCTACTTGCCCAACACAATTTGCCCTGACCCACTTAGCCAAGTGGGCGCCTTTTGTGTTTGACGACAAATTTTGTGTTAAATTGATATGTTAAGTCTATGGATTTTATGTTTTGGCGCCGAAGTTTTAGCGGTGTTGTTGTGGGTTGTGTTGAGTTGGAAGTACTGTCTGGTGTAGCCGCTTTGATATTTTTACCAACTACGGAGTATTGAATTCCATTGTTTAAAAGCTTGAGATTGTCCACTTTATTTGGGTAGCTATGAAGTTCTATTTGAATACTATGAACCCTTTATATCCTACTCTTTGGGGGCTGTTTCAAAGGTCCTCCTACGCGCTTCTTCCATTCCTCTGACATAGTTTGCTTCTCAGGCAAGCTCTTCTTTGTCCACTCCTCATATGCCTTCCTTTCAGCCTCAAATCTTTTCACTTCCTGCCCAAGCCAAGCTGCTGCTGCATCCGCACACAGTTCGCTCGCTTCCATTGCAACCAAGTGTCCATACCCCTGAAGTGTAACCCCCTTCACTCTCCCTTCTTTCACACCACCACTGCCTCCTGGTGCGTTGCCAGTGATCTCCATCCTTTCGTGAATCAAGTCAGGGGGAGACATGGGGCTCGTCTCTCCAAAGATATACAATACGCTTGGCCTCAATTCACCCAGCCGTCGCAGGACGGCTAGCGGTTCGGGACGATACAGAGGGTATCTTTTTGGCTGTTCCATATTTATATCTGGAACCATATCTCTCCGCAGAATGATCGAGCCATCTGGACTTATGCCATCCCAACTTGGCCTCATAAAGGTAAAGCATTCTTGATGCTTCGTCGTACTCAAAGTTGCGTTTCCGTATTCATCGGGGTAGACTCTAGTAGGAGTATCTCTGATTCCGACTTGACACCATCGCTCGAACACTCTCCGGTCCCAAGATTGGTAGAACTTTGACTTTGCAAATGCGGCGATAGCTTCAGCGCGGGAGGGCCAGAGATCACGGCGGAATGTGGAGGATTGGACAAGGCTCGGTCCGCTGGGCGCTGAGGCATGTGTCACAATGGTTGGATCCATAAGAACGACGGTGGATAGTAAACGGGGATGCATAAACGCGACGTTGCAGAGTATGGCGGCTCCGAATGAATGTCCCATGCCTACGATTGGCATGGGCATCTGGGACCGAAACGTGTTGATCATGTGCAGAAGATCTCGGCCATGGTCCATCCATGATGCTATGAATAGTCAGCAAGACTGGAAAGCTTCAACTTCTGGACTGCCAGCACTTACGATCGTTTCCAAGAAGCTCCTCGTTTAAGACCCCGCTGACTCCTTGCTGAGCTACATCGGCTATCCAGATGCTTCGTATCCGAAACCCGTTGGCTTTGGAGCGGGCATGTAAATCTTCCCATAGCGGCTCATATAATTCCTGAGGGCATTAGTTAAAGTGTAATAGCTAATTTCAAAGGAGTTACCTTTGGAAAGCCATTTGCGTGAGCCCCGATGATCGTGATATCACCCGGTTGGGGGTTTGGATTGTCCACAGGAACATACTGTTTGATTGCGAGGTGCAATACTTCTTCTTGAGACTTTGACGTAGCTCTAGCATATTCCCGAATATGCTGGCATTCTAAGATATGCTCCTTTATCTCAAAGACTGGAGATGGCATACTTGTTCGGGAAAATGCGGGGTTATCAAAGGGAGTCCAGTTCCATGTGAAGGCGGAGGAAATGCAAGCAAAGCATGAATGTCAAGCAATCTTCTTGGCAGGCTTACGAGAAGGATTCAGTATCATCTGCACAGATTGAGGTTTATGTATTCCAGTGATTCTGACGAAGGTGGGACTCCACGGCCACGGTTAGTTGAATATAGAAGCCGAGGTTGCTATATATAGTTTAGCGCTCGCTGCACAACCAATCGGTGTATAGTGGGGTGCAAATAGTTTGTACCTACTACCCATAGGTACAAACTACTTATTTGCACCCCACTGTATCAAACGAGTGCCCTTCTCTCTTCGGAATAGACAATCGAGTTTTGGTCCCTTATTCCGATAGTTATTCCGCATACGTAGAGGATCTGTTGCCATATAGATACGAAGGATCCAGTAGCACATAGGGTGGGTTTACGCATATATGAATTGCCGAAGTTCAGAGCTTCTTCTACTCCTTGTATTGCTATCGATCATTTTACTTGCTTGTAGTCACTTCTGGGGGCTGGTACAACCGGCTCGGGTAGAACTCAAATATATAGATTAGAATATGAATTGACGAGAAAGGGTTCTCATAGACTTCACAATGAAGTTGAAAGAATAACAAAATTGACAAGACCGCCTCGCGGCTTAGCCAACGACGCCGACGAGGGACATGCATCATTGATTTCCTTCAAATCAAGATGGCATTTTGACTTTTAGGAGATATCTATCTTCAAGGTTTAGAGTACAATCGCAACTTCACAACATCACAGCCTTCAAAAGAGTGGAAAGAAGATGTCAAAGACTCAAAGCGAGGATACCTGATTTCACGTGATCAGGCTCTAACACTTAGCCTAGCGCGTTTCCCTGCGCGTCGCGTATCTTGAGGTGAACCTGATAATGTGATAGACATTACAAACTGTTTGTAGCCTCTGAAAATACAAATATCCAGCTCCTTCCATCTTGCCTGTCTCTCGCGCACGCGATGGCTGAACCAGGCAATCCAATCTTTGAGAATTGCGTCTTCGCTTTCTGGCAAAGCAGAGATCTCCCAGACGCGACAATCGATCAAGTAGGTCGCCACCACTTTTCTCCTTGTCATATTTATTAACAGTCTTCCCAGCTGCACAATACTTTGGAGAATCATGCTGGAGAAATCTCCCCAAACGATGACGACGGAAAAATCAACCTGGAAGATGTTACCCACATCATATCGACGACCAGCGATTTCCCCCAATACTCCGAGGCGCGTCGAAATATGATTAGTATCGTCAAACCTGCTTGGATCACACAATCGCTGTTGAAGAACAAGCAAGCTCAGCCGCGACCTTACACTCCAGACCCTAACCTTATTTTCTCTGATATCACAATAAGTTGCGCCGACATCCCTACCGGTGACAAAGATGCTATCATTGGCGCGGTTCTGGCAATGGGCGGAGCAGAGTCGAGCAGTCTCACCAGGTTGACTACACATATTTGTGCTCTCACGGTTGATCACCCGAAGTGCCAACAAGCATTAGAAAAAGGTCTCAAATGCAAGATGGTCTTGCCTCACTGGTATGTCCCAAGTCTATATATTGCCCTACAGGCTGACGATGAACAGGTTTGATGATTGTCTGAAATTGGGCAAGCGCATAGATGAAAGACCATACTGCTTGCCGGATCCTGAGATCTTCAAAATGAAACCGGAAGATACCCTTGCAATTCCTGATTCTGACAGGCTGCTCGGTGCTTCATCACCACACCCTGACACTCTCCCCATTTCCACTGTAGATTTACGCCATTTAGATGTTTTTCGCAACAAGAAGGTTATGATATCCAAAGACCTGGAAATCAACGGTCGACATCTCAAGGTGCTCGAGGATCTCATCGTGAATGGGGATGGCTCCATTACGAATTCAGTCCATAATGCTGATATGTTCATTTGTCATTGGCGCGAGGGAAGAGACTATACATTTGCGTCTCGTGCTGGCATTGATGTGGGAAATCTCTCCTGGCTATATCATTTGATTACACATAATGAGTGGACATCCCCACTCCGACGATTGCTCCACTACCCCATTCCTCGTGAAGGCATTCCTGGCTTTGAGAAATTCCGCATTACACTGTCGAATTATGGGGGCGAAGCACGAACATACCTAGAGAATCTCGTTAACGTTTCCGGTGCGGAGTTTACCAAAAGCATGAAGCAGGATAACACCCATTTGATTACGGCACGAAAGTCAAGTGAAAAATGCGACGCTGCAGAGGATTGGAATATCGATATGGTGAACCATTTGTGGATTGAAGAGTCCTACGCCAAATGCGAAGTGCAAAAGTTGAGCAACCCGCGATATAATCACTTCCCTCCGAGAACGAACTTAGGTGAGATTATTGGTCAAACACAGTTCGATCCGGCAGTGCTCGAGTCACGATACTTCCCTAGAGATCCTACCCCAAGCCCATCGGACCCAAAGCCTCTTAGAAGGCCAGTTATGCACGAGAAGGATCGTAACCAGCCAAGCTTAAAAATATCCGAAGACGATGAGGAGGAGGAGGAGAAGAAAGAGAGACGTCCAGCAAAGGCCAAGAAAACCGCAGCCACACGACCCCGATCGAAATCTACGACAGCCCTAGTCAGCACTCCAGCTCCAAATCGACGCATCAGTGCTGAGAAGGAAAACGATACACCATCTTCGACTCGAAGTGCAAAAGACAAAGCACGGGCAAATATCCATGGGTTGTCAGCCGATATTGCTTTGTATGAGAAAGAAAAGAAGCGCAAAGGTCCAATCTGGGGTGGAGAGCGTGCTGCGAATAACATTGACAAACAAAAATCGCTAAAGCGACGTAGTTCAAGTCCAGCCAACCTTGCGAGTGAAGGAGAAGAGTTCTCAGAAGAGGAGGACACCAGAACACCAAAGCGTCAACGAACTAGCAAGCCAGCTAATACCTTACCCCCTATTGGAATTCGCCTTCTCGTGACTAGTTATCAAGGATGGATAGGCAATACCAACAAGGAGGATGCAGACAGAGTAAGATCTTCTTCCCCCTTACACTCGTTAAACTGACAATTATAGAAAAAATTGAGAGAGCTCGGTGTCCATGTTGTCCAAGACCCCAGCAATTGTACCCACCTAGCCGCACCCGCTATCGTCAGAACCAAGAAATTCCTTGCAGCACTTGCCAGCGGACCCACCATTGTTCGATCTGAATTTATCGACGCCTGTATCAAAGACGGAAAAGTTCCTGATGCGACAGCCTTCGTCCTGAAAGACACGACCAATGAGAAGAGGTTCGGATTGAAGCTGAAAGATGCGGTTGCCAGAGCCAAGGCTAATAAACGTTCAATTCTTCGCCACGTTCCTATTTACTGCACTGAAGATATCCCTAACAAGCCGGAAACATACAAGGACATCGTCCAGGCCAATGGGGGTACATTCACCTTATTCAGAGGCAAGGCTTTTGCTAAGAAGGTCAAGCCGGAAGAGGACGAGGGCGGAAATGAGCCTGTCTATCTGCTCAGTGGTACGAAGGAGAAAGAGAAGGTGATGTGGCCAATATTTCGGGAGGAAGCTAAAAAGGGGAACATGGTGCCCAGAATCGTCTCGACTGACTGGATTCTGAACACTGCCATCACCCAACAATTGGAGTCGAGTGACGACTACCTGCTGGACGACGAGTGTTAAGATCTGGTTTTGGGGGCGGAGGATCTCTGAAAGATAACGAATACCCTATATTGATACAGGCGTGTACGGTCCCTCCTTTGCTGTTTGAATAGTTGCAGGGTCAGGTTTGCTATGTAGTTAATGAGAAACGATATCCATGAACTCCTTCCCATGCATAACCTCTACCCATATATGTACACCCAACCCCTAGAAAAATTTTACACCCTGCTGATCCTCCTGCCCAAAGACTTGAGCCTTTCCTCGCTTGACAAGAATGTTCATTATCCGTTGCAATAAATCCGGATCCATGCCATGGAATTCTTCACACAGTCAGTCACTGCCATCACCGTAATAATAGAAAAATACAGACCTTGCGATAACGTAGCCTCGCTCTCCGTCAACTCATACAGCGTCAAAACCGTATTCTTCTGCGCTGTCTCATCAATCTACCCCTCATCAGCATTCGTCTCCCTCAACAAACACTCCGCTTCTTCACATCTCTCACTCACCCATTCATAAATCCCTCCTGCCCACTCCTCCGGCGTCCGCCACCAAACCCAACACTCGCCACTCTCGGCCCCCTTCCCAACCCACTCCGCCCTTCCTTCCCGCCGCATAAACTCCACCACCTCCTTCACATCACTAATGCCCAACCGCTTCCGTATCCGCTGGTTGTAGAATAGCGGCGAGTCCAGGCTGTCGATTAGGCTGAGCTTGAAGAGCCGGTTGTATCGGCAGTATGCGAGGATCAGGGAGGACCATTTTTGGAGCTGCGCGTGGTGGGTTTGCAGGGTTGGTTGGCGCGTGTAGAAGGGGGGGAAGGAGTGTTCGCGGGGGTAGGAGAAGGGCGTGGTGGTTGATGCTGGCGTTGGGGGTTGGGAGGCGTATGGAGGGGGTTGGGAGGGTATCAGAGTTGGTGTTGTTGAAGATAAGGAGGGGTTTATTGGGCTAGAAGTTGACATTGTTTGACATGAGCGTTGTTGTTCAGAGAGATGGAGGTGGGGTTGAGACTTGGGGTTCAGCCTTGCTTGGTCTGTGCGAGGCGAGGCGGGACAAGGTTTGAGTTCAACGTCAACGTCGTCTCTTGGATGTCTCCTACATCTACAATCTACGAATCATGAGATGTGGTCTCAACTCAAGTGAGCGGCTTGGATTATTGTTAGACATGTCTACTTTGAGTTAATTTGCATTCTTGATCTAATGCGCTTGTTGCCTATGTTTTGAGTGTTTACTGTATAAGCTTTTTGCTAGCTAAACAGGATGGGAGAACATGAGATACATGGAACCCGATATTGCTTCTGCAATATAAGCATTACCTTCTGTCTCAATATGAATTGTCTGGGCGATACCGTCATGCAAGCCGTTAGATCAGATTCAAAATTTATGCAACGGAAGTTTGTGAAAGAGTGAAGATATCCTGGAAAAGCGGTTGTCCTAACTATCCTACCCATCCATCCACTGCCTTATACAGAATCCCCTCTCTGTATAGTTTCTCTGTACAAATTCCTATGCACAAGCAAGGCCTCCACCTGCCTGATCTCAACGATCAGCTCCTGAGTCAAGTTTTCAAGCGCCTCCTCCAGGGCCAACTCGATCTTCCTCTGCGCCTGTTCGTGCTTGATATCATCGAGCGTCTTCTGAGACAACTTTGCCCTCGCCTCCTCCTTTTAATGCCAATTCGATCTTCCTCTGCATCTGTGCGTGCTCGGCCATTTCGATGAGCTGGCGACCGGTCATCTGCTGTGTCTGAGCGTCGTCTACTAGTGGTTCATCTTCCTTGTTCAAGAGCGTAAGGAGCTGTTCACCCATCCGAGCCATCATGAGAATACGTTTTTTGTGGACGCTGAGTGCTGCGTTCATTGCTGCGTACTCGTGTACGAGCGTTCGCGGTTCCTCGGTTGAAGTTTCTGGAGTTTGGGGGTCTGGTGGCAACATGTTGCTTGGAGGAGCGGGTAATTTATTCGGTTGACAAAGGTCCGGGGTCTTGGGATTTGAAGGCAAAGAGTCGAGGGTTGTTTGAGCAAGTAAGTGTGTGTGTGCGTGGTCAGTTGTTGAGTTCTTGCAAAGGTGATCTTCTCATCTTTTATATTCGTTGGAGGGTGTCTGTCCGTTATTCTAAGATAAGTTCGAAGTGCTTCGAATAACATCTAGAATACAAAGACAGGTCGCTTGAAGCTGCAATTTAATTTATTGCCAATCATATGGGTTCTTGTTAATCATAAAACTCGTAATATTCACAGGCAGAGTGGCATTTATAGCTCAAATTACAACGCCTCTTGAGAATGACTCAAGGAGTTCCAAGGGGACTAGTAGAGCCAATGATTAATTCAATCAGACGATCTTATTGGAGGTCTAGTAGTATATGAGCCACCTTATCTCCAGTCCGCTAGAGCAGTTTATGTTAATCACTTGAAACGACATATACAATAATCTCGTCTCGATATACAATGCGCTATACAAGACTACATCGCGGCTGACCCTCGATTGGCGCACGAACGAAATTTCCCAGCGTATCCAATCAGTCAGTCAGTCAGCTATCAGTTGAGGGGCACCCTTGAACTGACTGACTGAAACTGATAAACTGATCAGTTGCTGACTGATTGGACACTCTGAAATTTCCGAACTACTAGGCAAAGATTCTGAACTCATCCAAAAAATTTTGCAACATCAAGACAGAGATGTTCTGGTTTCGTAATTCCACTGCCCCTTTTCAGATACAAGCCTGAAGCTAACACAGAGAAGAAGTAAGGACTGAACAACTGAGGCCCAAAGACGCGCTATTCAAAACACTTTTCGCTGAGAATGAGAGCAAGCTGATGGCTGCACATATCAGGGCTGCGAAAAGGAAAGGTATCCTGTAGACTAGACATTCATTCCCTGTTACGATCTGTATGCTTCCGCTGCTCCTTCTGCAGCTGCTTATTGAGTCATAACTCGTTCATCGCTCCTGATATCACCAAACAGACCTGTTCGATCAGCCATCCAATCATCCAATCACCCAATCAGTCATTATCTCGTAATGTTCATATGACCCAGTTTAACCCCAAAGTCTTTAAACCGCACACCCCCTCCACAAAATCATCATCAGCATTGCCAATCCAGACATCCTCCTCAGCTTCCTGCCATTGCTAACTCGACATCCTGTCAAAACCTTAGTGTCCGCGCAGATCCTAACATTGAATATGACTATTCAATAAGACCGACCTGAATATCCATCTATCCTACTTCTGCGTTTTCAGCTTCTCCTTAGCCTTGTCACGCTCCATCTTATCCCAGAGATCCTCTTGATTACGCATTCTGCTCTGTTGACCTCGGTGCCAAAGCTGATCGGAAGTCGTAATTCTGTTCCCATCCCAAGGCAACCTGGAAGGGGGGCTGCTATTTTGTTGGATGGTAGGGCCTTTGTACTTGTAGGTGGGAGATTTTGTTAGTTCCGAACCCCACGCCTTGGAGGTGGTTTGAAGAAAGGGCTTCTTCGCTGGGGAACTGGCTGGGTGCGTAATGGGAGCCAAAGGATCGCTGGGTATTCTTCTCTTGGATGAAGGCCGACGCTCGTTTGAAGGCGGCGTTTGGGGTAAAGCTTGTGGGGCAGAATTTCTTGCGGTGGGTGGCATACTGTTGCGGGATCTATCTTGAGATTGTGTAGGACTTGAAGCATTGTTGATGATGAGCGTGGTTTCAGAGATAAGAAGAGAACGTCTCTCTGGGATGGAGGTGGCCTGTTTGCTAGAGCGTTCCCTGTTGTTTAATTTTTGGGGGGAAGACATGGTTGGATCTGAGATATGGGGGTTTTCGATGGCTCGCGATCGACGTTTCGGGGTGATAATGCGGGGAGATGTATGAGTTGGGAAACTGGCAGAGTGTAGTATTGCGGCCAGTTTGATCAGCCGAGTGTGATGCCTTTCCAAGGCCTCTTCCGCCTCTTTATAGTTGAGCTTGTTGTTTGGATTTTGAATGAAAATCTTAAAGTCATTCTTCTGAGTTGCCAAGAAGATCTCGAGAGCGTTGTGGGCCATGTTCATGAAGCCTGGGGATCTCTTGGCTCCTTCGAGGCAATGTTCAGGCAATGATGAAAATGCGTGGGGAGATGAAAGGCTAGTCTTGAGAGGTTGTGAAATAGGTACTCAAATGGCGAAGGTTCGTGACAGTGTGAAGGACCCAGAGAAGGAATCTCGATGTTTTCTACCTCCACGATTCAACCGATAGCGGTGAGAGATGCCAATGCCGTTATTATCAGATAGAGAAACCTCTGAAGATTTCGTGGTGACCGCCTGAATCTCAATATCCGTACCGAGAGAAAGTTCATCTTTGACCGCCATGAGCCCTTGACCTCATTCTAAATTCACTTAAGTCGCAAAGAGTTAAATGATGGCTTTCTTCCTCCCTCCTAAGTTGAATTTCAATTGACTTACTTCAAGCATCCTATCAGCTTCAAGTAAATCATCACCCGCCCTCCAGTCTCGCCAACGACTTTCCATCAAGGACTATGCGCCAACTATCCTGCCGAAATCTTGGGATTGGAACTACTTGTGCATGCTTTCCATATACTACACAGGGAGGAGAGTTAGGACACTGCTGCATTTATCCATCTTTCAGCCGCTGAAACCGACCAGTCAAGTTGATTAGCTCCTAATTTCCAAACCTGATATTGAGATACTTACATTGGTGTACGAGGACCAGGGAGTCCTGGGTGAGACCATCGGGCTAATATCCGCAGGGAAGTTGACGCCCAAGACTAGCCCCCGAGGTGTTGATATTATTTCGGGAACCCATTAGGTTTGTTCAATGGGATTACGCGAGACTCGAGGGGAAAGCGTACCTTTACGGCCACGAAACAACAGATTCATACGTCTACTTATCTTACCAAGAATGCCTGTCAGGTTTATGCGACCGAGAATCACTAGAATAACGGATATACACATGACAGAAATTCCGGTCCAAGGACACAGATTGAAAGCAATACTATTGACTGACCGTAGATGATTCAGAGGTTTGAATTTGCAGAGACGCCACTCAAAAACCCCAGAACTCTCCGCACGAGTCCCTGAACGACCTCATCTGAATTACCAGCCAGATTGTGTGAAGCTCCCTCCAGTGGTATCGAGTTCTCCTCATCAACCTTTCCAGCTCCCCTCTTCGTAATCTCAATCCATCTTTTCGTCAAAGCCATTTTGTTAATATCCTTATTCATATACTCGTCCGCGTCGGAGAACAGTATACACAGTGGGCTCGTAGCTGGCAAGCTCCCAAACGTCTTCATAAGCTGCTCGTCCGTGAGATCAGAGCTGAAATAGTCATCATCACCATCGTGATTCGGACTGGCAAGTGACAACCATCTGTACGCAGAAATAGGGCAGCCAGGTAAGAATTTATTCGTTTTCTTGGAAGGTAAAACCTCTGCGCTATCTCCGGCATCGACCATTGCCTGAGCAGTAACACATGCTGATTTATAGACAGCGGGATCCATCGTCATAATCATTGCTTCTCGATCACTGACGGGGCCTTGAATAATGCCACCATTGACGGGAGCGCGGTCCTCGTGACCAGTTCCAGTTAGATATTCCATGACATCCTGACACCCAGTCGAGTGACCTATCAGGATAATCTTGCCGGATTTGATGGTGCGGAAGTACGCAACGCATTGGGAGAGCTCCTTGACGTCTTTCTGTAAGGAGGAGATTCCCCAGCCGGTGTAAGAGGAGGAAAGGATGGCTTGAGCGATGCTCCAGGTTGGTGGAAGGGCATCTGCTATAGTTGAGGTGTAGGGAACGTTGTGAAGTCCGTCAAAGAGACCACCAATGAAGATGAGGATGTTTTGAGATGGGGCGGATGTCTCTTTGGGGGTATGCTCGAAAGCTACTAGACGAGGTGACTGAGGTATATTAGTTATGAACTTGAAAACAAAAACATTCCATACCTAAATAACTTACAAATTGATGGGTAATACCTTTCCTTGCAATACCAATGAAAGTCATCTTGGCGAAGTTGCTTAACTCCTCAATTTCGAACCAGTGAAGACTCAGATCCAGCAAGTATTTATGAAAACACAAGACTTCTATAATGACTTTTTTACATTAAGCTTGTTGAGAAAGAGCAGAACAAAATTCGATTTAAACGACGGCGGAGTCTTTATTCGCTGTTTACAGTACACTCGTATTGTATGAATGTTTATGTAGTAGTTCGACGAGATGAAAAAGGAAGGAGTGGCAGTGGACCAAGAACACGCACTCCTGGTCGCTCTTCTCCACCGTACGATCACGACCCTCCATCACGAAATTTATCTCAAGCTTCAACTTACCACCAGGACAAGCTCACCATCCATCCAGCCACCACTCGCATCTCCAACATGGCGTCCTCACACACATCCCTAAGCCGCCTCCTAACTCCCCTCCTCTCTACCTTCCGCTCCTCCATCCAGACCCTCAAACCCACCACGACCAGCGCCATAATGCCATGCCGAACATTCTCCTCGACGCCCACGCCCCTCGCAGCAGGAGGAGGACCCCCTAGCCGACGACCGGGCGGGAAAGGCAAAGGTCCCCCCAAGGATGCACGTATAAAGTTGATTCGATACCATATGCAACATCCCAAGACGCCGCGGCCGCTGAAGCTGTCCCGCATGCGTGCCCTTCGACACTGGACGATCCATCGGGCGTGGATGCTGGCGCAGCGGAAGAGAGTCGAGGGAGAGGAAAGCGAGTTGATGAGGTATGTAATGTTATGTCATTCATTTCCGTCCACATAATATCACATCATATCATTTTCAAGTTATGGATGTGTGGTGGCGTGACAAGGCGAATGAGTGGAATTTGAGGATGAAGCTGAGGATGAGGGCTAATTGTGAATTAGGATGTACCAAAGTATGCACGCCGCTTGCGAAGAGCTGAGATTGTTGGATCCGCCGGGTACGAAGGATGCGGGGAGGTTGTATCGCATTGCGATGGAGAAGAAGGGGATTTTTGGGCATGGGGGGGTGCCGATTGAGTATGCGAGGGCGCAGACTGAGACCCCCCCGAGAGAGGCCTGGAATCATGCATGGACGAGATGAACCAGCTGTATTATGATTATGGATTTGGGTTAGCTGATGTGTAGGATAGGGATTGGAGACGATGTTCACAATATCTAGAGGGGAGCAAAGTGTGTTTGTTGTTGGAAGTATATCCAGGAGTAAAATCAGGCCATGTTCATTATGCATGCTCGCCCGTATGTATTCTATGTACAAAGAGTTCACCCATTAAGACCAACGCTGTTGTTTGCAAGCAAGCATGCAGCAATCCCCCAGTTCCAGGCCATTCGATTTCCATTCCGCCAGATGGGGTATGTGATGACGCAGAAGAGACAAACAAGAAAACTATAAAAGGAGGGTAAAAGACCAAGCAAGTCATGATCAGTCATTAGAAGGGTCTATCTAACCCTCAAAATTCAACCAGTAAATCTGTTGCACAAGCAAATAGCCTTAAAACTTTTGTGTGCACTGCTGCATTTGCTGTTTGCAAAAATCTCCATCGAACAAACGCCAGACTGGGTCGCTTGCAATCGTTAATGGCGCCTAGAAAGTCTCCCGTGATAGCACGGCGGTACGAAGTGAAGGCGTATTCGGTTCGCGCATTAGAAAGGGTATGCTTGCAATTGTTGCCGAACCCGAAAAAGCATCCCTGTCAATGCCATGCCTCCAGTATTTCATCCGCAAACTCCAACTCCGTTTCCTATAGTATCACACAACATCCGCCTCCCTCCCCCTTCTCAAATGTCAGGAGAGCTGCTCTTGTTGCCGCCTCAAAAACATCATCGACCCCTTCACCGGTCAGGGAAGAGCATTCGAGGTATTTTCGTGCTCCGATATCGTGGGCAATATCTGTTGCTTCCCGGGTGCCAACAAAGTGTTGTGATCTCTTCCGAATCTCCTCAATGGCAATTGGGTCTTCTCTCAGATCCTTCTTCAGGCCGACAAGGATGATGGGGACTCCGGGACATCGCTCGTTTGCTTCTTCGACCCACTATATATAGTTAGCATGTGAAAGTTGGTAGCCGTCCATGAACCAAGCGTACTTTGTGCTTAACGTTGTCCAGAGAATCCGGTGTGTCGATTGAAAATCCTATTAGAATAACATGTGCTTTTGAATATGCCAGGGGCCGTAATCTTTCATAATCTTCTTGCCCCGCCGTATCCCAAAGTGCTAATTGCACGCTCTTTCCATCCACCCTACAATCCGTAACGTAGTTCTCGAAGACAGTCGGGACCTAAATTAGCTATGTCAGCAATCTTTTCCGGGCGAAATCCTCCTGGTTGGGCGAGGGTGGAGACATACATAGTGCTGTGAAAAGAGCTGTCAGCAAAACATTCCGAGCATTATAAAGTGTTTGACTTACTGTAGGAAAATAACCCAATGTGAATACACTGAGCAGTGATGTCTTACCACAGGCACCGTCTCCAATTATGACCAATTTTCTGTATATTATCTGTTAGCAGGTGCAGAAGTTGGAGTTCCGCGTCTTTTTGTTTATGATTTGAGCCCCGAATACAAATGTCAGACCATCAATTGAGCCCTCCATATTGGGTAGCAGGAATGCAGCGCCCCCAGTCCCAGCGGCAAGCCCAATTGTATCCTGACATTTGTTCCGTATCCCGGGAACTTCGCAGCTCCAGGCCCGCAGTTGGTAGGAAATACTGTAAGCATACCTTCGCATGACATTTTGAGCCTGTGGTTGGGCCATGTCTGTGAATCGTTTGGTTGTTGGGAGAGGCGTTTCGCAGACGAGAATCGATGGGACTGGTCACCAGTCAAGGCAAGGGAGGCGTGCCGAGGAGCGCGGCGACTATTTGGGGTTTATCGAGATGGGATGTTTGAGGTTTGTCGATACGAGCCTGGTGATTGCGGGCAAACTTGGCAGGCTGGGTAGTAAGTTTATTTGTTGAGAGCGCGTGGCAGACAAGGCGAAGGGGAGAGGATCTCGACTTTTCAGGAACCAGGGGAATACGACCCTTTTAATGGTGGAGGAGTGGTGGAGTGGTAAGGTAAGGAGGGCCTGGATAGTATGGTAATGTATGGTGAGATTGAGAGAGCAATGAGGGTTTTCGGTTCCTTTTTGGGGTTGCAACTGGGCTGAGTCGGCGGTGCACGGCTCCCTGAAGCTCTCAAAACAGCCTAGCAGCAGCGTGACGGGTCACCTTTTGAGGATCCCTGGAGGGAGGAAACAAGTGGAGCCACGGCTGTCAGTGGACTGAATGATGTTATTGGGTGGACGGGCGTACAGTAGATTGATTGATATTGGGTCGGGTAGGGTACATACGGGGTACGGTAGTATTGGAGAAGAGACTAGAAAGCTCGTACAGTAGGTAGAGATTGAAGTGTCTTCATCAGCTAGATCAGCAATCCAATAAATAGGTATATGATCACCGAATCACGTAACGTGAGATTTTAATGGAAGAATTATGATGTGTTTTATCTTGATACGTACAGTAGCTAACCTACTGTACCCAGTGCCTGCAGGCTAGCCCTACTTCCCCTTCCTCTAGTGTTCTAGTTCCACTTTGAAGATTTCCCGCACGCTAAGAAATACTTTTTGCCTGAATATCTGTCTCAGGCTACAAGGCACACTGACACTGGATGTGACTGAGGCAGCTCTGCAGCAGGTGCGAACCACAGGACCAGGACTTCATCAACGAAAGGTACGGTATTGCAACTGCTTCCACGACAACATTTGCCCCAACGGAACCTCTACTACGAACCCCAAGACCTCGCACACTTCCAACTGCAACTTCTCGACCCTCTCGATTCTCCTCCCTTGTTCTACGACTTTCGTCAACATCTGATATTCCCCAATATTCAATCCGGCAAAAAGAGACACCTTGGTGGGGTAACAGCCTGTCCTCCTGCCATTCACTACTTCCGTGAGTGCTCGGGATCCTCTTGGCTGCGAGATCTTGACCTCCTGGTTGAGGAACCCCCTTTCTCGACCAGATCTGATCTCTTTGCAGGGAGCTCTTGCGGTTTACCCATGCCCCCACATCCAAACGGCCTTTAATCGGAATGCCCGCAAACCAACGGCAACAGTCTAAACAATCTCCAGCGTCTCCTACCTCCAGACCTACCGCCAAGTACACAAATAAGGATGGTTCCAAGTTCATAACTGTCCCCAAAGTTTTTAATCCGAGCGACTCTGAGACATCCCCAGCCATGGCCCAGACAACTACAAAACCCAATAGACAGGTGCCCTCACCTCCTACAAATCCTAGTAGTGCTGTGCCCTCAGTCAATCGAAAGAAACAAAAGCGCCGCGACAAACAAGCTGCGAAGCTAGCTGCAGAGCAGCCTACGAGAATTCATACGAACGGCGCGCACGCTCCAGGAAAGGCACATTTCCACGAGCATGGTTTGGACGCGCGATACGAAGATAATGGGCAATTCGATCCAGCAGACGGAGAGCAGGACTACAGCGACGAGGATGGAGATGCGTATTCTGGCTCGTATGGAAATGACGGGTCATCTGCAAATGGGCATGCGATACCTGCATCTGACCCCTCTGGGAAGAAGTCTAGGAAGAAGAAGAAGTCTAGAGCCCAGCCCGAAACACTTCACCACGGGCATTCTCATGGTGGAACAAATGGTATCTCGCATAATGATGTATCTCTTCCGCTTCCTCCACTATCAGCTAGCGATATGCCCCGAGGCCCTGGTATCTCCAAGGAGAAAATCTGGAACACTTCATCGCAAGAAGAGCGTCAGCGAATAAAAGACTTTTGGTTGTCTCTAGGCAATGATGAGCGCAAGTCACTTGTCAAAGTCGAGAAAGATGCAGTGTTAAAGAAGATGAAGGAGCAACAGAAGCATTCATGTAGTTGTACAGTCTGTGGACGTAAGCGCACTGCCATTGAGGAAGAACTTGAAGTTCTCTATGATGCATATTATGAAGAGCTTGAGCAGTATGCAAATCACCAAGGGGACGGAGGCCCTACGCCCATGATGCCCCCGCCTCGTCGTTTTGGGGCTCTGGGAGGTTTGCAGCCTCCAAATCGCCTACCGCCCCCATTTACTGGCCAGCAACCATCAAGAGGCAGAATAGTGGAACAGCTAGGTGACGATGAAGATGAAGAAGGCAGTGAGGAGTATAGTGAAGATGATGGAGACGAGGACGATTACAGTGATGAAGAACCGGAGGAGATTCCGCGAACCAATAATGCTCCTGACTTCTTTAGTTTTGGTAATAGTCTTACAGTACAGGGTGGGATTCTCACCGTCGCGGACGACCTACTCAAGAATGATGGAAAGAAGTTTATCGAAATGATGGAGCAGCTTGCTGAACGTCGAATGGCGCGAGAAGAAGATGCTCGGGAATACGCAAGTCAAAGTTACGGACATCCTCCAAATGGCGCAATGCATCCGCACGTGCACCCTCACCCTCACGCTCATAATCATCCACCCCCGCAAGAGGACGAGGAATATGATGAAGATGACGAAGAGGATGAGTACGATAGCCAAGACGAGGACTACGACGATGAAGAGGAAATGGTAGGTGACAGGCCGTGCGGATGCGAGGCATGTTCTAATCTCATGCAGGACACGATGACGGAAGAACAACGGATGGAGGAAGGACGTCGGATGTTCCAGATATTCGCTGCTCGGATGTTTGAGCAAAGGGTTTTGACTGCGTACAAAGAGAAAGTGGCCAAAGAGCGTCAGCAAAAGCTTTTGGAGGAGTTAGAAGAAGAAAACCAAGCGGACTCCCAGAAAAAAGCGAAGAAGGCTCGGGATGCTCAGAAGAAGAAAGAGAAGTTGGCGGAAAAGAAAAAGGCCCACGCAGAAGAAAAGGCAAAGCTAGACGCCAAAAAGGCGGCTGAAGAAGCCGCCATTCGCGCCGCCGAGGAGAAAAAGGCCGAGGAGCAACGTCTGAAGATCGAGGAAAGACGGAGGAAAAAGGAAGCGCAGAAGAAAGCCGAGGAAGAAGAGCGACTGAGAAAGGAGGCCGAAAAGGCGCGTCGTTTGCAAGAACAACGAGATCGACAAGCCGAGTTGGAGCGCAAGCAAAGAGAGGCCAAGGAGAAAGAACGAAAGGAGAAAGAGGAGATTAGGCAGAGGGAGCGAGAAGCAAAGGAGGCCAAGGAACGAGACTCTCGAGAGCGGAAGGAGAAGCAGGAAAGAGATAAGCGTGAAAAGGAAGCCAAGGCGAAAACCGAGAAGGAGTCTAGGGAAAAACAAAAGCGTGAGGAGTTGGCGGCTCAACAGGCTGCTGCACAAGCAGCTATTGCTGCAACTCAATCTTCGAAACGACCGCAGCCCCCAGTACCAATTCCGTCGAGCTTACAGTCACATGCTGTATCAGTTGCTTCTCCCCACATCCCTGTTGCCACTCCTGCTATTCCGAAAGCGCCAACACCTGTTAAACTACGAACATCTTCTCAGCAAGGTTCAATAGGGACCGGTCCCCAAACCCCTCAGGGCAATGGACTAAGCCAGAATACCTCGCCTCATTCATCAACGCCTATGCAAGGTAGCCCTGGTCCAATTGGACCACCCGGAAAGAACCAAGGACAGCAGCCACATCTCCATCACCCACAAGCCGCATCTCCGATCCATGCAGCCCTGAAGAGTCCTCCGGGAATTCCACCAAACACATTTGCTGGCATGCAACCTATGGGTTTGGGTTTCCAACCCGGGGTACCTATGATGGCGCCAAGCTTTGGCGGGCGTATGCAGCACGAACCTATGTTTGCCCATCAGCCACCGATGGGAGGGCAATTCAGGCCTATGGCTGGCCCCAACGGTATGCCAATGCATCCTCAATTTGTCATGCCGCAGATGCAGCAAGGTAGAGGTTTCCCTTTGCAACATGGTCCACCAGGGTTCCCACCGCAAATGCAAAATGGTCTAGGTGGTATTGGTCAACCTATCGGCGCACAGAAGGATGGTAATCCATCACAATCTCATTCGCGGCAACAATCGGGATCCTATGAGAAGCCATTCGAGACACCATCGTCCATTTCACAAGCACAACCTATTGCAAGGCCAGGTCCGATCGGCCGCCCGTCGAGTGTAGTACATGGCCATCACCAAGGAAATCCGAGCTTGAGTGATGTTGATGAGTTGAGCAATCGACTCGGAAGTCGCGCATTACTCGATGAATCAGACGAGCCGCTTGACGCGGGAGTAAATGGCCGACGCACAAATGGCATGCCAAACCTCAATACGAGACCAGGGTTTTCACATTTTGGACTGGATCCTGGGTTTCCAAGCCCAATGAGCTCGTTCAATACATGGGGTGCTCCACAGCAGAATCCTTTTGGGCCGTCTTCACTACCTGGTTCGAATTACAACGGCTGGGGCCCGTCTGTGAACGGCACTTTCGGCTCCCTTGGAGGCTCTTCAGCAATGCGTCCACCACAGTCCCGCCCAGTAGCTGTCCGAAACATGATCTGCAGAGCTTGTCACAATCTCGAAGGCTCTACACCTGATGGCTTCTACGATATCAACCTCATTAAAGAGCAAATCGAGCATCTCAACAGCCTCAACGAGCAGCCTGTGTCAGAGCAAGAGTTGCTTGAGATGTGTGAGACTGAGGGTAATTCTATGAATGGCGGTGGCTCGTTTGAGGTCCGCACTGATGGCAATGGCCAACGCTCCATTCGCTATGAAAATGATATCCCGTCAGCACATCGACCCGTAGGTGCACCAGGTGAGATTGGTAGCCCGATTGTAGGCGGTGGTAGCATGGCTCGCTTTGCTCACGGGCCCCCTCCAGGCTTCTGAGCCTCTTATTCTCTCTTCTTTGCCATAAGTTTTCCGTTTGTATCACTGCATCTTCGCATGGCCAATCCCATTACGGCGCTATTGCTTCTAGGTTTTTCCACCTGGACTGATTTTGGTGGAGGAATCAATGAATGGGCTGTTCTGCTGAGGCAGGATGGTTCCAGTGTACGAGCCAGCGTCAGCTTTACACTTCCACTTCGATAGTGAAGTGGAATACTAAATATAACATCAATGTTTTGGTACATCGATCTTCATGTGAATCACTACTTTTGATTTCTGAATAATTTAATGCTAGTATCATACACTGGAACCTATATCGCTTTTAGGGCCGTGATAGCGTAAAGGGGTCCTCTGAGGGACACGTGCTTCCCTATTGCACAGGACTAGCGCAAGCAACAACACTACAGAACAAAAGACAAGAGAAGGGAAAGTTATAAGTCAAAGAAGCGGTCGAGAAGCAGAAGAGTAGAATTCCATGCCTAGCTAATTCAGCATCCGTAGAAGAACTTATAGTGCAGACGAGTCATATGACTAATCCCATATTCAGCCAGCCCAAGTGGGCCAGCTGAACCGAAGTGAAAACCAGAGAGCTATATCTCCCCACCACAATAGTAAGTACTAGCCACAGCTTATGGAGCCATTAACACTAGCCGACTTAAGTAGGTTTGGGTTTTGTCGATACGCGTTACAAGTTTCGTGGCTGGAATTTCACCGTCTCGGTCCCAGTCACTATATAGAGCCAAGATCCGGAAAGCAGGCAAGTTCCATTGTCTATTCAACTACTTCGCGCCTATTAAACTGTTCCATATCCATGCCAACCGCATATCTCATTGAGAGTCAGTCGTACTGAATCAAGCACCTTCAACCTTCAAAAATCCCAATTGCTGGTCCATAACCTCCCTCAACATCATCTCATAACTTCTCCACTCCAACCCCAACTCCCTCTCCACCTTCCCGGTATCAATACCCCAGAATCCCGTTTCCCCACCCGCCCTAATCTTCCACCCCGCATCCGGATAATACTTTTCCAGAAGCCCCACCGTCTCGTCGCACAACGGCGCTGGTCCCGATATCAAGTAACTGGCATTCCCCTGCACGCGTGCCTCGTCTAGGGCTCGCAGATGCGCGTCCGCGACATCGAGGACGTGGACACAGTTTGTGGGTGAGAGGGCGACGCCGCTCATGATCGAGCCGAAGAGATAGTCGTTTGTGCAAATTGCTAGTTCAGAGGAGTGCGTTTGTAGGATGTGGTGGCCGAAGACGGGGGTGGGGTGGAGTGTTATGAGCGTGAATTGGGGCTGCTGGGATGACATGAAGGACCAGCTTGCGGCATTAGCAAGGAGTTTTGAGGCGTGGTAGAGTTGAAGGGATGTGAGGAAGTCGTTTTCTCGTGTAAAGTCTGCGGTTTCATCAACTGATAAATCCCAGTCGTTATCCTCTGCTCAAATTAGTATTGTCTTCTCTTTCTTTTTCTGCTTCAATTACTTCTCTATTCGGTGGTATTCATGGTACCTGGAGATGGAGCGAAGGAGAGAGAGTGAGAGAGAGTGTGAAAGAGGGCTACCTACCTTTAATAACACCACCTTCCGGAACCCCAGCAAGCGGAATCAACGCCACGACCGAGCTCATAATAACAACTCTCTTCACACTCCCCACCCTAGCCGCTTCGGCCAGAATATTCATCGTGGCCTTCACAGCTGGCGTCACTATCTCCTCCTTCTCGGTCGTGTGAGGGATCGGCGATGCGAGATGTATAATGTAATCCACGCCGTCGAGTTTGCCTGCATAGGCGTCATCAGCCGCAATATCGGGTACAAGGACGAAATCAAGACTGGGGAGGTATTCTGGGAATACGTGCTTGAGCTTCGAGATTTGGGATTCTTGGCGCACGGCGAGGCGGAGATGGTAGCCGGCTTTCAGGGCGACGAGGGTGGTGGTCGCGCCGATGAAGCCTGTGCCTCCGGTCATGAAGATGAGACCTTTTGCAGACATGATACGAGGGAGTCCTTAGGTTTGAGTGTGTGAGGGATCTTGTTACTTGGCTTGGGAGTAAAGGATTTTACTGTTCATAGGAGAGAAGGGGCCCTGGCTTTACATACAATTTTACTCCCAGAGAATTGAGTCACCCTGTCTTAACTGTGGTATTCACCAGTAAATTCAACTTCGAATGATTCATAAAGACCATGCTTAACTTATTCACATCGCTCAAGTTTAGAAAACTGCTGCTTGGTCTATTGCTTTCGTCGCTATATATCCCCAACTTTTATTCCTGAATTGCACTAATATTCAACGAGTGAACCGGAACACATCAATACAGAAGATCACGTGATGCTCACCCCCCTTTTACTTTAGCGAAACTTCTCCACACCCATTATCCGACAGAGAAACGGGCTTTAGGTTGGATCAAGCATGCGGGCCTTACTTATCCCGTCGGATAGATGTTTACCCTTGTGAAAATCATGTCATTATGGGGTTCCATGTGTGTTTGCTCTGATTACTATTCATACTCGCATCTCGGCATATAAACACCGCTGAATTGATTCTCACTTATTGTGTACTACTTCATAATTACTAATCTCTGCTTGAAATGCTTCCGCTCGCGTAGATTGAACCACTATAAATGCAGTATTGCGGTTGTACGTCCATGGTCTAGTAAATCCAGCGAGACCACATGGACAGTGTGGTGCAGCAATCACAAATCATATCCGTAACAACTATCCGACCTACTGCCAACTGACTGGAAGGTGGAAGAAGCTCTTCGAAAAGGAAGTGGGGAGACCAGGATATATAAAACAGAAGCTCTTTTAGAAGTGTTGCCGGATCCAACAACCAAGATTCAAATCTTTTTGATCTATAGCGAGCCAACAATTCACCATAATAAACCATCATTAACAATGCCTCTCTGGAACATCAAACACAGCCCCAACCTGGTCTCTCCCTCCGAAAAACAAGCCATCGCCGAAGCAGCCACCGCAATCTACAAATCCGTCGGCCTCCCCGCCTTCTACGTCCAAGTAATCTTCACTGAGGTCCCGCCCCACTCCCTCTTCGTAGGAGGAGAAGTACACCCAAAATACGCAAACATCCAAATCAACCACATCGCTAGATCCATTCGTCGTCCTGAGGATAAGAAACGCTTTCTGGATAGTCTTGATATAGTTTTCACGCGTTTGTTTGAGGGGAAGGGCGCGAGTTGGGAGTATTTTGTGGGGGAGACAGAGAGGGACATGTGGAAGATCAATGGGATGCATCCTCCGGATGAGGGATCGGCTATGGAGAAGAAGTGGGTGGAGTTGAATATACCTGTGAAGGAGGGGGGATTTTAGTGAAATTGGAATGGCTTATTAGTCCAGAGGGTGTGGTTGTGCTTATGCTTGTGACGGAGCAGAGTATTAGGGATTTTGAGGAGAGAATTGTGATAAGAACTTGTTCGGGACGCTCTTTTTGTGATATTTAGGAATCCTATCATTCATTTATGGTATTATGAGAGTGTGTACTATCCTTACCACAATCGAAATCGTTAGCCTATCGTAGTAATTTATCATACTACCAAATTTTAGAAGATTGTTAATTTTAGCTGTTTATATATCAAAAGAGCAGTGTTGGTATCACAGGATACCGCGGTAAATCACTTTGTACTAGCTAGTAATAGGTGGTCTCGTTCGTTGATGTTCTTGATGTCTGTCTAGAAGTGGAAGTGGGAGACGCGAAGAGGTGATGACCTCTTCGCTGACTAAGCTACACTAAGTCACATAACTAGAAAGATCGGGATACAGCCCTTATCCCAACAACTAGTAAATATAACAAATATAATTCCTGATCGATTCCGGAATTCAAGAATATTTACGTACGTAAATTTCAACCCCCTACATGAGGCATTTGTTGGCTGATAGAGCTAACGAATAAGCTTTTAACACTAGGTGGTATATATACGGAGACGGTGTAGGCGAGAGATCTTCAGGGGTAACCAATCATACCCATAGAACGAGCATGAGAATTCGAGTTGTCTTACGGATTGATTGTCTTCTTGGCTCATAGCTTGTAATTAGAAGTCAATCATCACTATCAAAGCGATTATAAGATGAGGATGAGATACAAGTATAGGTATGGGATTTCCTAAAAAGGAACACATGGATGCTAAGTTCGATGAAAGGGGCATTAGCGAAGGGGATTTGCTCAAGGTCCGTACGAACCGAACCCCGCAGACTCAAATCGGGCAGGGAATGGAATCACGTTCAACGCACGGCTTCCCAGTGGCTACACGAAATTCGTTTGCATGCCCCGGATCAGCCGGGTGCTCAGTCTCACGCGATTTCTGTTACCTCGCCACGCCAATCGTATGTATGCCTAGTGGCTCGCTCTGGCTCTTTCCCACTTGGAAGTTTGTACCTGCGTGGTACCTGACGATGATCCTTCTTCCCTACCACACTCTTTACGCACCAAAACACATTCTTTCGTTTGAAATATACAGCCAGGAAGACTCTTGAAGTCCCCATCCAATCTTTTTTTTATTTGTTTTGAATTACAATAATATTGCAGTGCGTGCGTGCGTGCAAAGCAATGAGTCGCTCGCTCCTCTTCAGCATCGCGAGTCTCCTCATACCATTTGTCTCTGCGGATTTCGGCTTCACGAATCCTAGCTTCCAATATGTGCAATTATCTTCTCCCCAAGCGCTTGCTTGGAACGGGCAATCGGGGCTCGTCACTTTGAGGTTAATGGTCTATCCCGCGGATTCCGAACAGAGTTATTTGCCAATTGCTGGTAAGGTTCCTGGAGTAATGGAGTTGATTGGATATCTATTGTCTGGTTTATTGATTGATTGATTGACTGATTGATTGTGTGCATGTATGTAGCGAACCTAAGTGGAGCTTCTTATACTTGGATACCGGATTCGCTGGCGACGGGAAGTAAATGGACGCTGGAGGGCATTGATGCGGATGGCAATATGGCATCGTCTCTCAACCCATTCGTAATCCAGGGCGCTGCGGCACCAGGTTCAAATACGGCAACCACATCACTCATGCAGCAGGTAAGAACCAGGCCTTAGAGATTCGATCTGAACAGTGCAGAATTAAGCTGATGAGATGCAAACGTAGAAGCCACAAATTACCGCGGCATCCACACTCGCAACCCAAACCACCACCACCACACCAACCTCAAATCCTACCAATACCTCCTCTCCTTCTTCTTCTCCAAAACAAAACTCAAACATGCACATGTCGACGGGTGCCAAAGTCGGAATCTTCGCTGCGGCCATCATAGGCGCCGCTATAATCGTAGCCCTCGTTACATTTTTCTTTCTACGGCATCGCCGGAACCGGCAAAAGCGCTTGCGACACGACTCGATCGAACTGGCAAAGGGAAACTCGGACCTCTGGGAGCTGGAGGGAAAAGGATCGAGTTCGACGTTGGATACGTTGAGTTCGATGAATAGGCCTTTTGTGGAACTCAAGGGGAGTGCTCTGGCGGGGTCGGTGCCGACGAGTATGGGGGAAAGGGTTGAACTGGGTTAATTGATTTATGAGAAAGAACACTTATTTCTTAATGGCGCGAGGCGGATTTAATTAATGGGATCGATCAATGGTTATTATGTTATGAGGCAGGGCGGTGTTAGGGAAAAGCCGGCTTTCGCGGAATGAGAAGCGGACACGGGGGTGGTTGAGAGTTGGAATACTAAAGCCTGTCTACAGGCATCTATCTATCTCGTTGTTCATGAATATGAAGAACGTAAGTACTATGCCGGTATGATAAGGTCATGTGTATATTTAATCCCATGATTATACAGTTATCAAATACAAATCAATTAATCGCAACAGAATTCCAACTACGTCGTCAGTACAAGTAACATCTTAAGTCGTCTGGCATGTCGCCCCCTTTTTATGATTTGCCACGAAGTTCGACATGTATTAATTCATCTAATCAAGACATCATTCATTGAACACCGTTGTAAGCTTGAAGAAAAGGGAACCCACAGCGCAAGATTTCAATGAAGAAACGGATAACATACAAGACGGAGAAGCAAGCTTCTTGACTCTCCAAGTATATCTATCTTCAACCTCTTACTCAATCAGAAAGATCGTTCGCCTTGCTAACTTATAATCAACTCCGTCTTCCTTGCAACACCCATTTGAGGAAATGCGCCATGCCCATTTTTAGTGGCAGGTGTGTAAAGTATATCACGTACGCAGTATACACAGCACAGGACTTCCTGTATGTATGTTTCAAATTTCATCGATTGAAGTATATTATCAACAATATGTACAATACAACCACCGCCATGCCATTTCCTGAACTTCATCCATAATCGTCAAAATCAAAAACCAGTCACATCCCGTGATCCTGATGGAAAGTCCATGCATCAACGCAAATATCGCAACTTGAAAAAGCACTTTTCCCAACACCGAATTTTCCACTGTTGCTGGTTAAAAACGAAGTGTATTATAGCTGAAGCCAAGACCGCTTGATAAAGAAGGAAAGTAGCAAGCAGCGGGCTATTTTAGACACCATGCTTGCCAGCTGTCCTCTTTACCATTGTCTTTCGGCGTTCTCTGTCTTTTTCTATTTGAAAATTAGTAAATGTTGCTCGCATATGGGAAAGGGGCACTAACGTTCATCCCAAACCAAGAACTCATGTAAAGCACTCCCAGCAGGCACCATGGGCAAGACAGGGACCTTCTTATCGGTAACGACCTCCAAAAATGCTGGGCCATCACTTTCAATCAACCACTTCAAAGAATCCTTGACATCATCCGGTTTGATACATCTCCTAGCTTGGATACCCATAGCATCGGCAAGTTTCATGAAATTTGGGTTCTCAGAGTGTGTATGCGAGTATCGGTCCTCGTAAAAGATATTTTGCCATTGAGTGACCATTCCTTGCTCCTCGTTGTTTAATACGATGATCTTGACGCCAATGTTGAACTGTTTTGCTGTAGACATTTCGGTTAGAGTCATGTTGAAGGAAGCATCGCCATCGATATCTATGACGAGAGAATCAGGCCGGGCAACTTTGGCTCCAATGGCTGCAGGAAGACCAAAACCCATAGTTCCGAGACCACCGGAAGTAATCATTGTTCTTGGATGCCGCCACCTGAAATGTTGAGCTGTCCACATTTGATGTTGCCCTACACCAGTGGTGATGATGGTCTCTTCTTTCCGGTCAGCGGTCAGATTCGAAAGCTCTTCGATGAGAGTTTGAGGCTTGATAAGGCCTGTTCGGTCTGCCTTTTCATATGCTGAGAGAGGGAACTTTTCTTTCCAGTACTTGATCTTGTCGAACCACTCTTTCCTATCAGTCATACTCTTGTTCTGGACTAAGGGCAAGAGAAGGGCCAGGTTTGCAGCGACATCCCCTTCTACAGCCTCAGTCGCTTGAACAACCTTGTTGATGTTCTTCGGCATGATTTCGAAGTGGACGATACCCCCTCGTCCTTCAGCAGCAGCGGCCTTAGCTTGTGGGGCAAACTTTGGAACGCTGAGAGTTACGCGATCATCAAAACGGGCCCCAAGAGCAATGATAAGATCTGCGTCTTGCATGGCAAGGTTAGCGTAGGCTGTACCGTGCATACCGAGCATATGTAAAGCCTTCTCATCAAGCTCGTCAAAGCCACCAAGTCCTTGGAGAGTAGTTGTAACGGGGATAGATGCCTTCTCGGCGAACTCTTTTAAGAGCTTAGGCCCTTCTGGGCCTCCAATGACACCCTGACCAGCATAGATAACTGGTTTCTTGGCAATATTAACCAACTCAGCCACACGTTGGAGGGTAGCGGTCAAGTGCTTTTGGCTAGCATCAATTGCTGCCTTTGATGCGTGGCTAGGGAGGGATGGAAGAGTACTGCCCATAGGGATTGCTTTTCGAAGAATAGCAGCTGTGACATCTTTTGGTAGATCTACCAAGACTGGTCCAGGTCGTCCAGATGTGGCGATTTCAAAAGCCTCCTTTATCCTCTTGGGTAACTCCGCCACGTTCCTGACCATCACGTTCCATTTTGTGCATGCTCTTGAGATACCAATAACATCTGCCTCCTGGAAAGCATCACTGCCAATTGCTGTTGTTACAACCTGTCCGGTGAAGACAATTAATGGGGTTCCATCCGAGAGGGCATCCTGCATGGGAGTAATGACATTCGTAGCACCGGGTCCCGAAGTGACGAGAACAACTCCTGGCAGTCCACTGGCCCTAGCATAGCCCTGCGCCATATGCCCAGCACCTTGTTCGTGTTTGGGGAGGATGAAGTCGAAATGTTTTGAATTGTAGATAGCATCGAAAACGGGCAGAATTGCACCGCCAGGGTAACCGACTGAAACGGAATTAGCAACGCCAATTGAGTTTGTATTTTAGTATACTTACAGATATGCTTGACTCCTTGTCTAAGCATCATCTCATGGAAGATTTCACCTCCAGTCATCCCAATGAACCTGCATTGCGAGTCAGTATATATGGTTTCGAATGGCGGTGACTCAGAACGTACGACTCGTCCATTTCTGGTTGTCGAGCATTTTGTAAAGGATTTTCGCGTTTTGTTGGAGTGGTGTTAAATGCTGGGCTTGGACTTTCTCTAGGTTGTCTGTACAATTGTGAGTAGTGATCGAGTTACAGATGCGAGGAGGACACACGGTGAGGGGGCGGCTGCGGTGGCGGCCGTTGTTTGTGTTCTAACAGCAGCTGGACCTTTCTTGGAAATGGCAATTGCTGCAGGGGCGGGTGTATTTGAGAAGGACCGTGTATAACATCTTTGCTTTTGTCTGAGAGCGCGAACAGCACTGCGTGCTGGTATAGAGCGAAGCATGGTGGAGGGGAGTATTGGAGTAACGAGAGGAAAGCGAAGTTGAGCGGACGAAGGGAGAGATGGATGTGTCTGGGACCCTTAGGGATAACCCTGTTTGCAGTTCGTGTTCTGTATGCAGCAGAAGAGAAGAAGGAATATATTGAGGCTTGTGATCTTGGTTGGATGGTAGATGGATGTGGGATGGATGAATGACTCTTGGTGTAACTGCACAAATTGTGTACTGAATAGTATTTCGCGCCGCTACCGGAGAAAAAGGTGGGGAAAAGACATCCACTTCCAATCAAAGGCCGGGAAATTGTAACTTTTACAGTGGCAGACATTTACACATCAACTACCTACCTTACTGTACTGTACTGTCTACAGGTATTATTCTGACCATCTCCATCCTCATTTGATGAAGTTATTATCAGCCTCGTCGACAAGGCCGCATAGTACTATTTATCATAGATAAGTGGAACTTTCTATCTTTTTCCTGCCTGCCCTGCCCCTGCCCCCCTCCTCTCCCTCGTCTCGTGCTCGTGGGGCAATGCAGCTCAACTCTTACAGTAAAAAACGGGAGTTAGCCACAACAAGCGCACCACTCAGCTCTCTTCTTCAACCGGACCTTCTTTTTGCAACTGATGGCGGGAACATGAGATCTCTACTTTGTGAACTGCCACGCGATGTTATTATTACTACAATCCCAGCTATCGAATTTTGACCTTACCTTTCTTCCTTCCTGGCATCCTGCGATCCCTTGACATTCACTAATCTGTTGCCATTCCATCAATTGATTTCAAGCCAAAGCGTCCCATGCCGACACCCCTCAAATCCAAATACCCCGCGATACGAACCCCCACAAAATTCAACAGGAATACAAAATGGCAGGAACCGTCCCAGTCGCAAAGTCCTTGAAGGACATCTACACCGAAGATGCCATTTCCACGCAAACCGGAAGATGGGAGAAGCTACTGAAGCAATTCAACTCCAATTATGGCCACAGCCCACAATTCGTCTCCCGATCACCAGGTCGTGTCAACATCATCGGGGAGCACATCGACTACTCCCTCTACTCTGTACTGCCTATGGCTATCACGGCAGATGTTCTATTAGCAGTGGCAGTAACCGATGATACGCAAGCTGCGCCGAATTCATACAAGATCAAAGTTTCGAATGTCCAAAACTCGAAATTTCCCTCTCACGAATTCGACATCCCATACGACTCTGTCGAAATCGATGCTAAAGTCCACGAATGGACCAACTACTTCAAGTCTGGTCTGCGAGGCGCATTGGAATTGCTACGGAAGAAACATGGAGCTGGATTCAAACCCAAGAGTATGGAGATACTCATGGACGGCACTGTGCCTGCCGGGGGTGGACTGAGCAGTTCTGCTGCCTTTGTCAGTGCATCTGCATTAGCAGTCATGTTTGCCAATGGAGAGACATCAGTTGATAAGACACAATTGACGGAACTGGCGATTGTCAGCGAGCGAGCAGTAGGCGTCAATTCAGGAGGAATGGATCAATCCGCATCAGTATTCTCTCTACGCGGGACCGCCCTCTTCGTCTCTTTCGTTCCATCCCTCACAGCTAAACCCGTTCACTTCCCCAAGACCACACCCGAGCTCTCATTTGTAATCGCCCAGTCTTTCGTTCAGTCCGACAAATACGTTACCGGCCCCGTCTGCTACAACTTGCGTGTAGTAGAATGCAGTCTCGCAGCCGCTTACCTGCACGCAATCCTGAACAAGACATCCTCTCAACTACCTACCGATTCAGGACCACTAGGAATATCCCTTCGAGGCTTCCACGACACGTATTTCAAGAGTACAACCAAGTCTTTTGAAGACCAACTCACCGAACTCATCACGCTTACAAAATCTACCCTCACGAAAGAAGAAGGCTACACGCGCGAAGAAATCGCTCCAATAATTGGTATTTCAGTAGAAGACTTAAACAAGCGTTTCACATCCACCTTTCCCATCCGCGGCACGCATTTCAAGCTCCGTCAACGCGCGCTCCACGTCTTCTCCGAAGCCCTCCGGGTCCTACGATTCATGTCAGTCCTCTCGAACCCCGATATAGAGCATAACGAATCCTTCAACAAAAGGCTAGGGGATCTCATGAACGAGACGCAAGATAGCTGTAGCAATGTATATGAATGCAGCTGTCCGGAACTCGATAAGATATGCGCGATCGCGCGCAAGGCGGGGAGTTATGGCAGTCGGTTGACGGGTGCGGGCTGGGGTGGCTGTAGTGTGCATCTTGTGCCGGCGGATAAGGTGGAGGCTGTCAAAAGCGCGTGGGAGAAGGAGTATTATGCAGGTAGGGAGTTGAGCGCTGAGCAGAGAGAGGCGGCTGTTGTAGTTAGTAGGCCGGGGAGTGGAAGTGCTGTGTTTGTGGTTGAGGGGGAAGGTGTACTGTGATGTCTGACCCCTGGCTAGCATATTATAGCATTTCACATACTGCATGTACATGATGAATAGAAACACCACACCTTAACCTCTCTATCTCTATCTATCTCCGTCTCCATCCCCAGATAAAACTGAACATCTCACCTCCGCTCCACAAACAAACTCCACATATATACCACACCTCACCACAACAACCTAAAGTTTAAAATCCGCATTAACCTTCTCACCCCCAATCCCCCTTACCCCTACCCCTGCACCCTCGCCTTCTCCCTCACGTCCCTCAACCAACATCCCAGCCACCCTTTCCGCCAGTCCAATCTTCAACGCCCTACTCCTCTCAGTACACAGCTCATAGATCGTACTCAGATTAAATGTCAACGCGTGGAAGCTGTTTCCTTCGTCTATGAGGGATTCTAGGGCTTCTTTTGCCTAAGGGGGGAGGTTGGTGTTAGTGTGAGTGTGGGTTTCTTGTGTGGGGGTTGTGGTATGGATTAATTGGAGATGTATGGGGATGTGTGAGGGGGGGAAGGGAATGGAGTAATAGGACTAGAAGGTGGGAAGGGAAGCTTACATGATCCATCCTCCCCAAATACAACAAACAAACCGCAAGATTCTGCCTATACATCGCTAACTCCCCTCCATCCGTTCCCCCTGTAGAAGCAGAAGCAATCAACTCCTCCCAAATCTGCACACAAGCATCAAACTCCCCATCCGCCATCTGCGCTAGCGCTAGAATGACTTTGCCTGCATCGTCTTGAGCATCATCTTCTGTGGGGGTGTCAATACAAGACCGAGCTGCTTCTACGTCGCCGAGACATAGGTAGAGTAGAGCGTTTTGTGTTTGTAGTGGAGGTAGAGTTTGTGTTGGAGATGATGTTGGAGATGAAGTATCTAAAAAGTGTGCAGCGCCTTCTAAATCTTGCATTTCTATCAGCGCACTCGCTACTCTTATAGCGAGCTCGCTCAACCGCTCTTCCCATAACGCTATCTCATCAGAAATAGAGCTAGTAGGAGAAATCGCAAGGGTTTTCTTGAGGCTCGTAAGAGCCAGGCGAGCTTCCCTCGCTAGTTCGTAGAAGCCCATCACGCCGCGTCGCGCGTCCGCGTAGCCCATTCCCTGCAGGCGGACGGCGAGGACGCGGAGGTTCCACGGGACGAGATGGACGCCGCTTTCATCGTCTCTATAATAGGAGCTGTTTAGGTCTTCGAGGCATTTTACTTCCTGTGCTGCTAGCGGTGTTTGGTTGCAGAGGGTGAGACATGAGAGGCGAATGTAGAGGAGTGAGAATATTGTGGGTGTGGGCGGTGCTTGTGGGGCGGTGAGGAGTTGCGAGGCTTTGATGGCGGCGCTGCGGAAATGACCGGCTGATAGGAGGACTTCTAAGGGTGTAGAGGGGTCGGGTTGCGAGGCGGTGGTGCGGAAGGGGGGTGGGACGTCGAGAAGTGTTAGCTAGGGCGGAGTGTTAATGCTGCTTCGGGAAGGGGAATCTGGGGAGAGGGAGGGTTACTGGGTGGTAAATCTCTGGACGTAGTAGGTATGAAAAGTCCTTTTGCGTTGTGAGGGTTGAGTGGGCGGTTTTAAAGGAGGGGTTTGAGGAGAGGCTTGAGAGATTGGAGCCGGGTGCTGGCGAGGGCATACGTGGGGTGTGGTATTGCGAGGTGCTTGGAGATAGGAGGGATGAGGGTTGGCTCGTCAGAGTGGGGAGATGCGAGGGGGTTGGTGGGACTGAATTTCGTTATTAGTAGATGATAATTGGTAATGGATAATAACATACTCTTCTATGTCGAGAGGGCCACGGGTTGGGCGCCGAGGGAGTGCTGTTGAATGTTGTTAGCTAGTTGACTTGCGAAGTTAAATATAGATTATAGAGAATAAAGTTGTGAAGTTGCAAATCATTCTTCCATTCAGGGCCTCTTTCGTACTCTCTGGGATATGGATTCAAGTGAGGTTTGCTCGAATGGTTCTTGAGAACTGAGAGCATCAAATACTCCCCTGGAATAACACTTGAAAATCAGAGGGTAAAGTCAAGCTTGACGAATATCCCTCTGTCTTCAACGACATATTGCAGTTTTGATCCTGACTCTCTGCCTGAACACTCCTTCATTGAGTACAAAAGCGGATTAATATGCTCAAATTACAAGAATTTGTGTTTTAACCACGACGTATTGCACCATGGAACATCTACAGAACAAAAAGACACACATTCTCTGGTACTTCCGCAATGTGATGAAGAGGAATTTGGTATAGCCACGTGATCATAACGCCCAGCTTGCCATCTTTTCATGCTCTTTGAATTGCACTGGCCAAACTAACAAGGATGAGGTATTGATTCCCATGGGCATTGAAAATATGGCAGATAAGATGAAAGCGCGTATCAACATCATAAGTCTCATCCGGTGAGAAGAGGTGAAGCGAATTCCAGACAAACAGAAAGCACGAGCACAAAAGGCATTAAAAAGAGAGATGTGAGCTGACCTCTACTAGCTGATCCTATTCTCGTATGCTTCCTTGGCTGTGTGCCACTCGGTGAGGACTCCATTGTTTGGGATTTGTTAAAGTTCTGCTTGACTTTGGTCCTTGAAGCGAAGTCCGAAGTTATTCAGAGTTGTACAGAACATGCATGAACCTTGATTACATAAGCATGGACCAACTCCTCTTTAACGACTAACGTCAATGACAACTCTTGGCTCACCCTTTTGTCTGTCACCATTGGTATCAACACATTATCAGTCATAGTTAGAACCTTTTGCTTTATTTCCTATTAGCAAGGTTTATTATTTCAATTCGCAAAAGCATTCTAGTGATGTTCTACTTCGTACTTTCCTGACCCCTTGCGAGTCACGAAGGCTGTCCTGGCTGAACATCAGCTGCAGCACTTCCTTTACGTTGCGGTGAGATCTCGAAGTAGATTTGTGCTCTTAATATGCACGAAGATAAGCCTTTTGGGACTTCGGTGTATGGCCTGGAGAGGCAGAATCACCGAACGGCGTTGAGAAGTAATACAACTCACGTGGGAAGTTCAGCCCCTTTTTCAATGAGGGTACGATGAAAAAGTGGTTTCGTAGACATAGGTAAGTTGTTTTCGCTATTTCTATATTAGAGATAGTTTTTGATTTCCCTTCCGAGTCTAAAAGTTAGTATCACGGGAACTTTTGCGAGGTGGGGTGGAGAAGGTTATGGTTATGGGGTTAAAAGCACGACTCTGTTGATTTATAGATTAGCTCTTGGCTCTGTAGCTTCTGAGCCTATGTCTGAGGGCTCTATCTTAAGCCATTGAAAGATCGGTTTCTGCTCCTTCCATCTGTGCGGATTGGGGCGCGCCTCCTCTAGAAAGTGGTTGTCGAATTCAGACCAACGCTCTGCCTCCTCCTCTGCATCTAATCGTGGCAGCCCGAGATGATTCCATCTTGGTGGGATTTTGCCGAAGGTTTTATTGGCCGTAGCCCAACTCAGTTGTGAATCAAGATCAGGATTAAGGGCGTACGGACAATCTGCCAGCTCCTCACCTCTCATCAGGTAGAATCTATAAGAGATTATTCTCTCCAGTATTGCAGTCTCGCCCTCTGGATCCCGGCTGAAAGCTAGATTCATGAACTCTTCAAGTTCGTTGATGTGCGTGTTGCGAATCCGGCGCCTGAGAATGAATGAAACGACATTTTGGAGTTCAGGCATATTCAGCCTGTCAGCCAACATCCACAGTCTTCCGAGAGTTACCAGCTGCTTACCGGGTGGACCTGTGGGTCTTCCTGGGAAGTAGTGGATTGTGGGACGATGTAACTCGAGTCCGTTGTTGTGCATCCAATGGACGACTAATTTGAAAACTTCGAAGTCTACATTCTCATATGTCATCGCTTGATTGTGCCCCTCCAGCCAACTGTCGCAAAGAGCTGCGCGGAATACGGGTGAGAATCTCATTACTAAGTTACGGTTGACTACGAAGGTATGCTTGGGTTGTCCTTCGCCAACAAAGAATATAACCGCGTTTTTCGGTTTATTCTCGTAAAGGTGGTTGAATGAATCTGCCATGGTTTCCTTTTTTGTGGGGTTATTCTATGATATTTGGTGTATGAGTAGGTATGTTGAACGAAATGTCATTGACGACTTGCGTAACTTAATATTTTTTTGCACATTTTGTTCTCTATTTGTTTTAAGTTATGTGATGTGTTCTGTTATTCTCAGATATCTGTTCTTCAAGATCTGGTCAAGCAACTTATCTCACGTATTCTTGACTGGGCTGTTCTTTTAAAATACGTCCTTGTCGGTCCCGAATGGGAACCCTCAAGTGTCACTTGGTGTTATATTGCAAAGCTTGACCATAGATCTAGCCGCATTTTCTCTCTATTCAAGTAAATCAGGAAGTCCTGAACCAATTCCGAATTCTCCCTCTCAGTCCAACACGCACCCCCTGCAGATCATCATATGGCTCGAGACCTAACCTCCTCATAGCAAGAGCTCTACTCAACTCATTAAGCTTCTCATCTTGTACATGATCCGGACTATCCAGCAACTTAAGAAAGCCATCAAGCTCTCCTTCCGTTGCCCTAAAAACAAGCCTCTGCACATGCCTAAGGACCCGATCCAACAGCCCAGCTACCACAACCCCCTCACCCATGAGGTAAATCCATGTATACGCCACCAAGTTTTTCATATCGTGTTTCGCCAACAGAACCTTATCCCTTTCATCCGTCATTTCTTTCTCCCGCTCATGGACATGCATCCATTTTTCCAGACAATCGAAGAGCCTGAGATTGATATGGATATTCACATCGATATCTCCTGTTTTCTCTGGTATGAGATTTTCTCTGTACCCTGGGCGAAGGACTTGCATGATAGCGGATGCTTCCCAGATTTCGAGAAGGTGCGGCACGCCTTGGACTCTGCAGGTTGCTCGTGGGGGGTCTTTTAAAGTTTCTTTCCGGCGGTCTGACAGGGCTTCTCTCATATTGAATACTCGGGTGGGCGTGTGTCTGATTATAGATCTCTTGTTCTTAGTTGGATACTGATCTAAGTGGAATTTTTGGTGGAGATGAGGGAGGATTACCTTCCGGGGGTTTAATTTGTGTTGAATTATACTAGAGATTTCAAGGTACAAGAGCTACCTAGGTATCTAGTGATGGTTCGCGCAAGTCTCTCCTCTCATGCGGAATCATGGTTCTTGTTTGGCAGCGTAAGAAGGTTTCGATTCAAGCAGTACAGTTCTCGTTCTTTCTAGTAGACACTCGGCTAAAAGAAACGCCCGCAGATGGATTGAAAGGAAATCTTGAACAAGTCTCGCAATGCGTCGCATGCTTAATGTTGTTTCTAACTGTCGTATGATTCTCTTTGTCTAGGTAGGTGACTTCTGGGTCTATCCACCTGGGACCTCATACCATTGTTCAAAGGGACCTCATGAAGTAAGACTGGCTGGCTCAGCCTGAAGCAAGTCGCTGAATCAAAACGCAGGCGGGAACAGCATCCAAGCACAGATACTTCAGTAGGATAGTTTCCTGAAGTTATAGGGCCTTCCAACGCATCATCTTTTATTCTTTTCCACAAAACGGTGAAAATTCTAGAAAATCTCAAGTTAGACAGACGGACTACGATTAATACTATGAAAATTCAAACTATCTAGTAACTATTTAGTTTAGTCTCAAGTAAATTTCTCACTACACTACATTTCACTGCCATGATTTTCAGACCTCACAAGTACCTGCGCATTTTCCATATCACTGGTATTTTGCTTGCACTTGGTATCAGTAAGCAAGTCAGTCACAGATAGTCAGTTAGCGGCGGCTGAGTATCTGCACATCGTGTGGTAGTTCCCTGTGGTATGTGTCAGTACACCGTTCTGAGGAAGGATGAATGAAAGAAGGATAGGTTTTGCGGCAAGAATTTTGTATTTGTACTCCAAGAGAACAAGTTTGGAGAACAAAGATTGTCTTTGTTCAAATGAGATTTTGCTTTGTTTAGTAGAAATTAACTTGCTTCGAGACAGCATGTTAGACATTTGAGTGTATTTTCTGAAAGCCCAAATCCTTTATTGTGGAAGACAAAGTGTACGTATAATGACATTGTATTATTCCATAGTTCCTCAAATTCTACGAAACTTTTAGTCAATACTGCTACTGACTAGCAGTAACATATTTTTGAGAAGGTGTAAATTTGTAATTACTCTAACCCATCCTCCACCTCCACCTCCACCCCTACCTCCTCCAAATCATTTTCCGCGGCTTCTCCTTCTTCACCCGCGGTTGCTTAAACGGTCCACCCTTGAATGGCTTCATTATCTCCTGCTCCCTCAACTGGCACAGCCAACTCGGGCACGCCCGATCAAGAAAACGCGATTCGTATCTACCTACCGGTGGTAAAAGCAGATCGCCATGCTCAGGACATGGTTTGAAATCTGTAGGGTACTGGTGGCTGCAAATGTAGTATTCCCTCGTCGAGATACAGTTCTCGCAGCTAATTTTTGGGGGGACAAGTCTGGGTTCTTCTGCATATTCTAGCTCCCCCAGAAGAATTGGCATTATTTGAGGCGACGTTTTAAAACTTGTGTGAATATAGTTGTGAGGGCGCCTGTCGTGCGGTTTTATTTTTTACTCGGAGGAATTGACGTGCTGGATATGGGGAGGGGTTCGTTGATAGTGATATGTGGTGGGGATAGGGCATTGTTTGGGGACAATGGGATTGTTCTTTTCTCTTTTCTTTGAAGATGTTAGGCACTTTTAAGGTCGGTAAAGGTTTTGTTATACAGTAACAGCCGTTTATTCTTGGATAGAATGTATTACTGCTAGAGAAAGTAAGTGGGACATACCATCTCGCTTAGGTGCGGAAAAGAAAGGTGGCAAGTGCCAAAGATTCGAAGATTGCCAAATTTACAAAGCTCGAATAAATGGTATTGACACAATGCTAAGTGATAACTTTGAACTATAGCTTAGTGTTTCTGTGACAAAAGAAAGTAGATAAAAATAAAGCCTGCTCTGACTTTGCTGAATGTGATAGTTAGTTTTAGGCGGTGCTACTAATTAGCGATTGAGCAACCGGTATTTGAAGCTACTGCGGCGTAAACAAGGAGTGATCTTTGAAATTAGGGTAGCTGCACAATCAAAGTTGGTTGTTGAAAAGCGGCTTGGAAAATAGAAGACGCCAGAACAGCGGACTTGTATCTATTTGACATTTCCCAGTGTTCCTGGAAACAGTGTCCTTCCATCTTCCATGCAAACCCGAATTATACCCTGGTCTAGTCTTTGTATTTCGTTCATGGGCCTCGAATTAACTTGCAAAGAGCGGCAAAGGCCCCTCTCCGGTTATCGACGATACCATTGAAAGTCTCCATCGACATATTCGGATTATCAACAATTATTTGGTCACTGCCAGAGACAAGTCCATCATATGCAATCTGAGTGAATTCCTCAAGTGGCATACCCATCGTGCGTCCACGGTCACCGACATAGTCATGAAGCTCGGCTATGATTTGTCAGCTAGATGGCAACTCAATCTTTGGGAAAACGTAAGATCTTACTTTGAACCACGGGAGGCGAGAGCTCGATAACTTTGATGCTGGTATTTCTGAGATTGTCACGCAGGCAAAGGGTGAAGGCATTTAGCGCTGCCTTGGAAGCAGAGTATGCAGGCAAGGTAGCGGCGGGGACGATGGCGAGATGGCTTCCAGTGCTAGGACTCTCGTTAAAACCTTTCGGCAACGGCAATGAGAAGTTGTCTACTCACAATATGATTCCTGTTTCGGTTCCTTTGGATTTGAGGAATGGGATGAAAGCATGAACTAAGGCCACATAACTGAGGAAATTGATGTTCATCTCCGAATTGAACTTTGCTAGGTCCACCGTCTCCGGTTTGGAGAAATCGGCAGCGCTTTGAACTCCAGCATTGAGGAAGAGACAATCGATGTCGGGTGATTTAATCATAACGCTACCAGATATTATCAGTATCAAGTCTTGCTGGAGCTTTAGGAGTATCAATTTACTCCTCAGCGAACTTCGGAATTACTGCCAAGTTGCCAATATCTAGAGCAATACCGCTGGCTTTACTTTCACCATGTTCCTTCACGAATCTATCCAACCTATCCTGTCTCCTACCGACTGCGGTGACTTTTACGCCTTCCTTGACCAAGCGGTCTGCCATGCCCTTTCCAATGCCCGCCGTGGCTCCGACAAGGAGAACATGTTTGTAGGCGAAAGACATGGTCTTTGTTTATACTGAGAAATGAGGTTGGTGAGGGTGATTTGGTATTCAAGAGATCTTGCAGTTGAAAAGGAAATGTTGCTAAAGGTCAGGAGAGCTTTGGCAAGAACGAAGGCAGAGAGGACGAGGTATATCTGGTTTTATGCAACTGCGGTCATATACCTGGGTCACCCCATGGCCATACGAGGGAGCCAAGAGGTAATCCATCGCCCTCGCCCTCAAAGGTTCTCCCTGAAAGGCCGAGCGGCCGTGTAGGATATAACTCCTCCCTATCTCCGACCGGAAGATTGGTTTTACACAAGGTTTATAACTATTTTATCCAATCAAAGTCGAAATTCATTCCAGGAAAGGAACCGCATGTTAAGTCTGAAGCTTGCAGGTGGTGGGATGTCAAGATTCAGTTATGGGGGTACCGAGTATAGGAGATAAGAGAGGAGATCGATAAGTGGTGCTATAGAGGCTACACCCAATAATAATCCTGCATCTCAATTTCTTGCAGAAGCGTCGAAAAGCATGCTGGAAGCGGAAAGGCTTGGAATGGCTTGCCAGATCAGTCAGCAGTGCCACTCACTACAACCGTACAACGTGGGACCACACTTCCACTTCAACTATTTTGACCCCGTTTTTGGTATCCGGATTCGATGTAGGACAAACTTGCCTTGAGGATTTCCTCCGATAAATGGACAGACCGGATTGTCGGACCGGAGGTATTAAGTGATCTTACGTGACACGTAATGGTGTTCCGTGGAGTGCCATCGAAAGCCTGTCAACGATGTAGAGATCGGAGGCTAAAAGTAAGCACAGTCTGCGGTTGACTCTGTAGTTGATATTTTGACAACATTCATTCTAGTGTGATCTGCGCAAGGATTCCTGTAGCTCATGTCTCCGAGCCATAATCCCTTGTTCGGGATACCGGGATACACGAGAACTTCGCATTGCGGATGAAAGCAAGGCCATTCAGAAGAAAGTAATTGCGGGAATATCGCCTCCATCTGGACAAGACCTATTTTGGCTCCCCCTTTCGCTCGAGGCCCAGGCAAGAGATGCTTTTTTTGTGCACTATGTGGCTGGTACCACAACCACCTGGGACTTTCTCAAGCTCTACTACCCGACGAGTCCGTCAGACCATTTAGCGTTAAGTATTGATGCCGCAAGTCTTGCATATCTATCACATGAGATGCACTCTGAGGCAGCATCAGCAATTGCGAAGGAGAAGTACGTCTCGGCCCTGCGCACCACGAGCAAGGCCGTTCAATCCCCGGGCCTTGTTGCAGAAGAACCAACGCTACTCGCATCTCTCGTACTAGATCTTTTCGAGAAGATTACGAATGCAGATTCCAAACATAACGGGGCTTGGAAAAGTCATGTTAACGGTGCTCTTGCGCTTGTTAGACTCCGCGGTCTCGACCAATTCCAAGACCCATCTGCAGTGAAAGTTCTAGTTCGTCTGAGTACCAACTTCATCATTACTGCCATCGCAAGTGGTGATCCGGTACCAAATGAGTTGGTCACCCTTCGTGCATATGCTGGTAAGCAGCTATATGCTGTGGATCCGAAATGGCACCTGACAGATCTCATGATACATTATGCCAACTTGCGAGCAAACATATTGAGAAGAATTATATCCGTCGACGAGTACGTCAGGGCGTCTTTAAAGCTCGACTCGAAGCTCCAATCACTTAGCAATGAAATGCCGGAATCCTGGTTATACAAAACCACGATCCTAGACCACGATTCGGAGGGGGTTTATGAGCGTCGCTTTGATGCTTATATTGATCGACATGTAACGCAAACATGGAACGTCCTTCGTTTGATCAGGATTCTCCTAAACCAATCTGTGCTCCAGTATTGTCTTTGTTCTACTCAAAGTTCTATCACCAAAACCGTCCCGTTACTAATACAAACCACGAGTGACATTATCATTGCAATGGCGAGAGATATTTGCGCCTCCGTGCCGCAATACGTTAAGTGTAAAGGTACATATATGTATCGTGCTGGACATCAATCTTCGTCTCCCGTCCAAGAAGTCGCCCCATCATCAAAAGAAAGTAACAACACTCCTGGTAATTCTTGTCACATTAACTCTGCATCTCGATTATTAGATATCTACACCCTGATATTCTCTCTCTACATCGTCGGAGGTGCAAGTAGCTTGACCAGCTTCATGAAACCCTGGGTTATCACACAATTGCATTACATTGGCGAGCATTATGGAATCCGCAATGCAGAGCTCGTGGCTCGGATTTTGGAAGAGGCAAAAGATATCAATCCTTGGAGCGTGTATACTTTGCTTGGAAGCTATGCTTTTGTGGCCTGAAATGAGCTGAGCTGTCTACGGGAGGAATGGGATGGATGTGGGAAGATACCACAATTCAAATGACGAATGAGCTGGCTTGGAGCGTCTGAGCTTCAAATTTAGATCCCATCACAATCGCGTCAGGAAACATTGATCTCTTATCTTCGGAGAGAGGAAATACTGCGGAGTAAGTTGGAACGATAGCTCGGATTGCTGCGGGATTGCTACTCGTATTCCCTCTGGACGACTTAAATGGCCAGCAAAAATCCTTTCATATATGACACGAGACCCGGATAATCCACTGATATGTATTATCTTCTAATGGAGTGACAAGTTTCTGAATAATGGCATAACAAATTCAGATGAAAAGAAGGAAGAAGGAAGAATGCCTCGCTTAGAACACGCCAACGTACTTTAGGGGTCGTAAAGGGGCATACAGTATCACGTGGCCACTAGTCTCCTTGCTTAAGACAAGGCTTTGTTAACGTCATGATCTCAGCGGCGTCTCGATGTCAATGACCACAATCCGATGTTAGACAGCATCTACGAATTGTACCAATCAAGCGCGTGAGAGTCGAGGCTAGACGTGCGACAAGGCGAGTATCAAAGTAGCAGAGGTAGATAATTTTATTCTTGCTACAAGTCTCTTTTCGTGTCAAGAATCTTTGTTGAATGTTTCTTTCTCTTTATTCATACCTGCGTTTCAGCAGATCTTCAGCTACTGGTATTGCTTGGTCAAGTAGGAAAGCTAGCTCGTATTTCTGTGTTCTCTCTTACCCTTCACTTCACAATCGAGGCAGGGCATCAGAAAGCAAAATGCCTCTCAAGCGCAAGAGATCCTCCGTCACAAAGATCGCGTCTGCTGTCAATATTCCCACAATATCACACGAAACGCCAATACTCTCGCCCCACCCTGCTGTCGACCGCGCCCCTCCCAAGCAACAAGCCTCCCACAGAGGCAAGATCGATACGAATCCAGATCATAATGCGGATATTGTTGATGGGAAAACGGCGTTAAGAGCCAGCCCGGACGCCGACGAGAAGGGAGAGTCCTTGGATGTACAAAAGGTTGCCCAAGAGCCTCGGAGGACGTCAGTGAAGACGAATGGCATAAAAGAAGAGAATGGGGGCTCCCCGCTGTCTGACCTCGGGACACCCGCTCCCCCTTCGCTCCAGAAGCAAAAAAAGTCACCTACAAAGAGCTCCGTGGCTGCGAAGAAGGGATCGGATGAGATCAAAGCTTTCAAAGTGGAGCAAGCCGCGAAAAAAGCTGCGGCTATGAAGGTTAAGAAAGAGGACGATGAAGATGAATGGGAAAAGAGGGTCGATCCAGATGGAGATGAGGATGGTCCTACTGACGATATCGATACTATCAAAAACGAAGCTGCTAGGCCGCCACCGGTCAATAGTAATTACCTACCTCTACCATGGAAAGGGCGATTAGGTTATGTAAGGGGTATAAATTTTGAATTTTGGGTTTCACTGACGGGATCTTTCTAGGCGTGTCTGAACACTTATTTGAGATTTTCAAACCCGCCGGTGTTTACGTCTCGAACATGCCGTATAGCATCTATCGTCGAGCACCGACATCCATTGAAAGACCCCAGCCAACCTGAGCATGCCACCAAGAACCGGCCTGATAAATCACAGCCCGCCTCAATCGAGCGAGGGCAACGATATGTGGAAGAATTGTGCCTTGCAAATGTCAGGGACCTACCCAAGATGTTCAGATGGAATGACAAATACGGAATCAAATTCATGAGATTGAGTTCTGAAATGTTTCCATTTGCTAGCCACGCCGAATATGGATATAAGCTTGCACCATTTGCCAGTGAGGCATTGGCTGAAGCTGGTAAAGTAGCCACTGAGATGGGCCATCGCGTAAGTACCCACCCTGGGCAATATACACAGTTGGGATCTCCTCGGGCTGAAGTCATCGCGAATGCTGTCCGAGATCTCGATTACCACGACGAGATGCTTTCTCTGCTCAAGTTGCCTGAGCAAGAAGATCGCAATGCCGTCATGATTCTTCACCTGGGTGGTACTTTTGGCGATAAAGCAGCAACGCTGGATCGATTCCGCGAGAACTACAAAATTCTCTCACCTAGTGTGAAAATGAGAATAGTCCTCGAAAATGACGATGTCTCATGGTCAGTACATGACCTCCTTCCAATTTGCGAAGAACTCAGCATCCCCCTCTGCCTCGATTTCCACCACCACAACATCATCTTCGACTCCTCGCAGCTCCGTGAAGGAACTCTGGACATCATGTCTCTCTATCCGCGCATTAAAGCAACATGGGACCGCAAGAATATCAAGCAGAAGATGCATTACAGCGAAGGCTGTCCAGAAGCCATCACTGGACGACAACGACGAAAGCATAATCCTCGACCAATATTACTTCCTCCATGCGCAAACGACATGGATCTAATGATCGAGGCAAAGGACAAGGAGCAAGCCGTCTTCGAATTAATGCGTACCTTTAAGCTTCCAGGTTGGGATACATTCAACAATATCATACCCTACGAGCGATTTGATGATAACAAACCGCTGCCTGAAAAGCCTAAGAAAAAGAAGACGAAGAAACTAATTGAAGCTGAAATCGAGGAGTTTGGAAAGGAACTAAGTGACGAGGAGGAAGTGACCAAGGAACTCGTGCCAGAAGAAGAGGTGGGTATGGGCGGCAAGGAAAATAGAGTATATTGGCCTCCTGGCATGGAAGAATGGCTACGACCAAAGAAACGTGAGATTAAGAAGAAAGGAGGCGAGGACGAGGAAGCCATATTCCGGAATCCAACACCCGCGAATTTCGCCGCCAGGAAAGCGATCACGGCGCGCAACAAAGCGCCGCTGAGTGACGAGATTAAGGGGAAGTTGAAAGAGGCAACGAGTGTGGCTGATGTGCAGGGGATTTTGGAGGATATGAAGGCTGCGAGGTTTGCGGAAGCAGCGGTTGTAGATGAGGATTCTGAGCCGGTTATCAAGAAGGCGAAAACGAAATCTACAAAGAGTGCACCATCAAAGAAAGCGGGGCCGGGTAAGAAGGCGAAGGCTACTCCTACGCCGAGTGTTTCGAATATGGATGATGAGGATGAGGATGATGATGATGATTTGAGTATGCCTGATCTCTCTGCTGACGATGAAAATGGGACAAAGAAGAAGACGATGAGGGCTGCGGTACCAGCTAGACAGAGTGGAAGGGCGAGAGGGAAGAAGACAAATTATACCGAGGCAGATGGAGATATCAATGAGGAGTAGATGTCGAATTACCAGGCATCCTGCTAGTCGACTTCAACGGCCAAATCGAACAACCTGAGTTCACTATACTTTTGGAGAATTGATATGTATACAAACTCAAATGACAGTACCTAGCTAGAATCTAGCTATAAATGCTACTCCATGCAATACATCCACCCATCAATCAAGTCAAGCCATCAAACAACACAAATACAAATAGGTATCGAAATCAACTCCCCATAACGCTAAGAATCCTTTTCCGTGCCTTCAAAGAGAATCATTACTCCAGCAAGTTTCCTCAAATCGTACTCGCAAATTATGAGTTGTAACAATCATGAATAAACTCACCATCCCATTGCCACACATTGCACTACCCATTAAGACCTACTCCTTAGTACCAGTCGCAGTCTCCTCAGCAGTCGTAGTCTCGGCCACAGGCGCTTTCTCAGTGTGTACAGCATCAGGAACGCCAACGACCGGAGCCGTGATCTTGAGATTCCCAGCCTCGATGTCTCTCTGCAGCTGGTCGAGCCGCGAGCTCTTGGGCAGGGATTTCCAGGCGGGGAGCCCGCTGTCGAATACTTCGTCCATTTCTTCGAGGGTCTTGCCTTTTGTCTCGGGGGCGGTGAGGAACATGTGGATAAAAGCGACGCCGTTGAAGGTGGCGAATATCATGTCTGTTTTTATGTGTTGTTAGTGAGTGAGTGTTGTGCTGAGGATGTGGGGGGAGGAGAGGGTGTTAGTGAGGGAAGGGAGAGAGGGATGGGGTGGCGGAGACTTACACATTTTCCAATTGATATTCCAGAGAAGTGGCGGGACAGCAAAGGCAAGAACACAATTCCAGAACCAATTCGAAGCCGTGGCCAGCGAAACAGCCTTTGCTCTAATTTTCGTCGGGAATATCTCCGAAGGATATGTCCAAGATGTGGGGCCCCAGGTTGTAGCGAAGCTGCAGACGAAGAGGTAGGTCATTGCTACGATGGCTTTGGAGACTGCCTTGTTGTCCTGGATGATCCAGGACGTGTCGTGTTTCTTGCCGTCGGCGAGCGGAGGGGAGCCGTAGGATGCTTGGAGCGCCCCGACGATAAAGAGGAGGGTCATCATTAGGAAGGACCCGATGAGCATGGCGGGGCGCCGGCCGAAACGGTCGAGATAGACGATGGCAGGGAGGGTGAGCAGAACGTTTAGGATGTATTGGATTGAAGCGGTCAGAAGGGGAGAGGCGATGTTTGCGCCTTCCATGATGTCTGCAATCAAGGGGTTGGGGTTAGCATCAGTCCGATTGTATTTCGAAGGACGATTGGATTGGACATACAAACTACATAGTACATCATTACGTTCATTCCGCACAGTTGAGACCACATTTGTATTGACATTCCCAGTAGTACACGCTTCAACATGCGGGGTTCAACCAGCTGTCTGTAGCTGCTTATGGCTTCCTCGCGATCGAATCGAAGCGCTTCTTCAATCTCCTTATATTCGGCCAGGACCTTGGGATGGTTGAGATCGCCACCGCCGTGTAGATTAGCTAAGACCTGGATCGCCTCGTCCCAGCGGTCTTTCGAAGCTAGCCATCTAGGTGACTTTGGCAAAAAGTACATGCCGAAGAAGAGTAGCACAGCTGGAACTATCTGCACCCCCCATGGGATACGGAATGCAGACGTTGGCTGGTTGATATCATCGGGACCTCCTCCAACCCACGATGCACCGTACTGAATGAAGTACTGGATTAGAATACCCCAGGTAATAGCCCATTGTTGTAGAGAGACAACCCGGCCGCGGATTTCCTTGGGGGCGATCTCTGCTTGGTACACGGGGCAGATGGACGAGGCAATACCAACACAAATGCCAGCAACCACACGACCAACGACCAGCATGGCGATATCTTGAGAAGCACATTGAATGCTGTAAATTAAATGTATCAGCTTCTTCACAATCTATCCTCGTTTGCGGATTTATATAAACTCACATTGAACCAACGATCCAGAAGATCGAAGCTATCTGAATACTAGCCCGACGAGAATATCGATCCGCAACATAGGACGAAGATAGTGCACCGACAAGGGAGCCAAAAGGCATAGCACAAGTGATTCCTCCTTGACGATAGGATACTGGATTCCCAAAGTATACCTTGTAAGCCTGTGTGCCTAGGACACCAGACATACTCGAGATATCGAAACCAAAAAGTCCGCCGCCTAATTAGGTCAGTCATATTCATGCTGTACTTTGATTTATTTATCTTGGCGTTCATGTTGTAGTTTTTGATACTGGGCGCGATGAATGAGAATTCAGTACGTACCAATGGCGGCGAACGCACAAATGAAATATACATTGGTCGCCTGATACATGATGGCATTCAGTGACGGTTCGCCTCGTCTGTTATAAGTCTGTGTGCTCGAAATAGGTCAAACAGCACGCTGTTGATCAGTCGGAAGAAGTAGCAATCCTCTAGTGGAAGTGTAGAGGACCAGTTGAGATCTATATACGGTGAAGCTACCCGAGAGCAACAGTCTCAGCACTGGATATTCTGGGTCACCTGGGTAGCTGTCACGTTGGAAACGGCACGGTAAAACTCCAAAGCCACGTACTTAATAACCTGCTCAGCTTCGGGTCTCTGCCACCTACACAACGTGTTGGTGTGGCCGAAACCCTGCAGCTTGCGGGTTGGGAATATGACTAGCCACTTGACTGCCCTCCAAAGACCATATTCTGAGTGGCTCACTGGACAATTGCAACTTGTGTCATATGCCCGACGTTACGATCTAGGGTGAAAGTCCGGGGACACTGCGGAGTCCTACTTGAACGTTGCATTTCGGTTTGCAGAAGCTGTGTGGTTGGCTAGAAGACCAACCTTGCGAATGACCTGGAAATCACCCAGTGGGGTTTTTGCGAGTAACTGCCATCTCAAAAACAAAAAGAACATTTCCCAGCCCTCTGTTGTAATTCTCGGTTGCAGGCTGGAGATTTCGCAAACTACTTGTAGAACACTGACTTTTCAAGAGCTGGAGGAATGTGTCACCTAGTTGGAAGGATTGTGGCAGTTCCTATGATTGATGTCGCCGAAGCAAGGCCGTTGCCGTTTCTGATTTTGATTTCCCCAGTCCCCCGCAATCTCTAGCGCGCTTTCTGACATGTGGCTTACAAGGATTATTTATTGTCTTGCGCTGGGTACAGTACAATAAATGGTGTCGAACGTTTCGAGTCTAATCTCACCGGCTGCTTTGTATACTTGAAGCAAGTATGCGTGTGCAAATACTGGCCACTTGGAATCATCGGTGTTGTTACTAAACTGCACTCGGTGCAATCGGTGCCAACCCGCAATCGATACACTCGGATTGGAGTCGTGACTGGGAAATATCCAATGGGAACGTTGTAAGCTGTAGTGTAACTTTAGTCACATATGGCTTTCATGACAATGCAGTGCTGGCTGTGCCGCGAACAACAGAACATCATACCGTCACACGTACACCACATTTGTGAGTTACACAGGTAACATAATGAGTATTGGTTGTCCGTGGCTCACGAGATCTTGGTGTTCATGCTGGGATAAATTACTAGGGACATCTATCTGCAGTTCTGGAAGGTCATAAAAATCGTGTTTGTTGCCTGCGGGGTCGAGGCTGAGACCAGTCGATAGATCCGTAGTAATATAGTAAAGGGGTGGATGAAAGCTTCACCCGAGGCTGCATGATTTACACCGAAGCAATATGGAGCTCGTCGAAGCTTAAATAATGTTTCCAATTGCCCGGGAGAATGGAATCGTTTCAGACCGAAAGTGGTCTCGCCCAAGTATGTTTGAAACACTTTTCTTGCTCAGGTACTGGTCCTCAGGTTTGGAGACTGTTCTCAAAAGTGTAGTAACGTCGACGTCCGATCAAAATATGCCAATGCAAGCATGATAGGCATGTCGCCTGGTTGGTTTCATAAATGGTTAAATCAATGTGGCGGACTTGGGGACGTGTTATTAAAGCCGACAGCCGGTACGGCAGTACTGTTTCTGTCAGTATTAGTGTAACAATATCCAGATTAAAAAGTTGGCCACTTTCTTATTTTGTGGTCACTGATACTTATTATGGTCTGTAGACGCAAGATTGATGAAATCCACTTTGATTCTAGTGCCGCCCGGTGGCCGAAATGTCTTAGAAATTCTATATATTGAAGATGTATACTTCCTGAAATTCTAAATGTCGACTCATTTCCTTGGAGAGAGCTGTTCAACAATATTTTCTGGGTGCTTCCAGGCCTGGCGACGTATCTGCCAGATATTTAGCAACGTAAAGAGTTTTGTGACTGTCATGAAGCTGGGAAGTTCCATTCTGATTTCTGAGGGGCTTACTTTGTATGACTGCCTCGCGCAGCAATATCTCCTTTGCCGTTGATGAATTCGATTGATGTATATGCAAGGGTTTTGCCGACTGATATGATTAGTACTTAAGTTGTAAGGAGGCTGGAGGGGTCTCGCAATGGCCACGAGATGCAAAACCAATTATGATTTTGAGATCTTCTACTCGGCTTAAAAAATCCAACAAACAAAATTGATGCCGGCTCCTCTGTCAGGACAAGGGAGCTCAACTCACATTTATCACACTTTACGATAGCCTTCAGAACATCTCCAACCTGTCCTCCCGAATTGAGGTATGTTACTAAGAAAGTACGTAAGTCAATCGTCTTTCTCGGAATTCCCAAACAAAACTCACCGTTCAGGTCAGTCGAGACACCTGTAGCATACAAGCCTCTCGATGCCACAGCAAGAGAGCCACCAAGGTCAACTGTAAACTGACATTAGTGATCCATTGGCATTTTCAAGTGGGCATGGAAATAATACCCATGCTGGCAATGGTTCCACCATGGATGATACTGAGACGATTCTAACTTTCATTTAGTGACATTGAGGATTGAGAGAGAATCATTTCTACCGTGTGCTCCTTGAGAATATCGAGCTCAAATTCTACGCGGCCAGGCTCTGCGGCTGTGACTCTGAGCTAAAGAGGAGGACGTTAGAGCAGGGCTAGGACATGTTCCCAATATTGGTAATATAAACAGCAGGCGGGGAACTTACATTCTCGCCAAAAAGCCTGCAAGTATTTTGGTGTCAACAACTAGTCTACTGAACGATCTGAAGGTTTTCTTTTCTTCACATTGAAGAAAAGATTGCATTTGCAAGCATTGGAGTTCGAACACTTGTAGGCTGGGGACGAAAGATAGGGGGAATCACCTCGGCTCAAGACCGGATTCCACTTGGAAAGACTTCAGTACCTGTTAACATATTAGTCAAGTGTTTAAATCATTGCCATTTTCATATATCACACACCGATCTGACAAATTTGAGTGCCGCCATGTTGCAAAAGAGCTGAACATAAACCGCGTTGAAGTGAAGTGAAGTGAAGTGAAGCTTTAAGCTTGTTCCTGCGTGCCCCTCTACATCAAGGGAGGTGTGGAGTCTACGTTGACCGAGGTTGTGCCGTGAAAGTCAAAATATATCGAGGCTGCATCTAAGCCTTGAAGGGCACACGATTACAACCTCCCTTCTTCACCATCAAACAATGATAAATCAATAACAAATCGGGAATTGAGATAGTGTCTCCTACAAAATGTCGGTCTCTTCTCTCGCCTCCTTCGAGTACCTGGAAGGGCTTCCCGGTACAACATTCAGAAGGCTATACCTACAACCCTCCACGACTTTGGCCATCTTCAGGCGCATGCTACCTCATCTGGGTATGACTTCCTACCAGGCTCAAGAGATCAGAGCTGAACAGGTACAGCAAAAACATTCGTCATGGCTATGTTGTACATGACCAAGCCTATACCACTTACAGATCTCGACCTTTGGGTCCATCCAAGTAGCAAGAGGTAAGCCTTCCACTTCCCTGGCTTTGACCAAGCCCTCACACTTCCTAGACAACCAACCGAAGCCCTCTCTCTACTGTCTCGACTTCATATCGTCCATATAACGGCACGTACTCGAGACGAACCGCAGGTGGTGTCCCTAACGAAAGCATTCGGGTCTTCCTTACGGCTCGCCTTGACTGGCGGTGGTGACCACCAATCATTCGGAGTTCCATCGAATGACTCTACCACGGCAGATGTAGATCTCAACTTCCTCGACGATTATGCACAAATGCAATGGGAAGGGATCTTGCATTTTGTAGTGAGCAGTGTGGGGGAGGGTATGCGTCAAAATACGCAGGGCCCGACTCCCGCAGTCAAGCAATTACTTGAGTCTGGGAATCTAGTTACGAGAGCGAGACATTCTGGCGGAGGTATCACACAAGCTGGTTTTTCATTTCTGTTACAGGAGGCTAATGCCCAAGTTTGGACGCTACTCCTACTGTGGATTAAGAATGCGAAACAGGTTGGTAATTCGTCTGCTCCCAAGTCTCCAATACTGACATTGGTAGATGGAAATGGATTCTGTCGATGTTCTATCGTTCCTCTTCATGCTAGGATCTCTTGAACTGGGGCGCGCGTATAGCACCACCACACTTACGGACTCGCAAAAGCAAATGATCACCTACTTGGTAGACTTTGGCTTGGTCTACATTCCTCCATCGTCGAAGAATCAGTTTTTCCCTACGCGGCTGGCTACGACCCTTACTTCCGATGCTACTGCTCTGCGTAGTGTGGCAGCTGGCTTTGATGCTGCGCATACGAATGCTGCAGCGCAGAAAGGATTCATAATCATCGAAACGAATTATCGATTATACGCATATACTACCTCTCCTCTGCAAATCGCCGTCCTCTCACTCTTCACAAAACTCACCACTCGTTACCCCAATATGGTTTCCGGGCGTATAACACGAGAATCCATATACAGGGCTATTTCACATGGCATCACATCCGACCAAGTGATCTCGTACCTCTCCACACACGCGCATCCTCAACTGCTTAAAGCCTCAGCTGCACATGGTGGAGGACCTGTTCTCCCTCCTACGGTAGTGGACCAGATCCGGCTTTGGCAGATCGAAAACGAAAGAATGAAAGCGACGTCTGGATTTCTCTTTAAAGAATTCGAAAACCAGCAAGAGTACGATGGGTGCGCGAAGTATGCAGATGAAGTTGGGGTCCTCGTCTGGAAAAGCGATCCCAAAAGGATGTTTTTCGTAAGCAGAGTGGAGCAACTGAAGGATTACATCAAAAGTCGAAAGATGAAGTAGTTTGAGGCATCTATGAGGAGGAAGTAACTTGGTTTAGGCGGATGGAAGGTTTGGTTAAAAGGTCTTTTGAAGGAATGCATAGCGCGGCGTTGGAGGGGATATACTTCACGGGCTCTTCTATATTGCTGCGAGGTAGGTACTGGAAAAGCCATCTAATGTAGATGTAGCCCATCCAGCCCAAATTGTGGGGTTTGAAGGCATATTCGTCGCCCATCCTTATTGTTTCAGAGTATGGCATAGCCATGGCATGGGTCCTTGACTCTTTGAATGTTGGGTCTGCGCTGGGCTGGGCTGGTTACGGGACTCGGGCCGCACCTTATCAACCTAACCCACCTCGGTACCCAACCCAAATCTTCTTTCGGGCTGCTATGGATCTCGGAATGATATTAAACTTGACACTTTGGTGACATTTAATACTCGGTGTTGGAGCCCGATATCCCTTTTACTTCCGTAGTTCCTGTTTTCCTACGTCAGTGGCGTCTCAGTGGCGGGCGAGCCAAAAACGCGTGAGCCATGGCCATGCCATGATATGATGCCGAATACCTTCAAATTGCAGTCAGATTGAAAAGGTACCCAGCATTTCTGGAGCATTTAAAAATAGAGAGGGAAGGATTCGCAAGTGCAAGGCGGAGTGCTAACATTTCAACATCGGCAATCCTACCAACACCAGTACTTCTGTAGACTGATCGGTGTCCCTGAAGGTGAAAGAAACACGTGAAGATAATCACTCTCACTCAACTCAACTCGTACCCGGCGCACAGACAGAGAGTAAGGCCGCAACTGCCCAATCGCAACGAGGGGAATCCCTGTACAGCCCTCATCATCCAAAGCCTGTTTGCTGAGCGAGAGACATCACCAGAACAGAACCAGGCCAAGCCTCCCACTTGATCAACTTGACCCCAGAAACGTTACTCCGTAAATCTCTTCATCTTCCAGCCTCTGCATTTCTCGACGCCAGACCGCTTTATTCCTCTACCAAACCACGACTTTTAACACCGACTTCTTCCACCAGCGAACGTCTTCTTTTCTTCAACCATCATCCCTTCTGACACCCACACCGTCGCAGATAGGGTAGCGGGGTAAAGGGTCACCACCCCAACGATACCGCTGTTGCACCTCAACAACTCCATATCGCCCGCTTTTCTGCGTTGTACACAGTCAACAATCAAGATCAACATCTGCAAACATGTCCCGAGATCCATATCGCTCGTCCGCCGGCGATCTAGGCTATCGCAGCCGCGGCGGGGAACGTTGGGATAGCGAGCGCTTCGCCATGGAGCGAGACCGCGATCGCTTTGGCAGAGGAGAACGCGACCGTTTCGAGGAACGTGACACTCGTATCGTCACCCGCGGGGGAGGAGGAGGGAGCGGGTTCGGCCGTCCTCGAGAGCGATCTCTTGACGAAGTCTACGAGCATGACCGTTTTAGCCCACGAGGAGGCTACGAAGACGATAGATATGAGAAACGAGAGCGGGACTATTACGACGAGCCGAGATTTGAGCGAGAGCGACCACCTTGGGAAAGGGAGAGGGAGAGGGGACCGAGTATCACGATTGAGAAGGAGAGGGAAAGGGAGTATTTTAGCCCATCCCCGCCTCCTCGTCGAGCGCCGATGAGACCTGGGATTTTGAGGAGACAGTCGAGCTTAGATACCTTTGACCGGAAGAATACTTTGGCGAGGTTCCAAGAGAGAGAGGAGTATGGACCTCCCGCGAGATATAACCGAGAGGAGATGAGACCACCGGCTTTGACCCCTATCCCGCTGCCGAAAACGAGAGCCTTAGGTCCACCTCCCAGACGATTCGAAGAAAGGGAGTCCTACGATGAGATTAAGGTGGCAGAGCCAGACTTCTATGGCGACGAAGACTTCAGAGGATATCCAGAGCGTGTCCGTGAGAGAGAAATTATCAGAAGACGGCGACGTAGCAGGAGCCGGAGCCGAAGTCGAAGCAAAGAGAGTAGGCCAGCTCGCAGTGTTAAGGGGAGTGTTATGGGCAGCAGTCGTAGCTCTTCGAGCGATAGCTTTGAGACAGTCAAAAGCGAATTCCCGAAACGGGGAAAGACCAGAATGCCTGGACGTCTTGTTGACAAAAGGGCAATCATAGATTTGGGATATCCTTTTGAAGAAGAGGTAAGTGTTGTTTTGTCAGTTATATTGGAATTCTCTGACTCCTCTCGCTAGGGTGAAACTATCATTATTATGAAAGCACTTGGCCGGGAAAATATTGACGAAGTCATCAAACTGAGCGAAGATTACAAGGTTGACAGTAAGCCACTCTTTTTCTTTTCTCCCCTGTCTTGCCGCAAGCTCCACGATTAGGAAAACGTATCATTTTATCTAACACCTCGTCTCTTTGCAATAGAAGTCGAAATGCACGGAGGCCGCTCACAAGCCGGAACCATGGTTGAAGAACACCGAACAGAAGTGTTCACCGTTCCAGCACCAGCACCACCGCCACCGCCACCACAATTCTACGCTCCCCCTCCACCCCCTCCACAGGAAATCGATATTAAAGAAACCACTATCATCGAACAACACCGATCCCCATCTCCAGCAAGATCTACACGCTCTCACCGTTCTCACTCCCGCTCCCATTATCACCCCAGTGGCCCCGTTATCATCGACGCCGGCCCACGTGATGAATCTACCTTCGTCGAGCGCAAACGCGAAATAATCGAGCGCTCAGACCCCATTCCCGTCGGGCCCCTCGCGCTCGCCCTCCCAGCAGAGCGCCACCGCTCCAAAGATGAACGCTCTATTCGCGCTGAGATCAAGGCACTCGAAGCCGAGAAAGAAGCTCTCCGAGCCGAGAAACGTGCTGAGAAAGAAATGCGCAAGGCAGACCGTATCCGCCGTGGAGGCCACAGCGGCCGCGTCTCAGAGACCGATCTCGTAATCTATGATAGAGAGAGAGATAGATATGATGAGGAGGTGACCCTTGTAAGGCGAGAGAAAGTCTCTGAGCCTGAAGGAGGTGTGAGGATTGAGAAGGACAAAAAAGGTAGGATGGCCATTAGCGTGCCGAAATACGTCTGAGACGATATTTTGGAATTCCTCTGGTGGGTTATTTCCCCTCATTTGGGGATTTGATGAGTTGGGGCTGATTTGTGTGTTTGAATAGCGCCGCCACCAAAACTGGTGAGAGCTATGCTTGCTACTCTTACTTGAATTGTGATTGCTGGGAACGAGGAAGGGTCGTGGCGTCAGGGAGTGATGGAAGGGATTTTTGGGAATGATCAAACTTATCAGGATAGGTTAGCGGTCTGTTTCTTTGCATATCAGGATAGAAAGGCAGGGATAGCAATTTTGATCTATGGAGGGAGTGCCATTTACTTGTTCTAGTTTGGGGTGGAGTATTTCCGATATAAGTACAAGTACCAGTATAACTTTGTCATATTCAGGAAGTAAGAAGGAAGCTATTGTTTATGTATTAGGCAGTAAACGAATGACGAATTTTCTTTTCTCCGGAGGATTCTATAGTCGGAGAATATACAATGAACGTCTTCTGCGATGAAGTGAAGGTTGGGTCTAGCACGTGACGTCACCCCCTTTTATATGCTTGTTCAAGAAAGGGTGAAGCAGAAAAAAGCTCGTTAACAAGTTAAGCGAAATGTGAGGTCCATGGCTGATAGTATTAGCAAAAATATAAGACGGAGAAAGGAATAAAAAGAAAACGGGTAGATGGGAAATGGGATTTGGAGTTGGATCGATTCGCAAATAATGGAATTAGGATTGGATTTGAATTGGAATCTAGAGAAGGATATAGAAGAAGCCATACTCAGCTGCTATACTTATTCTTATGATCGATCAGAATAGTCTATTTTGTTTTGCTTGAGAAATGTTCTATTTTGATATATACGACTTTTTTGGTTAAGGGATTGAAGTCGTGCTAGGTTGTATGGAGAAGGGGGATAGTAAGTGAATCTGCATGGCTAGGTACGTATGTAGATATGTATATATGTAGATATGTTTTATATTACATTCCGGAGTATTTTAAGCCGAGGATATCGATGCATATGCTAGGTTTCAAAGGACTGATTTTTCATCCATCGAGAGCCCTGTATCCGTGTTCTTGTCTTCTGGTTGCCATTTAATATACATACATACCCCTTTCCTACCCCATCCTTTACTCGCACAGCTTCTCGTTATTTCCGCTATATGTCCTCTCGCGTTCTAATTCAATTCATCTTCAAGCGACTCATGGAACTTCGTACGTATATACAGTATATCGTCATTGATTCCCCAAATACGATATATATCACTCGATCTCGACAGCAGACTACTGCAAGCAATGTAGCCGTCCTATGTACCTATGAGGTTTCTACCTTCGAGCGTATCCTCTTCATTGCCCTGGGTTATTGCTCGAAGTTGCGATACTAGTGATAAGGGGGGAAGATCCAGACCCTCGGGAGCTACTGTGTTATGCATAACGCACCAACAAGGCGGGCGACCATTGGGGAATTTGACCCCGGCTTTTAGCTTCGGGAACATGATATCTCCTAGCACCATGTTGACTATCTTCTTTCGAAAATCGGGAACGAGCGAGTCGAGGTACTGATCGAGCTTGTCTTTGTCCGGGTACCGTTTTGCCTCTTGCATATTCCGTGCGTCGAAGTCTTGGTGACCGAAGACATGTTTGTAGAAATTAAACAGTTGCCAACGTTCCCATGTATTGGTTCCGTGGAATCCATAGTCTCCGTCACTTTCTTGACTTAGGTGCGTTTCGAACTTGGGATATATCATAGATATCAAAATAAGATTTAAAACAAATACTCGTACACGGAAGTATAAAACGCTAAGAATATACAATTTTACCTACTAAATTCTCGTCCTGGGACTAACACTTCGACTCCTACTCCCAGCCCCCCTCATCCTCTCCCCCCTTTCACCCTCAAACGGATCCCCAACTCCCCCAGAGCCACCTAGTTTCTCCCCCCACTGCCGATCATTCTCTGTCACACCCTTATCAGTCGTTTCATCATCCAGTGCCTCGATCTCGCCGCTTGAAGATGCCGAGGACGGGGATAGCGGTGCTACGAAGGAATTGGATATACGGCCGATGGAGCCGTTGAAGCGTGAGATGCTGGACGTGGGTGTTCCGAATTGGTTCATATAGAGTGGGTGTGATGGGTCAGTGATGGGTTCCCATGAGTCAGAACTGTCCGTAGAAAGGGAAACGGTACTACCGCGACTGCTGCCCGACAGATTACTAGATTCTTCGTCTGTTGTGGCGTCGGTATCGGCACCGTCGTCTAAAGTCGTGTTGTGGGAAGGCCATAGGGAATCTGTGGGATCGAATGTCCAACGTGCGCGGACGGGAGGGTCGAGGAGGTCTCGCGCTTTGGAAGCAGCTTTGAGAGCATCCCACGCGTCTCTGAGTTTCACTTGCCGTGCCAGCACTGCAGGATCCCTCGGAGGCCTTTTCTCGTAATCCCATTTTGAGAAACTAAGCTCGGTACTGCTGGTACTGGTACTATCGATTCTGTGTTTCATTTCGTGCTTATAGAGCCCTCTCTGAGCGTAGTATAGGGCAGGGCCCGGCAGGTTGAGAGCCTGGAGTAAGTGGATGGCTGTGAAATCTTTGTCTGCTAGAATAGGTCCCAACTGGGCCTCTCTTTCTGCATCATGACCATCGCCTAGCTTTTCCCAAGTCTCGAGCTTAGTGATTTGGAGCATTCGATCTACCGCAGCAGTTGGGGCATTCATACAGAAATCGACGATGCCAAGTACTGTTTTAATCCAGTTGATAGCTTCGACTGCATCAAGACAGCCCTCGTGCTGTCTGAATTCGATGGCCGGCTTGAAGAACTTATCTTGGTCACCGGATGTCATGGCTTGTATTGACGCAAGATTATGGGCCATTGCTTTCGGAGCGTCTGGATTCCCGGCATGACGTAGAAACTCCATTGACGTCCTAGAGTTCATGAATCTTGAGATGGCTTGAATTGGAGTTGGCCTAGCTTTATGGGTTGGTCTCCTCTTGATTTCAAAGCGAGAACCCTCACGTAAAGAACCTGCATAACTCGCCTTCGTAACATCTTGACGGCTAGACGGATGAATGGTGTTCAATTGTGGGGTAAAAGCAAAGAGGAAACTAGTCAGTTTCCGCAGTGTGTCGAATTTGAAGCCGTTTAAACTATCCCCGCAATGTACATGGAACCCGGTTGTGACGTTCACGTTCATAAGATACGTGCTCTTCAACAGCGCAAGGACATCTTCGATAACCTTCAAAGAATCTGGTACAAAGTAGTAAGCAGGAGATACAAACTCCAATTCAAGGTAGTCAAGATAATGGGGAAGCTCTGACGGTTTTCTAACGCTGGGATCAAGAGTAAGAGGCCATTCATTGAAACCTCCGTCTCGATGTACGGCATAGCCTGCGTCTTCCATAGTACTTTGAATGTGCCTAAATGCCGCATTGCGAGTAGCAGCAAAGATACTCTTTTTGCATATTAAAGAATTTCCTATCTCATACGGGGCCCAAAAATCGGCCTCGATCGTGTCAAACGCGACTGTTCTGGTGTCTGAATAATCTGGTTGGACTTTTGTTGGATCAGCGTAAGCTAAGGCAACTTCGAACTCCACGCCAAAAGTCAATGGTTGGGATTCTTGAGACATGACGTAAAATACAGATTTGTAAGTGTGTTGTTGTGATTATTGGCCAGCCAGTAAGGTATAAACTGAAAACAAGGAGAAGATCGAATGTGCAATAAAATTTTGCAAGAAGTTTCCAACCCCCTTCCTTCGTGGTCGATACTTATAGAACAGACAATGATCCATCGTTCCAATATACGACAAAGATGGGCTTTCGGTAATCGCTTTACCTGGCAATCAGAACTGGGGAATTGTACCATCAACATCTTTGTTCAAGAGAGCGTGGAGGAAACAATACAAAGTAAAGCCTATTGTCACTTGCGACTTCGCGGCTCTCTTGCAACGCTTTATTCATAAGAACAATGGACAAAGAGGGCTGCAAGAGCTGTTTTCCCTCATAAACATAGACAATGAACAGGCCTTCCAACTGGTAAAGGAAAAAGAACCAAGATAACCGTGTTCCGGTTCATTCGTGAATCTTAGCGTGGATTCACGAATGAACTGGGATATCCATGAATCTACTAGATTCACGAATGAACCGGAACAAACGAGAACAGAATAACAGATACGTGGGAAGAAACACAGAAATATGAAATTGGTATATAATCTACGCTCCAAAACTGTAAATCTTGTTTAAAGTTCATCAAGATCAACTACACACCATAATGTGTCTTACTTACAACGTCAAATTCGAAGAATGTGGGCACCACGACGCCGAGCTCGACAGATCGTATGTATGCCCAGATCACTGCGAATCGTTCGATTTCATCGATCACAAGGAAGACGGGTTCTGCTTCTCGTGCCTCCAACATCCACACCTACGACCAGAACCTAGCAGTAGGATCGTCCTCTTCTGGCCGGGAATAGAATTGAAAAGGGAAATAGATCAGTTGCTTGACAAAATTGCAGCGAAGCCGGGAGAAAGGTATGTGACTTTCTTCCAGGCGACAAATCCCACTGCTGCGATAATACTCACGACGAAAGGGGGAATGGAGCAAGTGGGTAAAAGCCATAGGTGGGAGCCGTATTTTGTTTTCTTCAGGGTGACAAATACCACCACTGTAGAAGACTCCGATGCGACAGATGACATCGAATTAGATGATGAGATCAATAAGTATGTTTACGACTCACACAACCTGCATGAATTTTCAGGTCATCTTATGGAGCGTACCTTTCCCGCGGGACAAAACCTGCTGTTCCAAGACCTGCTGTTCCTTCTCTATGTCCTTACTGGAATCATCCACGATGAAAGATTTCCAGAACGATTTCGAGAACTGGAACTCGGTGAGTTCAGGCTGTTTTGCCAGATCCGGGCGATGGCCGTCAGGCATGACATTGCTCAAATCGAGAAGTACAAAATGCAAGTTGGCCACAACGGAACTGAAGCACTCGTCCGTCGATTGAGCACCATTTTGACGCTGGTGCCAGTTCTCGGGGCTGATGATGACAAGGATTGTCCTATCTGTAGAGAGCCGCTAAACCTCCCAGGCGAGGATGCTGTCAAATTGCCCTGTGGACATATATTTGGTCGTTGTTGTTTTGAGACCTGGCTGAGAGCGTGGGTGCCAGGGCACCCACTAAATATCTGCCCCTCTTGCCGAGCAAACTTCGATATTCTGTCTCCATACGAGCGGGCTAATGGTATAACTGTGGACGCGGTGAACATTGGCCTTCCAGCGGGTATGTGGCTTGATTTGGTCATGCATTCTTTTGGGCGATCAAGATAACGGGCACGGAGGAACACCTAGACTGGTCTGAGAATCAATAAATGCAAAAAAGAATCCAAGAGATTGAAAACATGACTATCAAGATTGCTAAAGTGATATTGAACCCTCGTAAAAGTAGTACTCACAAAAATATCATAAACCTATCAAAGTAGGTAGACCCATTCACCACAAAAGGAAGACCTGACATCTCCCTCCTGCACATATATCTAGGAATATTGTAGTTGAAAGCGATCATGATTGTCGTGATGGAGCTTACAGACCAGCGGGTATGTCAAGCTCGTGGAAGACAAGACTCTTAGTCTTGGAGGGTGTCGTTGACAAGAGGGCGAACGAAGCAAGGAGAAGATGTTTGAGCGACCGTGAAATAATAACCAAGTGGTAAGTGTAAGTAAGGACTATGAAGATGAACACTAGCCAGATCTGGAGAGCCGGTTTCTTTGACCACCGCGCTCGCGCTTTCCTTTTTAGTCACTCTATCTATCCCTTAAAGCAATCTCACGAACTTAGAAAAAAATACTCACTTTATCCAGGCAGTCAAATTACGCAACAGACGTAGTCTCAATGGACACCACCCAAAGTCACACCCAGTACGGAGCCCCGACTTCTGTTATGCTTTTGTATTTACTATCTAAGCATCTATGCGGCACCAAGGCCAAACCTAAAAGTCTGGCACCATAAAAAACCCCCATGCTTAATTCTTAATCGTCAATCGTCCCCTCATTATTATCCACCATTCTTTCGCAGCAGAAACCACTTCATGCAATCGCCATAAAACCATAACCCCGATCGCTGTGGTGAAGAAGCGCGAATGCACGAGCCAAAACACCAATGCTAAAGGAAACGCGCTGAAACACAAATACAATATGCACAATCATCGATAGAGCCAAGCGCACCTCATCGAGATGGAAACTTTTCGTCGTGAAACTGGAAGCTCGAAATCGGAGGTGGAGCTTAGATCATGAGACCGAAAGCTGCGGCGGCACCGACAGCGAATATACCAGTACCGAGTTCTCGCGAGAGACCCATGGTGGGAGCAGCGGCAGCTTTGGAGGTCGTTGTCGCAGCAGCGCTAGCAGCAGCGGAGGTAGCGGATGCAACAGTGGCAGATGAGCTGGCAGAAGAGCTGGTGGATGTTGGGGCAGTGTATTTGGCTGGATCGAGTGTTCCACAGTCTGCCTTCTCAGCATCGTCGCATGCCTTTTGAGCAGTCGCGGAACCGGCGTTGTTAGCCTTGCACTCGGTGTGAAGCTCCTCGCAAAGGAAGGTTGGGATGGTGTTGATATAGTAGTCGAGGCCGGGAGCAGTGCCGTTAGCGCAGGTACAGTTGACGACGAGAGTGTTCTGCGAAAGATTATTATTAGCATTTGCTCCAAATCAACGGACTCATTTGCTGGCTCAGACACATGGAATTGGAAAGGGAAAGGGAAATGGGGGACAAACAGAGTCGCAGTCATTCTTGATGTAATCAGGGCAGAGCTCGGGGCACGTAGCTTGCTGAGCGCCACACCATTGGCCTGCAGAGTGTTAGTCAATAGCTTCGTTGATATGAGATGCGCAAATATCTCAGATCGAGATAGAGCGATAGACGTACCCTTCATGGTGAGTGACAAAGCGCCGATGTTGACAGTTGAATTGGTTTGGGAAACAGCGAGGCCGGCGAGGAGCGCGACAACGGCGATTGACTTGGCAAACATCTTGTTGGGGTTGAGGGGTGAAAGGTGAGAAGCTCGGGAGGGAGTTGGTGAGACTTATTGACAAGGACACTCAATTGATATTGACTACGCGGAATGAGGGAGAGCTGAAGTTCAAGAAGAGCGACGCGATGTGATGGGGATTGGGATGGAGATGGAGATGGAGATGCGGAAAAGGTAATGTAGTAAAAGTAAAAACGAAGGTTTGAGCTTGGGCACAAAAGTATCGCCAGATGTGATTGAATCTGCGACGGCAACCAGCGTTTCTACTCTTGGCAAGCGCAGTTTAACAATTCACTCGAGGGCGTAGTGTTGCCAGGATAAACAAGGAAGGTGGAGACTGAGACACGCATCCCGTTGCTACTAAACTCACTGGTGGCCAATCAAACTCACTCAATCCATGCCAAGCTTTTCGGCCATTCCCCTGCAAGCAGAAGCGGCCGAGCCGAGGACTGGACTCGTACTCGTAGGTACCTCCTTCCCCTCTTCCGTACCTGACGGGACTTCTGCTCCTGCTCCTGCTCCTTCCCATCAATGGCCTCAAAATAGAACTTGACTCTGCATTCTGTCATTCTCTACTTGGCAATCAGACACACACTCTCTGCTGCTCTGTTCTTCGATTCTTCTGTTTCTCTTCTATTCGAGACACCTTTCTTTCCCATCACTTTATTAATCTCTTCCCTCGCATCTTAGCCGGCGCCCTCGTTTTATTCGAGGCGCAAATTGAGTGCCTGCAATATCCGTGCCCTGCGAAAAATAAAATTTGCCATGGATTTGTTATCACTCATTATCGTGAGGTTGAGCTACCGTCACAGCATGTACACTACTAAGTGCTAACTAACGTGGAGAAGCGCGCCCGCTACCAGAGAAAATATGCATTTAGTACTCTGTTAGCTACCTAACCTCACCTACTTCGTACTCGTTCGTACTCACTGTAGAAATAGAAAGAAGTGAAAGAAGTAGTACAGTAGTAGCTGTGGGAATAACTTACGCACTGTTCAATAGTCTGTTATCTGGCCCCGTTTTAACCGGTTTAATGCTCCGATTGAAGGCGATGCACTATCGCCGAGGAACCAAATGCGCTTCATCCTGCCGAATGCCGCGGAAGATCATTCAAGCGACTCACTCTTTCTACAGTATCCAAGCCAAGATGGTGGGTGAACTACTTAATATTGACTAAAATCTCTAGTCATCTCCACTCGTCAAATAAATTCTATCGAAACGACCAAGTTTAAATGAAAATCCAGTCTCTGCGTATGCATCTTCTGTCTGAAACAAAACCCTGCATGCATCTAATTGGCCCATAACTGAGCAAATACCTTGCCATAGAAAACTGCTGATATAATTAGCGCTAGTGATTTAACGTAGTAAATCGACCTTCGGAAGCTCGTTTCAAGTTAGCGTAAAACCCTTTACATACTTGATAGTATTATTTATTAGCTAGCTAAGATGGGATGGTGAATGCAACACGATAAGGTTATCGCTAGTTGCCGAGTCAGCTATCAACAAGTCACATGACCAGAAAGGCTCAGTCATACTTCTTCTTACACGTACAGTATGTAAGTGAAAACGAAGCCTCGATGGATGTCGAAGTAGCGATAGGTTCTAAAATCATTTGGTTGGAATGTACTCCAAAGCCAAAGAAGAGTTGGGAAACCTATGATTCCCGTATGATTGTAGTGAAAGGCATTTGTAACAGCTAATCAGGTATTGGTTGGGGATTTGGAGATTTATCAACCTTCTCAGGCAGTGAGTGAACAGGCAGTGCTGCATTGCATTATCGTTGCTTACTAGTATATAACTAAATATATACTGATATAGGCTCTTCTACTTTCATTCACACTAGTTATAGAATCTCGTTTGATTTCTCTTCCTGAAGTTATCAAGATATTTCGGTTCACTTCGTTTATTAGTGAATTTCTCTTAGACTTCATGTGCATACGCTCCCATACACAAATTAACTTACTTTACCAACAAGTGAGATTCTCCTGAAAATTAATGTACTCCGTATATAGAAAGAAAAGGCAGGCTCTATTTCCACTCGGAAACTCAAATCAGCAATGAAAACATAAAAGACCGTTGTACAACCAAGAGTTTCAGTTCTAGATCAAACCGCAAAAGTCCACAGTGGATTTATATGTTTTCAATACATACTAACATCACCGCTCATCAGGATCCTCACCCTCCCTCAAACTTTCCTCTTCCTCGGCCAACCTCTCCTCCTCGGCTCTATCGTCATACGTCTTATGTCCCACAAAAATAGCCAGAAACCCTATATCATAGATCGCCTTTAACGTCCCCGCCGTCACAAACGCGACCCAAAAAAGCCCATGCTGCGCCAGCACACCAGTAATAAGCGGACCGAAACTCTGCGCTGACGTCTTTGCAACATTGATGACGCCCATGACGGCTGTGCGTTCGTTGGGAAGCACAACTGCTGCGAGGAAAGCGGAGCGCGGCGCTACTTCCATGGATTGCGTGCAGGCGCGGAGAATGAGGAAGAGCATGGCGACGGGAAGGGAGGAGGGGATGGGGATCAAAGCGAGCAAGATGGCGGATGGGAGGTGTGTGAATACCATGGTCTGGACATTGCCTAATCGCTTGGCTATTGAGGAGGCGAGAAGCATTGATATTGCTGAGATAATAGATGTTACGAAGAACAAGGAGCCAAGCTTGCCTTCACCCAAGCCAAACTTGTCGTGGAAGAAATAGGTTACCCAGGATCTAGGTGGGTGAGTAAATGTTCTTGAAAAGGGGGTTTAGAGACTTACTGTGGTGCTAGGCTAGAGCCAAATGCATCTAACATAAACAGAATACATATATTAACTACGATTATCCGACTCTCTGCACTGATATCTGGTATCAGGGACCTGAAGTAGGACTTCTTCGTCTCGGCTTCCTCAGAACCATCTCCCAAGAGAGGTGCGGTTTCAGTATCTTCCGTAGGGGCGGGTTTCTTTTCTGCCTCAATGTTCTTACTGAGGGTTATTGAGAGTATGAACTTGATAATTCCAAAAATTGCATAGCCCCAGAATACCATTCTATAGGACCGTAAAACATCCCACTTCAGATTTGATCTCATATACTGGATAGCCCATCCCGAGGTGACCATTCCAACTGCCGTTCCAGCTGTGCCAATCAAAGAGTACCAAGCATATATGTCTCCACGGTTCGCAGTGGGGGTGAGGTGGGCGAGTGTTGATTCTTCGACTGCTCTAAAGGGACCTATTTCGTTCCCACTACAAACATTAGCAATAGCCAGCCGGCATTGGGGAGAGGAAGCATACTTTGGACTAATAACCCCCACAATAGCAGCCACCAGTAAGACCCATTGATTTGTAGACAATGCAAACACAACCCCACTCATAGCCATCAACGCTGCCCCAAGAGCCAGTATTGCCTTCCTCCCTAACCCATCTGCGAATAGCGTCAAGACCAAGCTGATGACCGTATCTCCAATCAGCGTCAAGGTCATAAAGAGCCCAATCATCTCTTTGGAGATACCCAGCTCAGACAGATACGCAACGAGAATGAGCGTCGAGCCGCCATACGCAAAAAGCCGGACAAATCGCTGGGCGCAGAGGAGCTTGACGTCCAGCGTTGAGGACCAGAGGGAGACAAGGCCGAGCTCTTCGAGGGCTTTTACCAAAAACTTCGTAGCCATTGTGGGTTATCGTGCTGGTAGAGGAAGATACGGCGTTCCGATATATATGAAGGTCTGCTGCCTCGAGTATTTTGTATCCGGAGGAGCAGCTGCAGCTTACTGTAGAGCTTCAGGGAGACTTTTATGTCATCCCATCCCAGTAGATCCACATTCTGTATCCGCTCTCTTCGTGGATGAACAAACTGTTGGAACATACAAGCGAGTTTTGGTGCCTTAATTCCGACAGTTTTTTCATCCACGAAGAGCCGCTCCATCAGGGAACGATCGCGGGAAGCTTACGTTGCCCATGCTGCTGTCCAATTGATGATTATGGCGTGGACAGAAAGGTGCTGTTTCATGGCGAGTCAAATGTGGCAGTGACATTCGCGGTCGTTGACGGCAATCTCGATCTTGGCAGGTACAGTAGAATCTGTGCTTCGAAGCTTGCGACAACACAACCCGACCTTGAGTATCACAATACAGTAGCATAAATCTACAGGAAGGCATAGTTGTCTTAATGGGTGTTTGGATATATGGAGTCGTGATCAATACCATCAAAATAGATTGAGTCTATTCTTTTCAAGCTTATGATGTGTTTGCTTTTTTATCTCCTCCTCTTTCACGCGTTGATATAATTTCTTGCACCCCTATAGTATAGAACATTGCTATCCTTATCGCTACCATCCTATACTACTCATTAAAGCCTTTAAGTAAATTTCTACCCAGAAGAGGATGCTATGTTAAACAATGGCCGCGACGATAGCTCCTGCTTTGCTCGGGATAACCACCAGCGCTCTTGCTCCGTCCCACTTCGGCACCAGCTGAACAATTTTAGTACCAGCCCAAGATTATTTCAAAAGCTTACAGAGTCCAATAATAAGTGGAATCCGACCTGTTGATGGCTGCTTCTTCAAACGAATCTGGTTGACCTCCACCTCAGGCATAACCATTACAAGATTCAAACCCCCACAGGATTGTCAAATAAACCAGTATCATCGGCTCTCTGTCAAAAAAGCCCCCATGATATGCAGAGCCTAGGTGGCGACATCATCGATACACGGCTCTTGGAAAGCTAGATAGGGTCCAGGGCAAGGGTATAAATGCTCATGTAGTCTTTTTCGAATGTTCCCCACGGATTGTTGCCAATCTCAGCTCTGTGTGAGACGGGGACCCCCAACGGATCCCACGCAAGCCAGCGGGGGGTTCCCCAGCCCCCACACTTAGTAATGTAAGATAACTAGATCCCTCGCCCTTTTTACTTTACTTCTCAGACATTCTTTCCCTATCTTCAAGTCATCTCGCTCCTCAGGTATTGATCTCGGTCCTCAGACGAATATACCGACGAGTCTCAACTCACTACGCTCACTCAGTCGCTCACCGTTGTTTGCTTACACCATTTTGCTTAGATGATACCCAGCATTCCACCTCCGAAAATGATCTCTCATTCATGGTTGTCCTGTGGCAACCTTGAGAGTTCAGATCTATTGTTTACATTCCTGGCGTGCATGGTTCTCAAACCCCCCATTCAGCCATACATCCCCCCAAAATGGCGGTAATCACTTCGCATCATCACTATCACTTGTAAAGTACCCCCCTCTCTACTACAATACCTTCCTCAGTCATCTCCCGGAATTTTCAATCTCTTCTAGAATGCCTCCAAAACGCAACAATCCCGAAGTCAGCAAACGAGTCATCCGAGGAGCCGAAGCCAAATCTGTCGAGCCAGAGATAGTCAAGAAAATAGTCAAAAAATCCGCCGCCTCCAAAAAGACTGCCGTCACCAAGAAAAGTACAATAACCCCGGTCAACCCAGAGCTCATTCCTCTTCCGCCATCACCAACTCTCAAGCAAGGCCGAGGACGACCAAACTCAAGCCCTGCAACGAAAAGGGCTACTACAAAGACAACAACAAGGAAAACACCAAAGAAAATCACGAAGTCTCCTGCTCAGAAAAGTCTCCAGGACTGTCTAATGAGAAGATGCCAGCATTCGGTGCGACGGATGGTTTGGGGGAGCGTTGGTCCAGCCCGATAGACATCCATGAAGTCAGTCTCCGACTCCCAGAGACCTCATTAGATAGGGTAATCAGCGAGATTGGAGCCTGCCACTGCGCAACTGAAAACCCTATCTATCCATTCGGCGAAAATGGGGAAGGGGGCCCGGGAATAGCATACATTTGTACCTGCGCCACCAAAGTCCCACTCGTCTCTCCATAGAAAAAGGGAAAGGGGAAGGGGAAGGCAGCCGCTGAACCTATTTTGGAGCCCGCTATTTACAGATCTGGTGCTGGGCTGTTCATCGGCCATGTAAAGCCTACAAATACGGAGACAAAATATGAACTTCCCCTTACTGTAAACACAAGATCCCTCCCAAGCTACCGGCGCCCCCAATCTGGGATCCACTAGATTATATGCGGCCCTGCGGCTCCTGTCCGCCACGCCCTCACAAATTACCCGGCAAATACAGCTGTCCACCCGAAGAAGCGCCAGTCTTCAAGGTGCGGGCGAAGATACAGGTCGACGATGAAGATGACTGGAGCCACGTGAAAGATGGCGATGTATTGGAGGTACGGGACACTGCTGGAAATGTGACAAATTGACGAAGAAGGGCGACTAGGATCGTGGAATAGGAGAAGACTTTGTGTCAGGGACGCCGGCCTTTGATCAGATATCTGGTAATGATGGGGTTGGAGGAGGGAAGAGAAAAAGAGGGGAGGAACCAGGGGCAGAGAGAACCTCACCTTGGAAGTCGCAAGCCACGCCTGCTAAAAGGGGGAGGCTTGTAGTTGCCAAGAGTCAGATAGAGATTGTGTGTGCAAAGTGAACGGTATGGGCGCAAACATGACGGGAAACGGGCAAAGTCTGGAGCTGTTAGGAGAAAAGGTAGGAAGTGAGGCAGAAAGTAAATCTTTCGTGGGGATCATGTTAGGGAGAAAGGAGCTGAAAGCTCTCTGCTAGCATTTCATCTACAGATCCGCAAGTGTTCCAACAATTTTTATTCATATTGATTCACTTCTTATATGCTATAATGAAGAGATAAGTTTTTATTATGAAACATCAATCAAAAGCTCAAGAACACTTACACTCTTGAAATCAACGAGAAGACCGATAGTGGGTTGACCCTTTCATCGTTGAAATTCTCCTATATTGCAATCGATGGTAGCTGCCACGTGAAGCGATAGTAAGGAAGCTTGTGCCAAGGGGATGCAACTTGAATCGAAAAAGGAAAAGTGCAAATTCCCAGCGAGGTGGAAGGAATTAAGCGAATCGTGTTTACTAAAATAGGGGGCGCGAAACGATGTCCGACTATCACTTACTTGCATGCTTTCAAGACACCACACAAGGAAGTCTCGATAATATCAAGTATACATGTCTTAAGCAACGAAAGTAACAGCAATGCGAAGCAGCAGAAAGAGCTTGGAATTATACACTGGAAGTCTGCGTGCTCCACATACATGGTTTTGATATAGTGGTATAAACGAAAGATAGGCGTAATGGCCAGGTCAAAAAACTACGATATCTCTTTTCCGCTTAGAGATTATGCTATCATTTAAAAGAATTTTCACATCATCAGATTCAAACAAGCTCGTATTACTAGTAGTTGATCAATTATCAAAAATAAAATTCATGAGCGGCTTTCCTCTCATGGGCTACTGACTGCTCATAGTAAATATAATCAGTGAACAACGCAGACTATGCCAAGGTAGCTGGGGTGAAGAAGTTTTGTGCATTGCTGCACTTTGACATACTGTATGTACGACCGATGGCTCATAATCAGGCGAAGGAAATAATTTTGACTTGCGGTGTAGATGGAAAATCAAAGAGCAACTGCAAATCACTGTCAAAGTGAACGATTCACAGTATCCTAAAGATAGCAGAGAGAATGAGTAAGAAGTCGCAATGGTTCCGGCTGGGGAAGAAAGTGAAAGGGGTATGGAAGTATCAATGGCTAGAGATGAAAAGGACTGGAAAGTCGGATCTTCAAGTAATGGTTTCCACGGCATTCCAAAGTCAATAATGGAACTTACTAGCCAAATGACGAGAGAGCTTTCTACAAAAATGGAGGATAAACGTCAGATGAGAGCTTTAGCCGCAGACGATTTAAGAACGAAGGAAGCATTTGCGGGGTGGAAGTGGGACTTCAACGGCCAACATTTTCTCGCAACGCGCAACTAAAGAATGCCCCACGATTGACTACTAAACGACAGAGGAAGAATTGGGTCTCCGCCACTCATGAACCATTTGTTCGTAATGAAAACAAGATTTAGTTGTTTGAAGTTTGGAGAAACCAGCGAGAGTGGGATTTTCAGACTCTTCTTCCCTTCCTCACATCTAGATGCACAATTTGCAAGACTTCCAGCGTCATATATTATAAATAGCGGCTCCACAACTGCATTTTATATGAATAATCAAACTTGACATCTGTCATAAGAAAGCCCCTACACCCTTTAAAGTTCTCTCGAAATGCGGGGTACAGAGGTGGGGAGGAGGGGCAAGTACAACGGAAGAGATGCATTTTGCGAAGCATTCAAGACTCGGACGGGAAACAATTTCAGCAAGCTGCTGCTTAATAGAAGGCGAGTAAAGTAGCAAGGTATGACAAGTAGCTCAGTTTTCTTTGACCCCGGTTAGAAATAACGGTGAGAGAGAAGGAATCGTTCTGCACGTACATGAGTTCATTTAATTAACACCTCATCTCACCTATATTCTATCCTCAAAGGGAATTTTTATACTTGAGAACGGACAGGAGTGTCCACAACCCCCACGCAACCGGGAAACAATAACATCTAGTGCTCCCACTTCCCCACAATTCCAGAAGTGTCGCTAGGTGCATGGGAGATCCAAGTCATGGGCTTATGCATCGGATGAATCGGCCCTATAGAAAACCACGAATGTGAGGTGCAGAGCCAAAATTAGCAGGCAGCCTTGCGGCACGGCCAAGAATTTCGGATGAGGGGTAAAATTATATTTAGATGTATCGTTAAGAGTATCGCTCGCTACTACTGTATACATTTTGCTTGATTTCAAGATTGAGCTGCGTGTAGTCGACGCGGGGCCGTCAAAACCCGGGATGTATTCATAGGCAGAGTGAAATCCGCGGGATGAAGTCATGGTTGTCCAATTAAGTGACACCAGAGTAATTCTGGTTTTCTGAGAGATCATGGGTTGGACTATATTAGAAGTTAAACATATACTTAACAGAAAAGCCACAACGGAAAAACGATAGGAAATGCGGAAACATGGAAATAACTGTGCACTGTGTGCCACAATGGCGCATGTTTAGATATGTCAGAAGGTGACTTGTCTTACGTAAGCTGGCCAATATCAGATGTAGGATATATTGTTATTGCGTGAAAAATGAAACGATGTGATTGCTGGTAAATTTAGGGCCTGACACCTCCTGCTCAGTCACATGCAAGTCGAGTATAGTTGATTGAGTAGCGTAGAAATTCCTGCTCTAATACTTGCTCCGCCTGGTATAGAGACAGTTTGATGTATCAAACGTAACTTGGAAAGGAAGTACTTCGTAAGTTGTCCCAACTAGGGACACATTGCAGAAGCGTGGAGACATAGCGTATGGGGATAACAGAGGTACATCCGCGAGAGCCACATGGGCTACCTTTTCTATTGATAAACCCTTTGCCGCGAAGCATTGGTACTATTCGCGGGTCTGCTTGGAAATGACCATCCCGAATATCGGTAGATCGGTCTTTGCCTCCCGATTTTGCGTCCAAGAAATGCTCGGTGGGCGTTGCGTAGCGTGGGGTGCGTTGCAAAACACATGGCACTAAAGCAAGGTGGGTTTCGGGAACACCAGATCTTGCATAGAATGCTGCGAAATAAAAAATGGAAGTTCTTCCCGATAATATTTTGCAGACCGGGCGCCTCCTTTGTCAAGATAGGCGCTCCGAACACTATTCTTATGGCGAAAGCCCGAAGTGAAAGGAGTTCGACTTGGGTTGAAAGGCAGGTTGTAAAGAGCAAACTCCCCACGCCCTTCAGTTACATCTCCACCCCAAATGGCCACGCACATCAAAACTTTGGCAGTACAGGTACCACCACAGGAAGCGGAGATGAGGGGAGACGCAAATCAAGAAGCAATGGCATGTTCTCTGCATGTGATTTGCAGATTCTGCAGATTGATTATGTAAATTTGGGCCACTTGTCCTCTTCGACATGCATGCAGACTTTGAGAAACTTCTGATCTCGTGATTGTGTCACTGCCGCCAAATGCAAAAAGAGAGGTCCAACCAAAATCTTGAAGTAAGGGACTCTGCAATGCTACAGTACCCCCTAAGCAAATAAGAATAGGACTGCGTGTGAACTTGTGACTCTGGCGGAGTCTTTGTGGTGTAGTTGCAGGGTTTATATGGAGGTCTGGTCTGGATGCCCGACTGTTCGACCGCTCACTGCACCCTATTGGGGTATTCCCAGCAGGGAAGCTAACCCCCACGCAACCTTTGCCTCGGGCGTTGCCACTTACTGTTACGAGCCCACCAGTTAGTTCTATGGTTAGAGTCCAAGTCAGCCAGAGGTTCCAAGAGCCACAACGATGGGCACTACTATGCTACTTTAGGGACGATCACCAGGTTCGTGGCCCTCCATAGGCCGTCTGAGGCGCCTCTTTCGCTAACACTCCGGGGATCGAAGACGCCAAGATCAACCCCGCGGAGCTTTGGAGCTTTGAGGTCATGACGGCGCATCAGCCGACTACACACCTTCTTGTTCCAGTACGACACGCCAGGACCCCGACTTTCAACGACTCGACTCAGCTCAGCTCGCAGCTTCCCTGGACTTACTCGAGTCGTACCAGCATTAATCCAATCCAACACAAGACAACCCAAGTCTGTGTGGCATGCTGACATCTCAGCGGTGAGGTGAGGTGAGCTGAGCTTGGAGCTGAGCCTCCTCCTCTGCTTCTTTCCACCATGTTATCGCATGGGTATGCGCCGTAGGTAGGCCTACCTGCATTACTGCTTCCAGATGCTTGGGAATACAGTAAGCAATCGCAGCGGTACTCGGCCTCGAGATCACAACACAGCTGGGAAAGGAGGCAGGACCACCGCAAGCAGGGCTGTTGCAGCGTTGTTTGATAGACGGTGAGGTAATTGTACAATACTACAACGCATCAGAATAGCGACAGCAACGCCTCTCTTGCCACTTGGCATAATGGCTGCGAATCTCCTACCCACCTATCCACCAATCGATGACAACGCAATTGCAACGCTGCTGGATCATTCGTGACTACCGGTGAGACAGCGGTAGTTTATGGCCGTAGCCCGACATCGTGGATGAATATCCTACACGATGCTACCGAAACTACTTAGCCAGTCTTACGCACTACTACTGTACTGACTGACTGGGCTGCACATGGAGTTGCCCGAGCGCCCGTTAGGTGAGAGGAGAGAGACCCAATCCAGTAATCCGAAGCATGAGGTGGGGCCAGGTGTTTTGCTTTTACCCCCACACTACCAGCAGACTACGCACTTCACTGTCAAGAATGAGTGAGAGTTTGGTTTGCGTACGAGTTAGTTGTTCCTGACAGGCACCCCTTCTCTCTTTTTCCCCCATCATAGTAAACGGACTACCCTTTTCGGGTCTTTCCTGCGCCACCCAGGAACAAAGAATTACTACTTAATCCAGGTCAATGCCAATGCCATCCTAGCCCACGACTCTTCCCGTTCTCCCCTTCCGCCTCTATTATACGGAGAATTCACATCCAATATCTACAAAACATTGACCTACCGGTACTCAGCATTCACTTCCAGCTTGTCATCCAATTCACAGCAAGAGTCATCATCTATAACTACTTATTTGCTCCTTCCCCAATTGCAACTTGCAACTATGTCCCCTCACAACGACGCACCATCTCCCGCCGGCAGCTTCACCCAAGGATTTCACAACATGTCATTTAGACCAGTGGCTGGCTCTGGCCTCCGAAATTCGAACAGCAATGCCAATAGCATATACTCCGAATCAGCTTTGACCGGATCGCAGTACAGTTCTTCCCATAGCACCACTTCGCTGGATACGGAAGACCATGCCTCTCGCCCATTGAAGCCAGGAGTCTATGTCCCAACCATCTGCTTCTTCGACCCCGTAACGGAAGACCTCGATACCGCAACCATTGCCAGCCATGCAGTACGTCTTGCCAAAGCTGGCGTCACTGGCCTTACAACTCAAGGTTCCAACGGAGAAGCAGTCCATCTCACCCACGAAGAACGTCAAACAGTCACTCAAGCCACCCGCACAGCACTTACTGGAGCCGGTTTCCCGCAAATGCCCATATTGGTAGGCTGCGGTACCCAGTCCGTCCGCGAGACTATCTCATACTGCCGTGAAGCATACGCAGCTGGGGGCGACTATGCGCTTGTCCTGCCACCTTCCTACTACGCACCCCTCTTCTCACCAGCGGCTGCAACCGTAATCGAATTCTTCAACTCCGTCGCAGACCAGTCGCCGATCCCGCTCGTCATCTACAACTATCCCGGAGCCGTCTCCGGCATGGACCTTTCTTCCGACGTGATCATCCAACTCTCGGCACACCCGAACATTGTGGGCGTGAAGCTCACATGCGGAAATACAGGAAAGCTGAACAGAATTGTGGCAGCAACCAAGTCTGTGAAGCCGCACGGTCTTAGTGCGCCTCCTTTCTTGGTGTTGGGCGGTAGTGCAGACTTCACAATGCAGAGCTTGATTGGTGGCGGACATGGCATACTGGCAGGGCTGGCGAACATTGCTCCCAAGTCATGCGTTGAGATCTTGAGGTTGTACAAGGATGGCAAGATTGCTGAGGCCCAGAAGCTGCAGGAGGTTGTTGCGCAGGGCGATTGGGCGGCTATTCAAGGAGGAATTGTTAGCACCAAGGCGGGAATGGAAAGCTGGCTCGGCTATGGAGGATATGCACGCAGCCCCTTACCACGACCGACCAGCGACGAGAGCGCGAAATGGAAGGAAGGCTTCAGGGAATTAGTTGCGATGGAGAAAAGTTTGTAGAGGCGCTTGCTTCAGGGGTTGATTTGTTTTTCTAATACGGTGGTCTGATTGTTTTTTGGCGTTGCGTTGCGTTGCGTTGCGTTACACAATGCGCTGTTGCATCACAAGCGTTATTTTTCTTAATCATGGAGTGTCTTAGTGACACGATGATACCAAAAGCCCTCAAAAGCCCCTTTGACGGCACGTTACTTTATGGCCTATTATATTTTCATTGACGAGGGCGTCCAGGCGACACTATCGAATTTCCTTGTCGGCGGCTATCTGAAAACCAACAACTTCATGCGATGCTTTTTCAACATATTCCTTACATACACCACCACAAAGTCTCGAGCTAGATAAGTCATACTCTGTGCAAAAGCCAAGTCAATTTCAGAAAAGCGTGCGAATTATTCAAGCCTTATGTTACTAGAACATCAAGGGCATGGTATCCTAGATATTAGAGACAAAGAATGAAAGCTTCACAGCGCCTGTTACCCTTGATATCATCGGTATTCTTCTCTTAGAAAGAGTGACGATGACAGTGCTTTTGACTAGTCCCTACGTAATCCACTATCTATATTTTAAGAAAGTTCAGCAGAGTCTAAAGACACTTCTTTCCTTACGAAATTCCATGCAAGAAACCCCGGTCTGGGCATTACATAAACCCATCCTACTACATTGTTCCCGACTTCTGCCATCCTCCTTCTGGTGCACTTTTGCAAGGGTGGATACATTTCATAATCTATCACTGGCATATTGTATTTCATTAACAAGTTTGAGAGGGATTCCAAAGACTAGGGGGCTGCGTGCACGTGACACCCCTGGACTTTGGACGAGAGTTGTGAGTAGTTGTATATCTTGAGTAGATAGAACTAATTACAAAATTCCGGAGCCTGGGATTGAGAAGTTGGATTTTTAGTAAAGCTGAAAGAGGAAAGTGGGAAATATATAAGCAACGTAGTATTCCTGGAGGACTTTCTCATATTTCATCTCAACTTTGCACATATGATGATCTGCAATCCTCAATATAAAAAACTACCATATGTACATCCAAACTACCTTGGGTAGCCTTGTCTCTATACAACAAGAAAGTCGTATTGCCGTTCAAAGTAATAACATGTCGCATGCTTTCAAATCCCAAATCGCTCCGTAAATTGTGCACATCCTCCTCAATTTCCAAACCCATCCAGTTAGGTGATTCAATACATCTCCTCGTTCCTCGGAACAGAATGCCCCGTCGAGGGCGCCATGTAAGCCTCAAACCCCGTCCCACTCCCCACACTCGAACTAACACTCGTACTTGGACTAGCAAGCCCGCTCTGACCCTCGCCCTCATCTCTCGACGGCCCAATGCCGAACCCCGTCGTCCCAAAAGAACCAAACCTAAAACCCTCTCCTCCAGTACTGCGGCCAAGGTTTTCCGCTTCAGAGCCTACACGACTTAACGCCGGTTTCTCTGGCAAAGCTTTGAGAAGACCGGTTGACGTGTCGAGCATCCCCATCGCAAACTCGGTTAATCTATTGTTGCCGCCCCCTTCCGAACCACCCCCCTTGCAACTAACGCCCAACGTCCACCGATACTCCCCGAGTCGTCTACGGTACCAATCCGCCTCCTCCCTGCCCGGCGCCGTCGCCCACAACAGACTCCCAAACGTGCCAATCAACGCGAAATTCGTCTTGGACGCAAAGTACCAGAAGGAGCGCAGATGCGAGGACGTGAGCCGGTTCACAAAGTCCATGGCGGAGATGAGACGCGTCTTGGCTGCGCTGCGGCAAATGTGCGTGATGTAGGGATCGAGCGCTGGCTTGGTGTCTGGGGCCGGCGGCGTGGACAGCGAGCGGATGATGCGGCGATGCAGCGTGATTTCCGTCGCGAAGTACGCCAGGTGCAGGAAGCCGGTCGAGCAGAGCGTCGTGGTGCTGGGACTGCTGGCGGGGAGGAATCCATGCGTAGACACGTGGGGAGGGCGGCGAACCAGTCCTTCAGCTTCAGCTGCACGGGTTTCGCGAGCTGGAGCACCAGATGCGTACCCTGCGGCCCGGCGGCCGTGACGGTCGCCATGGCCTGGAGCGCGTAGAAGGTGTCGAGGACTTCAGCGAGGATCTGCGAGAGGATTATCATCTGCGTGAAGAGGAGACGGCCGCGCTCGTACTCGGCGCTTTCGCGCGTGTCGTGCTCGTCGAAATCGACGTCGGGGAAGTCGTTGGGGGAGAGCGCGGGTACGGCCCAGTTTGAGGCGAAGATGTGGGAGGCCGGCCGTGGACTAGGGAGCCCCATTTGTCTTGCATGTAGAGAGCCCATGCTAGACGTTTTCGTAGACCTCGTTCCCATGGTGGGATTTTCCAGGTTGAGCAGTCTAGATGTAGACCTAGTTCTTGGCCAATGGCTACTAGTTGTGCTGTTGGTGCCCATTGGTCTCCTTCTGGTCGTTGGGACAGCAATAGCCCGGCTTGTACAGTTGATAATTTTGGTCTGTTCATTGCATCGGCCAAGGTCACTCGAGCAAGTCTTTCCAGCTCTCTCAGATCGGGTCTTTGGACATTGACAAGTTCCTCGCTGTGATCCCACCAGTTAATGGCTAGAATATATACAGCAGCAAGAATTGGAGGAGAAAACTCCCGATGAGAACGGTTGTACTTTTCCAAGAAAACTGTCTTTTGAAGAATGGGAAAGTTAGGATGAATGATCCTGAAATATAGTTCGAGTAATGCTGGTCCATGAGGTGCGACAAGACTCTCAATTGCATCTGCATCGTCTATAATATGCTCGTAGCCAGGCGTGTTATAATCCGGTAACAACAGGAAAGTCTCTACATCATTCACTTTCCTCAAGGTGCCCCTGGAGAGTAGACTTTCATCTTGAGGATCAAAGGGGGACAGATCAATAAGTGATGGCTCGAAGTCGGTAGTTGGTCCGATATATTGGCTGTATCGATCATTTTGCAGCCCCAAAGTTCGCTTTAAAAGTGTTGGCCCTCCAATATTGGCCATGTCCTCAATTAAAGAATTACTAGAGAAACTCGATTCGGTTGGCCTTCGTCGTCTCTCGTCGGTTCTATCCGGTGATCTGGGAACACAAAATGTCAGCCTCAGCAGCCTTTATAAGCAATCCGAATACGATTAGAGAGAAACGATCTTGCAGTCGAGATTTTATTCTCAGTCTTACATACCTTCTCTTGGCCACAGATTCCTCCTTTCCTCCTTCAATGTTCAGCTTCCTCTTCCGTGGTTGCGGGCTTTGCACAAATGTACACTCCTGGGTATGGAATTGACACAACACACAGATAGTCTGGCCCTCATTGATCACGCATCTGCTTTTCCTTCTTCTGCACGCATCACAGGGTCTATCCTTTCGACCCCTGACATTCATTCCTGAATCCCCAGATGCAGAACTGCTCATGCTTACAGAAAGCTGGGTCCTGCCGTTCAGAGCGCTGCCGAAGTTCTCGATTGAGGACTCAATCGTTCGGGGCTTGCGGGAAGCTATAGCAATGGGAGCCGTGCGGGCGAGGGTGGTTGGCGTCGACATGGCGTAATGAGGCTCGATAGCACCACTAATTGTCCACCAGGAACCAGAATTTTGTCTTGGCCTCGGTTTCTAGGTGGGATATCTGCAGCTAGTACGAATTTTTCCAGATATGAAGAGATATTCCCTGCCCTCGGAGAAGAGCGACGGCCAGTTCTCTGCCCTGAAAGCTACGGATTGGTCTAGTTCTTGCAGCAGAGAGCTCGAAGGAGCAGGTCTAGCAAGGCTGGACAGGGCTGCAGAGGGGCGATAAGGACGTGAATGGCTCCAGGGACAGTGAGAGGCAGGCCTATCGTATCTCCCCACTCTCAGACAGCAGTGACAGATGCAAATACAGCGAGTTACGGTACGTTTGTATGCTCCTTATCGGAGGAATAACGCGGTCCGTAGTATGTAGTTCTCCTAGACCCGGAAAGGATCTCAATACTAAAGATAAGATAAGGCACTTAGTGGGATATCGACACTTATTGATTTCCGGGGTTGTCTGGTGTATCAGTGTGTGTGTGTCTTTTCAGGGCCTTATGTCAATGGTTGTCACTGCTGCTACGGGTGCCAGCAAGTGATTGAAGAAGAATGAGATGGTGGATAGATTTTGGCGTCATTGAAGCTGCCACGGATGAAGAGGACTGGAAGTTCGTATATCAATCAGCTCTGCATCTGCTAACAATGTAGCGGAGTGCCCGTGGGACGAACGAGGACGTTATTTTGACCGGATTTGTCGAGGCGCTGTTGCTGCTACTGCTTCTTTTGCGTGGGACGATTTTCTAAGAAAAATACGTGGAGATAAGAAAGTTGCACAAGTATTAGATACGATACGATTTATCTCATGCTCAAATTGATAACTAGGCCGGTACCTCGCATTACCGGTTCCACAACATACGCCTTTTTACTCATACGTTGGTCCGAGGTTTTGCAGTCGTTGGGGGAAGCTTTTATGACAGCAGTAAACCCTCAAAGCAGCAATTCGGTACGTAATGATTGCAATGACAGACCGCTGAGTGGCCAGCCCTGCCCGTCCAAAAAGGCTATATGTTTTACTTGTTAATAAGCCCCCCTTTTTTTCACGACTCGTACCACTCAAAAGCGCAGGATCCTTATCGCGGCCTTGTTGATAGGGAACGTTAGAAGCGGTCAAGTGTTTGAACTTTGGTCTGCCGAGTTTCTTTCAGCCTGATGCTTGCCCCACTAAAGCCTTGATGAGTGATTATCGCCGAAGTACTGTATACTGTATCGGTACAGCGGATCTTCAACCCCACAATCACTACATCTGTCGATCGTGGGTCTGCATCTGGATTGCTAAAAGAATCGCAGGTACAGCTGATGATTGGCTGTGCATTTACCGGGCGTGTGTTGCCGGTAAAGGCTTCGGGTGGGTGTTACACTGGTACGTAATGTTAAAGATTGCCGTTTAATAGTGACACAAATAATTTGGAGAGAAAATCTCGGGATTACGTGAGGCCGGCACGTGCCAGGCGTTCGAAAAGGGGTTGAAGTTATCTGAAGATTCCATCCATTGAGAAGCCATATGCTCGAGAAGTATTACTCCTCACCTAGATAGCTCAGCGATTCCTCAAGCTGTTTCGCCAGCGTCAACAGTTGTTTGTCAAGCCCACACCCCGCCAAAATAGTAACACCAAATGGCAACGTCATCTTCCCCACGTCCTCGCCATCAATCTCATAGGTCCCACACTTCACCGCAATACCCACCAAGTCCAACACATTAGCAAAATGCGCAAAAGCCCCCAGCCTTCCATTGATTCCAAGCGGATCCTTCTCAACTTCCTCAATTGTTGGATGGAATGGTGCAGTCGGCACAACCATGACGGTAAGCACATCTTCGTTGAACGTTAAAACATCTTCCACAGCCCTTTTGTATTGTGCTTGCTTATGCAGGTCACGGAACACATCTATGGCTGTGCTCCCCCTTGCAAGTGCGCCTTCAAACACGCTTCTGGTGACTGGATGTAGCAACTGCTTGTTTTCCTCGAACCAGCCCTGTGGTAGGATAGTGAGACGCTCTAGAACAAATGTGCCGCCATATAGCAGTTCGTTTGCGGATGCAAAAGGAGCCCAGTCCAGATCGACAGGATTTCTAGATTCGATTTTGAGAGCTTGGACTACCTGTTCGAACTTTTGGCGGTATACGGGGCTGCATGCATCAAGTGCGACGTTGGGTGGCACGCCGAAACGGAACGAAAGTTTGGTTGAAGATTCTCTCAAAGGCTCGGATAAGAAAGAGGACGGTTTTGCGAAGAAATCCGTCTTGTCAAACCCTTTGCAAACCTCCCATACTGATTCTGCATCTCCTACTGACGTTGCGAGAAATGAAACGCAATCTTGGTGTTGGCATGCAGGGTAGACTCCCCGCGCAGATACAGTACCCTTTGTTGGCTTGAAGCCGAATACTCCATTGTATAAAGCTGGCACACGGATTGAGCCTGCTGTATCACTGCCCAGAGAGAATGAGACGAGCCCTTGACTCACCGTAACAGCGCTACCGCTACTTGACCCCCCAACAATATGTTGCTTGCTGAAAGTAGAATGAAGGGTGCCATAAGGACTTCGGCACCCCGTCATTCCAGTAGCAAGTTGCTCCATATTAGGCTTCCCAATGAAGAGCCCACCCGCGTCTATGCATTTTTGGTATACTGTGGCAGAGGATGTAGGCGTGAAGGCGAGAGCCGGACAACCGATTGTGGTGGGAATATTAACAACATCGATGCTATCCTTGACACTGAACGGTACGCCCCACAGCGGTGGTCGCTCTTCCAGAATCGGCCAGCGTTGATTTAACGCATGAGCCTGGCTCATCACTTCGCCAATAGGCTGTAGATGGATCCATAGTGAAGGCTGGACCTCTTTGTATGCCTCGATGCGGTCGTATATTGCTTGAACGACAGTCTGAGGCTTCATTCCAGCTTCATAATCCAGTCGAAGGCTTGAAATATCGAGGCTGGAATCCCAATACTCCATTCCGTCGCCGTCTTCCCACGTGCGGAGCATGCAAAGTTCCTCGTAAATATTTGGCGCGCTATCATTTCCGACTGGAGGGAGAGCCATAGACAGACCATCAAGTAACATAAATCCGAGTCGACGGTAGAGAGACGATGCGGCAACTGTGCTCTCAAGGTAGACCGGGACATTGTCCTGCTTCGCCCTTTCAAGTCCCCATTTGGTCAATAGAGTTGCAGCTCCTTTTCCCTGAAAGTCAGGATGGGTTCCAACGAAAGTAAGACCTGTGAACACATCAGAATTGTTTCATAAGTAGTGGGAATATGAATTATATGTGGGCGATCAAGGCACGTGAATCTCCTCAGCCAGGGGGGTATGTCCTTCGCAGGCCTTAGTTCGGATGATCATGAATCCGACGTAGGAAATCCAAATACTAAAAATGACTGTAAAAGCGACGTGGACATTAAGCTTCGAAATACGGCGCGGCTTACGATAGCATGATTTATCCCCAATGACGCTGACTTTAGCCCGCTCTGCCTTCTCATGATAGACATCTAAAAACTCCTGTCTGACATCCATATGCCATGTAACACCAGCATGGTACTCTTTGTTGGAAACACTAGGCAAATCCCACTTTGCAAATCCGATAATCTGGTTCTCTGCTTCCGTGTCTCTGACTACCATGACAGCTTTCCCGGCTGCTTGTACATTCTGAATGGTATGCAGTAGCTCTTGACTTAGGAGGGAATGCAAGAATGCCAAGCTGGCTGGGGTTGGGAATTGTGCGTGCAGTAAAACGTTGGAGTCAAAGGCAGAGAGATGCACGGAGGCTATTCGGTCTACATCTTCTACGGCAGCATCTGAAAGCTGGAGAACCATGGTGGGGGACTTGCAACTCTCTGAATGCCGTCTTCAACACTTGAGTGGATGTTGGACGGTCTGAAGTATTCAGGCAGAATGTAGAGCCTCATTCATAGAAATTGAAGATATTTTTGAGGGAAGGGTGAGCTGCAGGAATGCCTATGAGACCGAGGCGGGTGCAAGACGGCTGTCAAAATATGCTGCTACCCGATAACGCGGGGCGTGCTACAGGTCTTCGGGCTAATTTCCACGCTAATGTATCGAGATGTTTATCAAGACTCAAGACTTAAGAAGGATCAACTAGGTTTCGGGGAATCGCACTTGTCGTAGGGCCTGTAATGTAATTGGATGTTTGTTTCGAGAATGGCTGTGCTTGTGTTTGTTTAGTATGGTAGCGAGAGGAGGGAGGTGCGGGACGGGAGTGCTGGCTGAGGCTTGACTTTAATTAGCGTGAATCGCAGTACAGTAAGCCTGCGCCTCTATTTTTGGTGCTGTCCTGAACTTTCACTCGTACTCCGTATAGTAATCTGACATCTACAGTACCTGTCCAACGCTGTACGCACTGAGCAATCAGCCACCAACGCGCTTCCTGAGAATGCAGTAGCGACCGACCGGATCGTCTGTTTGCAAACATGTTTCTTGGAAGTTTCCAACGGCTGTGCTGTCTCGTGGATCGCGCATGTTCCGACCGAGGGAAGACTAGAACAGCGACAGCTGTTTATAGTAAGCCTCGTCCAAAAGGATTCTCAACCCATACAGAATTAGAGCACTCTTATCCAAATAATAGACCAGTTATCTTCTCGTGTGGCAATATTTCAGTCAGCCCAGGTTGCTAGCCGTGCTAAGCTGTTGGTTATGTGATCACTACGTACATAATAACAAAGGCATGGCATAGCGGTCGACATTAGTCGGGAGCCTTCTTTCATTGCTTACTCTTTGTTCACTCACCCTTTTCATTGATTTAAAGAGCAGCTCTTATTGACAGTTCATCAATCACCTGCGCCAATGTCGAAAATCAATGGTAAGTTTCTACTACATATGTAGGACAGCTAGCTTTTTTTGAAATCCGCGGAAGAAGGCTAGATGAGAACTATGAAATCGAGGAGATTATTAGGGATATTTGCGTAGGATATTTGCTAACAAGTATAAGCAGAGGGCCGTCTGCCCAATTTGGTCGTACCTGTGCCTTCGGCCTATACTGGTCAACTATCCTATGGGCCTTCGGAGAGCACTCCTCATAATCCTCTAATATACGACGCAAATGCCGACTCAAATCAAGATGTCGTTGGGTCTGGCGTGGCAGAGGTGGACAGTGTCAAGGTCGACAGTGATGATGAAAAGGGCGACGGAAAGACCTCGACGGGCGCGAAACGATCGTCGCTCCTCATCTTCCTGAAAGATTCGCGAATCTACGTCCGGGTCCTCGCGATCGTCATCATGATCATATCATTATCCTTGATCCTCATAGCAGTCGTTCAATTTGCGCAAGCAAAAAAGAAGCCAGGCCATCCTCTAGATGCTGTGCCCAAGCCGTCTAGCATCACCGATTATCCTTGCATTGTGTTTTCTGGAGTCGCCGCGATGAATCTCGTACTTAGCATCAGCCTTTTTGTTCTGTCTTGTGTGTCAAGCAAGGTATTGGATCCTGTGAGCAAGATTCGGATTATGTCTAACAAGTTGATAGTTCAACAAGAGCGTCAATGCTTTCAATGCAGCGTTTGCTATCCTCAGCGCTATCGGATTTGCTACCTCGATGGGAGCTTGTTTCTTCCTCAACAAGCAGACCAAGCTGAGAAATGATTTATGGTTAGTTGAACTAAGGCAATATGTAAGACTGTTGGTTAATATGTATACAGGAAATGGTCTTGCGACAGTCACAAAGCAGGCGTGATCACCGACGCCCTCGATTTTCAACTCGTCTGTCATGTTGTAAATTATGGCTGGAAATTTGGACTCGTCCAGGCATCCTTGGAACTTCTGACATTTATCATTTCTGTCGCGGCTTTTATCATTCTGAAGTATTCTTACTTTGTTCGTTACGGACGTACAGGCAGGATATTTTGAATATTGATCGGCAATTTTGGTTACTTTCTTTCTATCTTAACTTTCATATATGTACATTCATTGGCCCGAATCTATTTACACAGTTATCTAGGAACTCGGCGTTGCAGTCTTAGCGTCGGAGAGGTTTGTGCTATTCAGGGGAAAGTGACCTGCACATCATGTGTGATGTATGCTGGTTTGTGAAGGGCACATGGTCACTGGAGTTATCGACTGCCGGGAAAAGGAGGTGCATATACGACAACAACGAACTTTACTGTCATAATTCAGGGAATAAAATACCTAAGGCCATGGGAAATTATGAACAGCACCCATTATTTCTCCATACATGATGTGGTCGGTACACCACAGGCAAGAACGCGTTCGCATTGCATCGTTCTTGCTCCTATGATCCCTGTTCAATCTGGCGCGCATGTATTGTGAAGGGACCTTGCATTGCACAGAGCAATGCATTGTCACATGAGTTACCTCTTCATGAAATTGTTTCGATACGTACGGGAAGTCATCCCCATGGGAAGCTTCTGTTCCAGGATATTTCTGCCTTCTAGACCCATTGCCGAGTCCTGGCGTCGTTGCACTGTTTCTCCGTCACATGTGCTGACATGGTCGTGTATGCATGTAGCCGTCCCTGGATTCTGATTTAGACGAATATTGACTATGATCCGTTGACTTTGGTACTATGCATGTCGGAGTTTTTCTCTCGTGTTGTTCTTGTGGCATTGTTACTACGTTCTCAGCTTGGGTGGAGCAAGCCTTGCTATTGGTAATTTGATACTTGTGTGACAATTGATGGCGAGGGCAAGTACCAACGGGTGCAGTATATCGAGACGTTGGTTGCTAGAACTTTACGCTGAGTGGATTTGGCCTGTTCCAGCCAATCATTGATGTTGGTAGTCGTTTGTTCTAGACAGCACAACTACTGCAGCTGTGTGCGTGTGCGGGTTCAAATGCAAGATTGACTCTGATGCCAGGAATAAATAACTACAGGAAGTTTTCATCTGTCCGCCGCCTCAAACGGTCCTGTTGTAACCATGCCGTACCATGTAGCTGGGATTCCCAAGCAATCACAAACTCGCATTCAATACCAGGAAAGCACGTTGTAGCGGTGTGGGGCGGTACTACCTCAAGGGCCTTGTGATATTCACATTTTCTTATTGCCAGCACCTTTACTAAAGGTAATCATGCCGGTTTGCCGCCTGAGACTGAGTCAAGTGTTTTCAATTTCTGTTGCTCTTCCCTGAGCGAACAAATAAATAGCACTGTAAGGGCCGGCACATTCGAGAAACATATTCTTTCAACCTACACTCACCCGTTCTGTCACCACTGCACCTCTCAAAGATGCTTTCCAACCACTTGTTTTGGTCGTGGTGCTTCCTCCTTTCTCTTGTCATTTCGACTGCAGCTACTCGACACCACTCGAGAGCCAGCGGGCTCTCACCCAGAGCGTTCCCGGTTGAGACTCCTCACGTCAAGGCACAGGGTGCAAACTATTACGCCATTACAGGAGTCAACACTGGTCGAGATGCTCAGACAGGTGCAAGGCCTTTTCGTCAAAACATCATTGACTTGCAGAATGACGGCCCGTCATGGTATGTCACTATCCTCACCTTTACCCTCAATGTTGATCGCGGCTAACACAAACATTCGCCTTTTAGGTCGCTCTATATCCAAGCATTAACAGCAATGCAAAATGCCGATGATAATGACCCGCTGTCTTATTTCCAGGTCGCCGGTGAGTCTAGTCAATATGTGAATGAACTCAATCTAATGTTAATAGGAATCCATGGCCGACCATATAGACCGTGGAACAATATCAACCAGGTTCAAGGCGCGGGACCCGGGACCAGGGCTTTCGGTGGTTATTGTACTCACAGTAAGCTTCAGCACAAGGCACTGCTGAATGAAATGCTGATATAAGGCAGATTCTGTCCTCTTCCCAATCTGGCACAGACCATATCTTGCGCTCGTTGAGGTATGTAGTGCTTCCAAAGCTGACTAGAAAAACTGACAGGAATACAGCAAGTTATTGCGGGCCACGCGCAGGATATTGCCAAGCAGTACACCGGGCCGTCAAGCTCAGATTACCAGACGGCAGCGGACAATCTTCGGTTGCCTTATTGGGATTGGGCATCCATTTCCGACATGCCAGATGTTGTCAACCAGCCGACTGTGACAATCACCACGCCAAATGGTGACCAAGATGTTGATAATCCGCTGTTCACATACAAATTCCACCAATTTCCTATGAATACTACTCTGTTTCCAGGTGGTGGTTTGGCAAACTCTCCACAAACTTGGAGAGATGATTCCGCCGACCAGGGTTTGCAAAATTCCAACCTCATGGACAGGACTGTGAGCCATTTCGCTATTGACAGTGTGACGAGGAGGAGGCTAATGGGATTATAGTGGTTTGCGTTGACCAAATCAACAAACTACAGCTCTTTTGCAACTTTAGCAACTAGTGGAACATCCATTGAAACTGTTCATAACAGTGTCCACTCTGCGCTTGGTGGTCAAAAAGGTTTCATGACATTTTTGGATTGGTCGGCCTTTGATCCAATTTTGTACGTTTCTCCTTCCTCTGCTAACTCTGGGCTGACTACTTACATGTGAAGCTGGCTTCACCATACCAATGTTGATCGACTAACTGCACTATGGCAAGCTGCCAACCCGAACAAATTCGTGACACCCCTACCAGACCCAGGAACATTCACTATAATCCCCAACAGCATTGATACTGTCACCACGTCGCTCACACCATTCACATCCAACAATATAGGAACAGCACACACTTCCGCATCAACACGTTACCTAAGCTACTTTGACTACAGCTACCCCGAAATCGAAGACTGGAACCAAACCCCCGCACAACTTAAGGCGAACGTCACATCACAGATCTACGCTCTGTACAACTCCAACCAAGTCTTCGGCCAACATAATGATCGCCAGAGAGCACGCAATGCTCTGACCCCTGGTTCGACGACGAAGGAATGGACGATCGATATTTCAGTCAACAGGTTCGATCTCAACGGCCAGGGTTTTTGGGTGCGGTTCTTCGTCGGCGATATCCCTCAGAACCCCCAAGATTGGCTCACGAATGCCGCTTGTGTGGGCTCTATTCAGGTCATGCCAACGCCACAATTGGGTGACGGTCCATTCCCAGAGCTGCTTGAGTATGATGAGGTGAATTTGGATCGTGAGATTACGAAGGCGGGGTATGATCCGCAGGACATTCATACCGTTGCTAGGTTTTTTGAGAAGAATTTGCAGTGGAGGGTGCAGAAGGTTAGTAAATCCCTTCACTGAGAGGCATACATGAATGCTAATATCATATAGTTGGACGGCTCTGTGGTTCCAACTGAGCAGATTCCAAGCCTGAATATTGCAGTCCAGGACGAGACTGTCACTTTTCCTAGCGACAATACTGAAATGCCGACCTACGGGGAGAAGACTGTGCATCCGGATGCTACGAAGGGAAAGTGTGGTGGCCGTGGATGATGAGATATGAGACCAAGCTTGTTGTTATGATAATGAGAGATGATTTGGGTGGTAATGGTCTATATTTGCGTTTTGAGAGGGAGCGAATTCCAGATAGTTGATGCAATGTTGCTTTTCTGCAGGTATAACGTCAGCAGAGTAGATTAATGAAAATGTCTAATAACATTGGGCTTTGCCAGCCATAAAATTCTTGTTTACAGGATGCAATATCTTTTTGGTGTCGAAACCATTCAAGTCTAAGAATGCCGAATATGCACGGAACAAACCATGACTTAGACAGAAATATTTTTATATTTAATGCTAGCACTGTTGTCAAGGCACTGTAGGCTATAGATATCGAATGTCAGAGTGTGTTCAGCTTTATATCTTAAGCGGCTAAGATTCTATTTGTAATGCCAGAATCTAAGACTGAGATATCCTAAGAGTGAGAGATTATGAGAATGGGAGATCCTGTGAACCTTTCCGCCCTTTTTCGATATGCAACAAAACTCTGCCATATGCCTAAATAGGTATAGTGTGTAGTCGGGAGTTAAAAGTCGGGTACCTTTCATAGCTTCAGCCGCTATCCCACACCCCAACCCAACTCCAACCCAACTCTTTTCCACATGCATTATTCTACTCCGTACGTTCTGGAATGCAAACCGACATAATCTGCCTTCATGCTCAGTAATGCTATTAACAGCCTCTGCGAGAACCACAGTGCTTTTATGGCAGCGTAGTATATTTAGTGAGTGCTGAATATGAGAATTAGGGATGAGTTGGGTTTTGAGTACGACATTTGCCTCTAATAAACCAGATGCCATCATCTATCCGGAGCAGAAAAATCTGGTGGTCAAGATAGGGTCGCCAGCCCAAGCCGGACTCAATGGAATTCTTGCTGTCCTGACGGGCTTCCCTGTTGTCACTGTGCCTGCCGGTTTTTCTCCTCCAACAAGCGATGCCCCAATCAGAGTTCCCATAGGCATGGAGATTATGGGTTTGCCTTGGAGTGAGAGTAAACTCCTCAATACTACTGCCCATATTTCAAACCTCACGCATGTAAAGCGAATGCCAACATTTGGCAATAACTCAGTGGAGGTGTCTGTCTACCTACAGCTCCGTTCTAAATCTCACACTAAATACAACTATATGAAGCGCATATCCTGTTGGCGTGCTGCAGTATTCCAGATAAGGGCGTTTTCAGAATCAAAACGGGGGGTTCCGATGGCGAATATTCCTAAAGGAATCGAGTATTTAGGAATCTAGGCTTCACGTACAGGATCCAGCGGAAAGAAGTGCTCAATGACTACTTCAGCGTCTATAAATAGATTTACCGCGCCTACCGCCAAACCAGGTAGTGTTTCAGACTTCCCAAGCTCATCCTTGAGATAGCTACCTAAATTTACTATTACTCTAATACGCCAAGGCTTTTCCCAGCTGCGGTAGGATATCAACTTTAATAAGGTACGGAGTATGAACTTATTAACACCAAACCTTGCTGTTTCTAGTTTCCAATTTGCTGGTTTTACTTTCTGCGACATTTAAATTGCAAAGCTATTAATTTTGCACCACTGAAGCTATTTAGGCTTAGCCATACCCCTCTTCCATGGTCCTCGATCCTAAAATTGTGGAGTCCCCAACATTATCACTAACTTCATGGGCTATTTGAAGGGTCCCACTATCTGTTCATATCATGGCGCGAGACATTCTCTCACTCTCACTCTCAATATTTTTTCTTTTTCCTCAAATTTCCTTTAGGACTTTCTATATATGCATGCTTTGATCCTTTCATCCTTGTACGATCCCCTTCGTGAGTCTATAGCTATTGTTCTTTGATTGAGATTTCTTGAGAGCCCGCGACTCAACCTCCTGTTCTCCAAAATGCTTCCATCAACCCTCCTGAGCCTCACAGCTGCCGTCCTAGCTCCCCTGTCGTCCGCATTCACAACATCAAACTCTTCAGTCTCTCCGTCATCAAGCAGCCTACAATCCGTCTCTTCAACAACCTCAATACACGCCAGTCATGAATCCTCAATATCCCTCCTCGTCCCTGCAACCTACCCCAACATCTCCAGCTCGAATTCCATCCCCGGAGCCTCCAATTCCTCTAGTAGCGCCCTAGGAAGCAACCTTACCAGTACCGTCATATCAGGACCCTCAGACTTCGGCACAAACTCCAGCACTGCTTCTACTACCCTGACCACCAGTGCAAGCCAGAGCCCTACTCCAACAACGACGAGACCCTCGCCTTCGACGACGAAAACAATTTCTCCTACCGTCTCAGGGAGCGATGCGGATGTGCTGCAGGCTTCGGGGTATTCGTTATTGGCCGTTGCTGTTGTGTTTGGGTTTCTGTTGTAAGAGTCGAGGCATGGAGTTGGGGGTTTGGTAGCATAGCATTAGCATTAGCATGATACCCAATGGCAATTTTGTTTTCTCCTGGATAAAGAACGGTCTCCAGGAAAGTGGTACAGGTCTTGTTTTTCTTGTTTACTTTGACAAATTCCTCGTGCCAACTTTCACGATGCCAGAAAGTACTTGTTTCCTTCTTGCGCTAGGGTTTGTGAGATGAGGACTGGGAAGTGGACTTGGGAGAAATTTTTCAGTGGGAAGTACTTTCCCTCTCTGGTGGCACGAGATTTGTATGAAGACAGGCTATCAGAGCTTGAGTACCGGATCTGGTTATAATATAAAAAAGGCAAGAGGACAAGTGTAAATTTAATGTAATGCTGCTGAGAGGAAAAGGCGTATCGACAGTTTCGCTTGCCTGAATTATATTGTCGAGATATTCTTCACCGCTAAGCAACTCTAGCCATCTTACAATAACAATATTGCCTTCCGCTACAACTTCCATTATCCGTAGCAGTACATAAATAATACAGAGAACCTTATGTTCACCAATTGCCTGTAACAGGGAGCTCTCTTGCTTCCAATTCCTTCTCAATAAGCTTCCATCTTCCAATCGATTTCTCTTTGTGAATAGGAGTGACTCTCTTTGCAAAGACACTGACATTCGGCAGAGTGATTAAATCTTCTTTTTGTTCCAAGGCGTCGATGAGTTTGCGAGGCTTTGGGGGTGTAACGAGGTGTGACAGGATCGATTGAGCGGTTCTAGTTGACCTGATCGCGGAATCCGGGACTCGAACTCCAGTCAATTGCAGCGTTCGCTTGAGGATCTAGACGGTGTTAGCTATGCTTGATGGGAAAAGGTGGCTTGGACATACGGCGAATTTGATCTCTGGATCTTCAACGGAGACTTGGAGCCATGATGGATCCCATGAAGCAATCAATTCTTCATACGGCATGTAAGCTTCCGAATCCTTTAGAGGATCTACTTCAGATCGGTCCGCAGCAACATCTTCTTCCGATTCTGTGGGCCATTCTTTCACGGCAGTCTCGTCGATAGTGGTAGAGCTTTCGTCAGGGTGTAGAGGATCTAACTCGGATCTATCCGCCGCGACGTCTTCTTCAGCCTCAGTCGGTGCACCCTTCTCGGCCGTCTCATCCACAGGAGACAATGAGACATCATGAATCAGAGCCTGGAGAACCTCCGCGAGGGATGAGTCTTTGTTAAATCGCAACTGAGTGCCATCTACGCCAGGGACAATATCTACATCGTGTGTAGGATCCACCCCGAGAACAGCCTTCGGAAGATCTAGCAGCGACAAGCCAGCCTGCTTCAGCGCAAATATTTCGACCATAGCTCGATGCAACGCCGCAGTCATCTCATCGGTATCTGTGACCATTTCAGCAGGCAAGAAGCCTCCGAACTCATATTCTGGTTCCCAGATATCTCCAACACTTTCCAGTCCATCCCAAGTAGACGAGGGCACATAGTCTGCGGGAAGTTGAGGCGCCGCGGTCATCTTGCGAGGTGCCACAGTCGGCTGGGGAGTCGGCTGGGGTTTTTTCTTTTCAAACTTGCTCTGGCCACCATATGGATCCTCTAATCCTGGTGGGTTATCTGTACCCCATACCTTCCGTCGAAGCTGCTCCGTCATGTCCAAGGAAGATCGCAGGGAGGATGTCGAGAATGCGGGAGCTTGATGTCTGCATATCGCGCATAGGTATGGCGTTGGCGTGGTATATGGTCTTAAAAGGCCAATTGACCTGCTGGTTATCGGTATTCGACGCATTTTGGTTGTTTTGGTAGGAAAATAGGGATGGAGATCTGGAAGATAACTTTTTGGAGGTCTTAGCGGCTAAACTCCGAATTCATGACTAGCGCGTTTGGTAGGAAGTGAGCCTCAGATCGTATCAACATCATCATATCAACCCCTTCAAGGCCAATCATATACTGTATTGATCATACGACAACAAGTTTTGTACATGTACAAGTAGCCCTGGGCCAAGGTTTTGCGATCAGATGCTTCAATGTTGATGCTCTGAGAAGGAGTAATTCGTCTCAATCGCAAACAAGCAGGAGACTGCTCGACACCAGCTAATAAAGCTCTCCCAAGACAATGAACCGGCTCAACGTACTTCTCGTGCTCTGCGCACTCATCATATCAGTACTTGCAGCTTGTGAGTATAGATCCGCAGCCTCCTCAAATTATACGGCCTCACCTAACAACCTCCAGCACCTCCTTCCTTCTGCAAATGTACCTGTTTCAGTAACAGCACCATCATCCCTCTCTCCACGCATGATACAACATCCACCCCCCCATCCAACAAGGCTCAGACTGGGGGATCCGCTACTACATGCGCAGGTTGCAATAAAGCGTTTTGCCTGGATCAGCGACTCCCAATCTGCAAAGATGCTACGGATAAAGATGTATTCACTACGTGTTTCCAGAGAGATAGTAGGAAGGACCAGATTGTTGTATTGACATTTATTGCTACAACTGTTGGATTACTTGGCTGGGCTGCGGTGAGGAAAATACTCGAGAAGAGAAAGGAAGGCGCCAACCGTATAGGAGATACCCAACAAGGTTATATTCCTGTAGGCGGGCAATGAGAGAGTTATTGGAACAGTCTACTCTAGGCATCCACCCTTCGCGTGCACGTGGGAAACATGATACTGACGAAACTTCTTGTATGCCCTTGGTCGCTTACAAGTACCCCTATCGTACATGCCGATGAACCCAATCATCACTTTCAGTGGTTTTCAGAAACACTTACTTGAAGTGTTGACGAACTTCGTCATGAAAACGAAGTTAGAGATCCCGCGCTTCTGTGCAGCGGCCTCGTGAAACAGCCCTTTCACTATGACGAACGGAGTACTGTTCATACGAAAAGAACGGAGCTCAAATCATGGTTTCTCAGGATGAAACCTCGCGGTAATTTGTTTGCTGCAATAGCGTCTTCCTCCTAAAAGGTCCAGACTGGCGAGTGCACCTGTACCCTCAGTCGGTCAAATTTCAACTTTTTTCTCATCTCCTCTTCGAATCTCGATTCAGAATAGCAAGTGCGAAGCTCAAGCCATGAAATGCCTAGTTATCTTCTATTCCGGACGCAATGACGTGTGGGATTAGGTCTTGAAGGGTAGTTCTTATGCGCGACTTTAATTGCGTTTCTCCGTACTGTTTCTGCCCATTCAGGGATAGTCTGGACTATTTCATGTCAGCTCTGAGCTAGAGTCTAAAGTATCAGCTGAAAAATAGAATGGCGGGCCCCGATTTATGATGTGAGCCTCTGGGTTGCGCTCAGTAGGGCTTGATTGACTTCAGCGAATAGTGGTCGAAATGGGGTTTGTAGAAATCACAGTTCACAGAGCTGTCGCGCAGATTTTGTTGGCGGTTGCGAACGAGCTGAATGAACCCCTCAGGGACTCAAGTGATAATTCGTTGACTGGGACGACCTGACTGGTAAGTAACCGCTGAAGTCGGTGGCCGCTGAGGTGCTCAGCCGAGGATTCAGCGAGGCTTATTGATCGCTGAACCGTGGTCAATGAACGGGGTGTAATCAGTGTAGATTTCTGGACAGGAGTCGCTTCTATTCTGCCTTAGAAGAAGAAATGTTGATGAGTTAGGACGGCTCCATTACCGAACCCATTTAGTCGTACAGTACCATTCATTCTTTATTTTCGTTCTGCATGGCGAAGGTGAAAGCGCAGATGGGGCGGTTTAACTGCTTTCATTGCAGGGCGCTATGCAGTCGTACATCCTGCAATTTGGTTTTGCATGCTCAATGGAAAGCGTCGAACTGTGCTGCTCGTCCCTTGCGAAAACCATCGAATTACTCCTTCTCATTAAGATTCCCAGGACTGCCTTTCCCCAGAAACTCGATACATCAAGTCCTTCAGGGTGTCAGTTTCTAGTTTGAATTTGCAAAATTGACATAGCAATCTCAAACCGGGTTGCGTTTTCGAAGTTCATGTGTAATAGCTGGTGTGGTGTTGATTCAGATCCGCGCCATCGTGATGGGATGGATGTATGGATGTCTGATACATGCCTTTGTTGGGTGAAACTCAGTCACAATTGACTGGGAGAATCATTCTTCTGACGTTTGCGGCTTTGGATTCCTTTTCAGTCATCGAAATGTTTGATTCATATTGCGAAGTTCCAAGACCAGGCGAAGCCGAATTCAAGTCAAAGTTCGGACTTGACCCAAGTTCAAGTTACACACGTTGAGGAGGCAACCCTCCTATTCAAATTCATTGATTCCCGGTTGATTGGAACCAACCGGGCCTCGACGGCTATGACTCGGCGGCTATGATAAACTCGCCGTGTTTGGTCCAGAGTGCAGACCTAGATTGTTTTGAGTACAACTCATCTAACGTGGCCAATTACGCAAGCTGTTGTTGGTATGTAGTCAAAAATAGCACTCAGCGAAGCCTCCAACACGTGCAATAGAGTAGTTCTTATTCTCCCATTTTATGTTTTCTATTTGCTTAATTAGGAGGTTGTTTTGCGACGCTCAAAGGATTGGGGAGGTACAATATTAAGTTGTGTACACTGATTTGGTTGATGTACTGCCATCTAAAAGAACCAAGAATGGCTGTGCAATTTTACTTTCTAAAAAATTTGGAGTTGGGATTCATGATCGTTTCAAGCCGCAATATCTATTTTTGAGCACAGAAGATGGGCCGCCAGTGGGAGTCCTTTTAAGCTTCTGTCCATCCAAGCCCTGTATTGATAATCGTGGCCAACTTTTCGAGAAATAATTGCCCAGTCCCAGTCTGCCTTGAGTACTCAGTGGTTCCTCGTTCTTGCGATTCCTAGTTTTCGCATATAATTATCGCAAGGCGCAAAGTGTTGCAATTATTGGAGATGATTGGCAGGCACTCCTTCGCTCGTGGTAGGATGCTTATCTAGTTAGCGGCAACTCTGTGACAAGGATTGTTGAAACAATCCTTACGCTATCACACCGACGAGCTCGAGCCACTGTTGATAACGAGACTACGAGTATCTATTTCTGGGGGCTAAACCCCTCCCCACCCCACTTCCTAAGTTAAATCCTTCCCAGTGGCAAGGGTAACAGAATAACGTTTTCCCAAGAGAGTCCCAAGGGGAAAAGGATAGTGCTGTAGAATCCTCTTCCGTCGCAACAATGCATTGTTAGGTGGGCCAGTGCTGCGGGACCGGGCCGTGGTACGTGGTACGTGGTATAATAGTGCTCATCTTGAAATAAACATTTTCCAAGCGGCATCGGCATTTTTAGAGGTGAAAAGTAGATTAGGAATTGAAATTTGATGTTAAAGAAGGCATCATTGGCTTGGCTAGCAGAGCTTTCGAAGCGAACCTCCAAATAGAGTAAGCATTTGCGACAGATATCTACCATGTTGTTATTTAAAAATACTATGTCTGCAGTGAACAAGTACTCAAATAGACGGGCCTTGATGGAGACGGCTCCCTGAAAATCCTCTCGCTGGTCGTTTATCATAGATCGCATACAGTACAAATTGTGTTGGGAGTTATCACCTACTTGCGTTGCGCATAGAGGCTAGACAGCGTTGAGTGCTGTGAAGCGCGTTGTGATGAGGAACAAAGCTCCTACGTGCAAGAGCATTCGGCACATATTACACAGAGCCGAAGGTACTTGTTCACCGAGATACAACAACCACGTGGGGATCCTATAGTAGAGGGTTTACAGGGAGTGAACGAATGAATTCCTCCTGTAGGAGTCTAAGACTATATAGGACAGCGCTAGCATATGCTAGGGTGGTCTACGGAGAACGCGGTCTTTACGGAGTAGTCAGGCATATCTGGCGCTAGCATGGGACCCCCCTAAAATGTCTTTCACTGCCCTGTAGCAACCAGAGCCCTATAAGCGCATGCTTCTAAACTCTAGGAGGAGGTCTTTTCAACGTGGGGCATTTAGAAGCTGCTTTGGCCAAGGAACTCACCTGACCTAAATGCAATGAACCTTATTGGTTCTGCGAACGAATTTATCTGTTTTAGGGGGGTCTAAGACACTACAGGCATAATTATGGGCCTTACAGGGCGCTCCCCTGAATATGCCATACTTTTGACCGCGGTCTGCGTAGTGGTATGGACAAGAGATATAGAGGTCTAAGTGCGGTTGGAATATGTGGATCTACAGGGCTTCCACGTTGCATTTCAGTCTTTTCTTAATGCTTAACAACCCCTGTATAAGTGCGGAGTACCTCTGTGGGGGTACAACTTTGGGTTGCGTGTGCGCCGGTCGAATGTCCCGGCCTGCAGACTATAAGTGGCCAAGAGTTTTCCAAGGTGCTAAAGTACAGGGGCGTAACATATCAATCAACATTCAGGAGCGTTTTGTAGAACAGTCAGAACATCAACGTGATGATACCTGCATGGTGCTCGGTACTAGGATCCGAGGGAGCTCGTGCTCGCACTATGAGAACTGCCATTACGGCGTAATATCGCAAGATCTACCGATAGGGACTTGTAGGGTTGATTCCCAAGCTTGCTACAATATATCCAATTATAGATTAGGGATTAGGTCACGTAAATTAATCTGATAGTCAACTTTAAAATGTCCAGGCCAGAGCCACACCGAAACGAGAGGAACCGCAGCAATATCTGAAACCAAAAATCCGCGAGCAAACCCCCGGTCCCTACAGGAGGATGTGAAGAGGATATCAAGTCTTATTTTGGTTGTTACTTATGTCGTGGACGACCTCAGTCGAATCAGTACTCTAAAAGAAACCGGAGAACATCACAAAGTTCAATATCTGCGAGCCTACATTAGTGTCTAACGAGAAAGATTTCCCTATTCACAATGGCCCCAACTCTTCGAGCCTCATGCGATTCGTGCAAGCAAGCTAAAGTCAAATGCACCAAGACAAAGCCCCAATGTGCAAGATGTAAGTAGTGCTTTTTGGCTTGGTCAGCTAGTTGCAGATGATCCCGAAGACGCTTCTTGAAAGCTGGGATATCTCATTGCTATTAGCCGGCACAACGAAGCCATTTGCTGACTGCGTCACTTAGGCACGAAACAACAAACTTGCTGCGTCTATGGCATTTCTTTACGAACTGGCAAAAGAATATATCAATATCAGCAACAGCAGCAACATCAACACCAGGCGCAACAACATCTTCGTCAACCAGAACCAGATGTTATCGACGCTCGTCAGTTTCCAGATAACTGGTCTTGGGATTATCCAACTCCCTCTGCCCCTTATGTAACAACTGAGGTGGAAACACCTTCGTTGTTCAAATCCGATGTGCCCTGCCAGCTTGAGGAGTATGTCTTTACTCAAGACCAATACCATCCATTTCCGATACCAGACTTGGCATACGCGGATTCAAAACTCATGGACTTCTCCCAGATGCCGAACCACTCGCCCGCGCTTTCGTCATCCACTCTTTCTTACTCGGCAGAAGAATCGAGTGCTACAGCCAGTTCATGTCATTCAAACCGCTCACATTCAATGTCCTCGCAACCATTACAACCTTGCAACTGTTTTCAGACCGCGATCCTGATGCTCAGCAAGATGCAACAGCTCTCAGAGTCGACGCATCTAGCCGTCGAGGTTGCACTGAACCATAACATAGAGGCTATAGCTCTTTGTATGTCAACTCTCCAGTGCGTGTGTGCCCGAGAAAGCAGTATTGTTCTGTTAGTAGGGTCTCTGATTGCAAAGATCATCAGCCTCTATGACATGCACTGTGTCGCTGTAAGAACCATCCCGCAACTCGAAAGCAATGCAATCACTAACGGAATCTTAGTTCAACACCGCAGACCACAACACTCTATACCAAGAAACGATGTGTAATTTTGAAACCCACCTCAGACTTGACTCATACGGTGTCGTCGCATCCCTCGAAGAGAGGTTGAAGACGGAAGCGGAAAATCTGCTCTCTCACTTGAGAGGCATAGACGCTCAAACATTCCCGAATCATGAGATGATGGTCTGCAAATTGATGGCGGTTTCTCTCTTCGAGAGGTTCAAACAGCAACATGGGGACGAAGCCAACGCGGGCAGATTACCGTGAAGACATCTTGGTCTGCTTGTCGAATGACCGACAATGAATAAGAAAAGAATATAGGGACGGATGGAACATCTTGTTTTCCGTATGTAAAGTTGCGACGATGATGCTGCGACCGGGTTCGCGGTGGACGAAAAAAGGGGCATCAGTATGGCAGCGTTCTGATGTATCGCTCGGCTGAGAACGTGCTGCTGTTTCTGTCCAGGACGGTCCGAGTACAGGAGAGTGCCAGGTTTTCGGAGTACACCTGCTATCTTGTTGGGCACGGGTTGCTTCCTCTTCATAGGGATCTAGGCTGGTCTAGTGGCCCTTCCTCTCACCAGAAACATGTGGGTCCCAGTCCCAGCTAGTATTAAAGGCAAAGTGGCCATTGTATATCCAGATATGTTAGAAAAAAATATAGATCAGAAGGCAAAAGGGCTTCGGGGTTAGGGAGGAGGAGAGAATGTTGGCTCATCTACTCAAGGGGGAATGAGATTTGGCGTACGGAGTTACAAGATCCTAGAAATCCAGAATGTATTCTCAGTCATTCGGCTGCATTGAAAATCGAGTTGAGGAGCCAGTAGTTCTTGTATATAGTCACTAAACAAACGAGAATGCTGAAGCCAAGTATTTGAAAACAATTGCACCCTGCTATAACATTTTGCTTCAAATTGTCCCAACTTTACCTTTGTACCGCTCTCGTTCACTTAAAGTAAAAAGGCGTCCCTATCAGCCCCAGTATCATCATATCGCCTGCAATATTTATACACTTCCGCCTTCAAATGCCCATTTCATGTCACCATGTCTCCAAAAGACATGCTAAGAAAATTAGGATGATTCATTTCAACAATCGCAGTACCGTATAACAAAAATAAATTAAAGATAAATAGCAACCGCTCCATCCATATCTGCCCAGTCCAACCTTCTTTCTGCTCAAAGACAATTCCCAGCACCATATAATGCGTAACAAAATTCAGGAATAAATGAATAGCATATTAGCAGCTGACTTCAGAACATGCTTTTACCAGGCCACATACTACGCCGGTTTTTCTTTGTAAGGATTATGCTTCTGTAATTATACCTCGGCCGTCAAAGCCTTAATGATCAGGTACTATAGCTTGAAGACGATACGGCGAAGCCGTATATCGCCAGAATTTCTGTCTGTCTGAACTCAAACGATGGCAATGAAAGCTCCCTCCCCATGCACCACCTGCAGAGACCATGGATGAGTGCTTTAGCAAATGCGAAAGAAAACGACCCCCCGCCCCCCCCCCCCCCCCAATTCACACTAGTCCAAGCAAGTCATGCACCCTTTTAGAAATATAAATCTCGGTTCATACTCTCAATTATCATCTATTATCTTACCCCACCCTAGTTCCAACCAGACCACTCACCACAGAGAGAAGAGATTGAACTCCCCCCTATCCATCCGTATACGCCAGTTGACACCCACCTCCTTATAAACAGCCCTGCAGCATAGAATTCCGAAAGACCCACGAGAAAAACGACAACGCCAAAAGCCGATGTGGCATGCTAGAGTGTACTCCTCAAAAATTGAAATCATATCATGCAATCGTGTTCTTCATACATTCTTATTGTGTGACTACACTCGAGACCACTTCATCACTTCGCCACCCCGAACCGAGCTGCTTGCCATCGTCGTCGTCGTGGGTACCCGAGGGAGTTTCAGGCGTGATCATAACCTCCGGAGTCGGTGTCTGAACTGGAGTTGCGGTTTGTGAGTGTAGTAGCGTTGTTTGCCTCGCCTCTTGAGTTCCTTCTTTCGCAGGGTTATCGACTTTCAAAGTAGCGATACTCGATTCAAGCCCTGTACTTGCGTTCTCCCTGGCGTTGTCACTAGAGCTTGGGCCACTTTCGATATGTTCAATGTGGGTCGAAGAGTTTTTAGTGTCCTCACTACTGATCATAGCAGCTAGACTGGTAAAATTGAATATAGGCTCTATGCCAGCTCCTCCCGATTCGTCGCCAGTATCCGGGGTGCCAGCTGAGTAGCCGGCAACATTGGTGCCAGAAGCATTAGGAGACTCTAAAGTCGATGATGATCCATCACGGTGTTGGCCGTTGTGTAGACTATTAGGGACAGAATCCATAAATGAAGACGCAGGACTTGAAGCATTACTCATCTGGCGAAGGTGGGATGGCCTATCGGGAGCTGTAGTAGGAGAAGGCACAGGCTGGTAGGATTCGTTGGACGGGAGATTCGATGTATCGACGAGTCGAACGCCAGGAAAGCTATGGCTAGTACTGCTCTCACCCTGCGAAACACCCATGGACGCAGTTGTTGCAGTGCTGCTGACACCTCGATCAACACCTTTGCCTTTCGGATCTGATGGCTCCACATTCTCAGGGGTTACCTCTCTTGCCAAATTGCTTGCACCACTGTTGCCCCTCCTCCTGCCAAGGCCAAGTGTAGACAAGCTCAGCGTACTGCCGCTAGCAGAGCTTGGTCCACTCCCATATATTTTCTTCTCTTTCTTCTCTTTCTTCTTCTCTTCCTTGGCCTTCTTCTTCGCCTCTTTTGCAGCCTCCTTATCATTTTTGCGTTTCCTTTCGTCTTCTGCAGCTAGACTTAATCTAATAGCTTCCATCATCATCATGTCTTCCAGATCTTCCATCCTATTTCGGCGTCTGGAACTTCCACCTGCTCGTGACTGGGAAGCTTCATCGGATGCTTCTTGTCCAACTTGATCCTGAACTGCTGTAGAGGGCGTTGCTGATCCACTTGCTGCGGGGCTATCACCCCCGCGATGTCTACCAAAAGTCCTTCGAGATGTGAACCCAAATCCCCGACTCTCTGTGTTGCCATTTCCTATCAAATAAGCTGCAGTGTGTAGAGCTGTAGCAGCCGCTGAACGCCGTTGCTGATGTGAGCGAGCACTTGAAAGCTTCGTAGCCCAGTCCGGTCGTATCTTATCAATGGTTACTACGGTTGGGGCATCCGCAGACACTGATGTCGTCCGTCGCTTGTGGGTGTTGAAAGCCTGAGCTGGGGCTCCAGTTGACGCGAGAGAAGAAGAGGAGGACATGGCGGAGGAGAGGTTATTTACACCAATGGAGTTGGCGTATGCAACACCACGCCGGAAGGGGGGAGGGGTATATGTAACACCAAAGTTCGGTGCCTGACAATATGGACAACGTGCTGGCTCTGAGACTAGAGTTTCCGGTTCAGGGACCGACTCGGAAGGTGCAGGTATGGGTGCTGGTTGCGATGGGTCAGCATGCTCTGGCGGATGGGGATCCAGTCTTTTAATCTGTACAAAACATTCAGAGCAAATTGACTGATCGCAGCATCGAGTTCTGTTGAGCCATGGCGGATAGTCCAGAAAGCAGATGGAGCATTCTATAGCATCCTTATACAAAAATACCTCAATAGGCTGCCCATTGACAAAGGCATCTTTCGGAAGCTGGATTTCGCGGGGCGTGATTTCCGCAGGTGATGGGTTCTTTGAAGAGGTAGTGAGGGAGGCCAAGGTCTTGGACCGCGGGCGGAAAGGGGATGACGATTGTGGAGGCGAAGAGGCAACTGGTGAACCTGGAGAAGAGGGGGCGAATGCAGGATGCGAAGGAGAGAGTGCGGAGGTATCAGATCCGGCAGACTGCGACCTTGATGTTATAGGAACCGTAAGATTCTGTATATTCGGGTTTGAGGCATTCGGAGATTCGGGAGAAAGGGCATTTCTGAGTTCGGGGGGTATCTCATCTGCTGGAGGAAGTGGAAGACCTCTTGCGACGGCGACTATTTGATGTTCCGCCCATTCTTTGCTGAAATCCTCGACTCCTCTGAAGAAGGGTGCAATTCGTCGTTCGATCTAGATCATGTTAGCAAGGGTTCTGTGATATGATTTAGTAACCATCCATACCATTAATTGCCTGACGATGCTTTTATTGAAATCCTCAGGGCCTGAGTAGACACCCAGGGTCACTAGGTATCCACCATCAACATTCTCTTCTTGGAGACTCCTCTCCCTCTCTTTTATCCTAGCTACTCTCTCCTTCTCTAACCTCCGTGCTTCTCTCTCTTGTTTCGTCTCCCGACGTTCCGGAGCCTCATTACTGAGGTTACTGATCCCTAGAAAGGATAAGTCAGGGCGGCTACCCCTCCCAGACCGTGAAGAATAGGGATGTGAGTGATGCCTACCAGTTGGAGAGGTTGGCCCACTGGTCCCGCCGGCAGAGTCAGGACGTCTATTAGAGGATGCCGAGTCGGGCCCCCGCGATTCCTTTGTGCTATTGTTGCCCATCTTTGCAAGTTGACGATCCGCATCCGCATCTGCAGATCAACAGGTCATGGAGAATGGGGTAATGCAAATAGACGCCGAGTTGGCAACAGACACAGCCGGAATGCTGTTATTGGGATTGGTACTGACAGGCAAAAATGCCAGACCAGACGTCGTGGAGTCGTTGGGTTTATGCAAGTCTGAAGAGGCGTGCGTGGGGACGGAACTATTTGTGGTAAGGCCTGCTTGGTACAGTACAGAAGACACGAGCTGGTCTCAGATAAAGGTTTAAGGCTAGGGGAGAAGGCAAGTCATCCGGTAACGACGTGCTGTACAGTACTTCTCGCGTGGCAGCTGGCCGATTTGATAGATTTTAAGTTGGGGTGTGAATTTGAGGATGTGTGATGATATTCACATGGGGAGGGATCCAAATTCAATGAAGTTATTGTTGTTGTGGCTGTTGTCTTATTATCATCTTACAGTATTGCATTGCAACAAGCAGAGCAGGATGACGCTTGTCGCAAACGGCCGGCATTATCGGCAGTGACAGCTATCCCAACCCCAGTACTATACCTACATAGGATAAGTACCTACGTATTTCAGAATTGTTTATTTCTCCTCTACTTGTATAACTCTTATTGCTACTGTTACTACTGTATTGGTCTGATTTCCAGCTTTCTGATTCTGTACCTAGGTACGCTCCTTTGATCAATACAACAACCTTCTTGTTTTGCAGAATATAACTTCCGAAGTCGCTGAAAGTTTTGATATCTGCACGTGCATCTCAAGCTTTGGGGTCGCTGCCAATCTCGGTTTACTCTGCGTGAAAACCTCGGCCATACAGTACAGCCTGAATCCCTCGTGAATACAGTAGCGGGGCGGGGGGATGGCGAGCTTCGAAATATCGACTACCAGCCAGTACCTAGCAGGTACAGCAGTAATGAGCTGAAGATTCCTCTCGTTCCTTGCTTCGAGTCGCGCTATTCTAGACCTAAAAGACAACACGTCGTTGGTTTTACCTGTATTCACGCGAATCATTACTCGTAGCTAGCCATCCCTGTCTGCTTGGGCCACAACCACAATTGATTATTGAGGCTGTTGAAACGGCCTAACCTAACCTAATGCCAAGGAAGCCTTCGTTGGCAGCTATTTGTATCTGCTATCCCTATTTCGAATGACAGGTTTTGTGTCTTTCTATTATTATTTGCTTCTAGCTTGCATTGATATGATATCCTGTTTATGACAATCAAATTGGTGCTTGGGAAGCAGCTAAGTCTGGATTCTCTCACGTGGCCCGGCTTCTTGATACTACTAGCCCTAGTTATTGGTCTAATCTTCTATTACTCTGAGTTACCTATCTTGTGCTCGATGAAATCCGTTAGTACATACAATTATGTCTAGAATTAAGCCCGTGTTTTTACTGCATTTCATCATCAAAAAGCACCTCCGCCAATCGACTCTTCGCTGCTTCTGGATCCCACTCGACCAGTTTCCGCTCCTTCATCTCCTCTACCTTCCGTTCTATAAATGGCTCCATTGCATTCTTCGCACCCTCGCTTAGAAGATGGACTCTTGTCTTCCAAAGCTCATTTTTCTCAACACCATCTTCCCTCTGACCAAAGAACCTCTCATCCAAATATTTCCAGAAGACGGTATCAAATGCCCAGCTCTTCCGCCCTGCATAAGTCAGCCAGAACCGCCCCGTTTCCCAGCTCTCTCTCATATATGCCGACAACGGGAATTCTGTAGACTTGGATTTAGAGCCCGCACTCCCCTCAGCTTGCTTCATGGCGGATAACCATGTCTCAAGTCGATGCTCATAATTCTGTACCCAATCGTCAATACCAGCATCCCACATTTCTGGGGTGTCAAGTAGTAACCACCACGGAGGATCAAGAACGAATTGTGTGGGTGCAGTATACGTGAATTCCCAGTCAATGATAGAAACAACTTCGTTGGCATCGTTTATTAGTATATTTCCAGGACGAAAATCATCGCCATAGAGCCGAAATGAGTCTGAGTTTGAAGGCACTGGCAAGAGTTTTGAAGTTTTGCTCCTTGCCTGGGCAGACCAGTCATCCTCAGCGAATCCAAACGTAGAGAGTCGACCTTGCCTCGCCAGCTGACGGAAAAGTTGGCGAGCAACGTATTTGTTCCGGCAGTCGTCCGCTGATTTGACCAAGTCGTTATGTTGGAATATCAGCTGTACCAGATGACCCTGCGCTAGGTTCAAGTAGTACTCGTCTGAGCATCGGAAGGCCTTGTACTCTGGCGAGAAGATGGCAGAAGGGATATTAGCGAGCTGAAGCATGTCGCTCATATTTTGAGTAATCGGTCGCCCATCCACAGAAAAGGAACCATCTTTCGCTTCGAGTAAGGACCCAATCCGTGGAAATTTGTGATGTGAGAGTTCGAAGATGATATTCGCCACTTTCAGATAGAGGTCTTCTAGTGTAGTTTGGGAGATGTTTGGATTCAATGTATGAGTTATTGAACGGTCAACGCCGGGTGTGGTCAAGGCATGCGATAAGGTTGACTTATTCTCGACGCGCTCTATGATGATGAATGGCCCAACGTCAGAGAAATCACTATAATATAATACCCGCGGAGTGGGTATTTTAGTATTCTGTTGTATATACTTCGCAGTTGCCGCCTCTCGGAGAGTTTTCTCTTCCGGAAACTGGGCCTGAACATCGGGAGAGACATCCTCAACGCGTATTCGATACAGATTATTGAACCCGCCAATAATCATTGGGGTGATCCAGGTTGCTGGCTTTCCGAATTTCTCCGCCACCAGCAATTCAAGGCGGCGGCACAAGGACTTCTTGCTCAACGCTGTCTGGGCCTCTTCCCATTCCTCATCATTTTTATCCCACGCGAGCTCATCGAAATCTTGCCTAGCGTTCTCCATGATTTTTGGCATCTCGAGTTGATATGCACTCACGCGAGAAGCTAGGTGGGAGATAGGGTGTCATCGTCAGGAGAGTTGCTACCAACAGAGGAATCGTCGCTATTTGATGGCGAAGGCAAGTAAGACCACCGCGCAACAATATACTCTGTGTGAAGACCAACAAATGAATCTGAATTGAGAAAATTTAGGTCTCTATATGTTTGTGATATTCTTGTCTCGAAATGACGGCAGACAGGTTGGCGGCGCTTGAAGCGCTTGAGGTTCTATCCCGATTGGCCACGGCGAAGTCGTTAATGTGTGACACGGATCAGATTCAGTAACCCCGGCCTGCTAAGCGCTGCAAGACACCTTCATAGCCGCAGCCGTACAGTATTTCTATCACATTCTGCGTTAACGTACGTCGAGACTCGACCATACGCGCTCAATGAATCGACCAGGAACTGCGGCTGGGACTCAGGTCTATTCTCATCAAGCATCCCACTGGGCGACTTGAAGATGAAACACCAACACGGCGCAGTAACCAACATCTTTCAGCATCGAAGAAATCAAAGTTGGCCTTCTTCAAGAGACCGAGACGGAACCATAACGCTAATCCTTGTGTCTCTCATGGCTAATATATTGTTGAACGGTACAGTAGGTACATCACAAGGCCAAATCCCCGCCAAGAGGAAATAATGATAAATTATACATATCCCCAGACTTACTAGAATTATGCTCTTCCGAGGATATCCCCACAATTTCATTCTATTCAGGCCCTCCTCGGGGTCTTCGCACGAGACTTACTCGGACGAATTATCTTTAGCCGTCGGTAACGGTCTGATGTTTTCACGCAGCACATGGCAGACGAGATGCGGTTCTACTTTCTTGAAGGGGGGGATAAAGGTAATCTTACCTTAGACACCTATAGCATCTCTTTGGACAGATGTAAGCTAATACCCATCTGACACTCACCTCCTGGATTTGGAGCGGCCCTTGCCATATCATAAAGGTCACGTGGCTAGCTATGTACCTTGTGGCGTATGCGTTTTGTCACTAGCCACACCGCTAGTCTGTTGTGCACATGCAGATGCACATCCCTGTACGTTGCAAATGTCGCAATCGGTGAGATAAGGAAGATGGACAGGACAGGGAACCCTCCCCTCCCTTCACGCTTATCACATTTTGCGATTGTATCAACCCCCTTCAGACTTACGCAAGCACAGAGGGCATGTGGGCATATTGAAACAGTGCGTGCAACGGAATATGCTATGGTATGCCGTCTCAAATTCCGACGGGAAAACAATTAGATGTTGAGGTGAGAGAGGTATGGTGACGTATTTGATAAGCAAAATATAAAAAATAAAAATAAAAGAATCTAGGCGCCAGATCAACCACAACACCTAATACTGTAAATTATAGACTACCCCATCTAAGAATCATCAAAGCCGCATCGACACCAGGACTAGACTAGACTCGGCACCTAGCCTCTCGGCGCTACTATGCCTTATCCCCTTCTGACTTCAAACGTGGTTGCCCCACTGTCTCCATTTGCTTCCGACGGCTATTAGTTTGATCTTTTTTTCTTTCTATCTTCACCAATTCACTTCACGCCCAGCCATGTATTTCTTATAACATCCGTACCATCCCCGAGGTACCTGCCACTCGACAAGCACATTCTTCCTCACTCACAAACCCCAGAGTACGCAATCTCATCTCAGCAAACTCCCCCACCTCCCCTCAAGGCTCCAGGACAAGCGACAACGTTCTCAAACCTCAAGCAAACATGGCACCAATCCAACCCCTCTCAACCACCCTCCCCCCTCTAATCTGCGGCACCGCAACCTTCAACATCCAGTACAACACCAACATATCCTCCATCCCCACCAACGCCATCGTCCGCCGCGCCCTTGACCTCGGCGTCCGCGCCTTCGACACCTCACCGTACTACGGCCCCTCCGAAAGCCTGCTCGGCGCCGCGCTACACGCCTGCTCAGCCAGGTATCCGCGGTCCACCTACCACATCCTCACGAAAGTAGGACGCATCGGCGGCAGCGAGTTCGACTATTCGGCAGAATGGGTACGATACAGCGTGAAGAGATCCTTGCAGAGACTAGGCACACGGTACCTGGACGTCGTGTATTGCCATGATGTGGAATTCGTCACTCCCGCCGAAGTTCTCGCCGCCGTGCAAGAGCTGCGGCGCATCAGAGATGAAGAGGGCACGATCAAGTATGTGGGCATTTCGGGGTACCCAGTCCAGTTATTGTGCGAGCTTGCTGAGCTGGTGTTGAGGGAGACTGGGGAGCCGCTGGATGCCGTGATGAGCTATGCGAATTTCACGCTGCAGAATAGCACGCTGTTGAGTGGGGGCATTGAGAGGTTGAAGCGCGCCGGCGTGAGCGTGGTGCCGAATGCTAGCCCGCTTGGGATGGGGTTGCTTAGGAGTGCAGGCGTTCCGGTTGGGGGGAAAGGCGACTTTCATCCTGCGCCTGGGGAGCTCAGAGCGCGGGTTATGCAGGCGGCGAAGTTTGTGGAGCTGAGAGGAGATAAACTTGAGGTTGTGGCTATTAGATGGGCGTTGGAGAGATGGGCAAGAGATGCGGCTACTGTGGGTGGGGTGGGCGCGATTGGGATTTCTGTTATGGGTGTTAGTAATTTAGAGGAGCTGGAGGAGACGATGAGGGTTTGGAATAGTGTTTTGGATGGGCTGCCTGTTCCCGGGAGGAAGATTGAGCAAGTGGAGGCTGAGTGGAGTCTTGGACGGAGGACAGAGATTGAGGCGTTGGCCGCTGGCATTTGGGATATTTTGGGTGATTTCAAAGATTATTGTTGGGCAAGTCCTGACGAGGGATATGTCAACATCAGGACTGTCAAAGGCGTTGTTGCGGAGATGCCTCCTCTTCTCGAGGTCAAGGAAGACATATCAAAGAGCAGTAGATTATAGGTACCACAGGTGCCACATAGATAGACGGCATTCGGATCGGCGTTCCGGAAATTTCATGATCTCTTTTTTGACTGCTAGACGCAGTATCATATCGACTTTTTAGACTACTCTTCGTCTCGATTTATCTTCATCCCATCATTTGATATCTCCTGGAAACGCCAAAAATATTGCTTTCCAGTGTTTCTTTCGTGCCACCAAAACAGCATACAAGAAATCTATAGCTTTTTTCTTTTGAAAATTTCTACTCAAAGCTTTTCAAGATGCAGAAATAAGTCCCAAACGCCACGCAGAAGACTCAATTTCAAATCATCAAGTTATGTGAGAGTTTATGAATGCCCATTGGTAGTCTTGCGTCGTTCCCGGACAGCCTCAGCCAAGTCCTCTAGGGTCTCGACGGTGGTTTCCCAGTTGATGCATGCATCGGTGATGCTGACACCTTTTTTGAGTCCAGATGGACCCTCAGCAGGTACCTTCTGGTTGCCCTCGTTGATATGTGACTCGATCATGAGGCCGATAATTGATTTCTCGCCCGCACGAATCTGGTCTCCGACAACCTTAGCAACCTTGGGTTGATTGCGGTGGTCCTTGTTTGAGTTTCCTGTTTCTGTTAAACATGTGTGGAGAGGGAAACCGAATTCTGCTCATGACTCACCATGCGAGCAGTCGATCATGATAGCTTGTTTTTGGCCCTTCTTCGTTAGGGTCTCCTTAACAGTCTTAACACTCTCAGCATCGAAGTTGGTACCCTTGGTACCCCCACGAAGGATGACGAAGCCGTGTTCATTGCCACTTGTTTTGGTGATAGCTGCGAGTCCAGTCTTGGTGACACCCATGAAGTGGTGCTTGGCGGCAGCAGATCCAATTGCATCAATTGCAACTGTCAGACTACCATCTGTGCCATTCTTGAAGCCGACTGGGAAAGAGAGGCCGGAGGCAAGTTCTCTGTGTAATTGTGACTCAGTAGTCCGGGCACCGATAGCACCGAGAGAAATGAGATCCGCGAGGAATTGAGGAGAAATGGTATCCAGCATTTCGGAAGCAATTGGCATGCCGAGCGCAGTCAGGTCGCAGAAGAGTTGACGGCTGATTCGCAGACCTTTGTTGATCTTGTAAGATTCATCAATGTCTGGGTCATTGATCAGTCCCTTCCAGCCGACAGTCGTACGAGGCTTTTCGAGGTAGGCACGCATTATAATGCAAATATCATCAGACAGCTTGTCGGCGAGCGCCTTCAGGCGTCCGCAGTATTCGAGCGCAGTGACAGGGTCGTGAAGAGAACATGGCCCGCACATAACCAGGAGGCGGTCAGACTTTCCCATGATGATCTCAATGGCATCGCGGCGACCTTGGAGAACAGTCTTGAGGGAGGCATTGGTCAGAGGTATTTCGGAGATGAGCAATTCGGGCGCGATCAAGGGATCTTGTGCCAAGACTGCAGGTGGTAGAAGTGTCAGTGTTGTTCTTAAAGTACTTTTACGAAGCAATCGCGGGGTCGTACTGCGAGTATCATCGACAAGCTTTTCAAGATCAAGAATAGGCATTTTTGAGTGTGATGCTGGAGTATATGTTTGAGCTTGAGTAGTTTACTTTATTTGTAGTAGACAGAAGGCACGAAAGTACATAAAGAAGAACGAAAGGGCGCAGGCCGTGCAAGGTTGTAATGAAAATGTGTCAATTATTTGAGTGCTCTTTTGGCGGGGGAAAATAAAAGATTCCAAACTCGGACCATTTGGTGGTGTCGCGCTCGCTCGCCGTATGCCTATCCACGTGATCTACGCCTTTCCATCCCTACATTTGGATTCTGTACTTCCGGGTACTATACGGTAGATATGGATATGCCTTGTTCTTTGGATATAAGCTAGGAAGAAGATAGTTAACTTCTACGGAATGTGATATCCCATGCATGCATAGTGGGGGCTCTACAGTAGCTAGCAGAAAAGAATAGGCAAAATCGGTACTCATATTTTCACACCCTTATCATCATCCGCTATGATATGACAATTGCTCCTCGTAGTATCAATCCAAGCTAAAACATCAGATCAAAGATTGAAAGATTTAATAATAAGTTAAGTAAAGTTGGCCAACCGGTATTCACCCATCCCCACGAGTCACGTGCTCGGTCTTTTTTACCCGCCGGCTGGAGCCTCAACCTAATGTGGGGCACCGCCCTGATACACCCCGGATTCCCCAAACATGAAGCAACGGACCGCGGCCACGATGAAGCAAATCTGAAACCCGCCGACGATAAATTCCCTTCAATGTGGTGACCCGACCTCCTTCTCGGAATCGTCTCTCGCTGAAGATATAATATCAGGGTTCTTCGGGTATTAATCAAGCGTATTGCTATTAGACTGAGCGCCCTCCAGCCTCGTCTCCTTCAAGTCAATTTCGCACAGAAGGCAATACACAGCACATTGCAAACCAAAGCATAGACTACAAGCAAAACGGAAACATGTTTGCTCAGAAATGGGCCTCGTGTCGGAAACGCGCCCGAGAGGAGGATGATGAGAGTACCACGCCTGGAGGCTTCAGCGAACACCGGACAGTAAGGCTGCTCTGATCATATCATAAAGCAGACATATTACTAATGGACTTTAGAAACGTCGAATTGCAGACCTTCCTCATCGACAATCACCCTTTATTAACCGCCAGATCACCCCTCCTTTCACCTTCAATACAAAGCTAGCCCCGCCAACGATTACCCCCGCCGACTCGGATTCCGAAGAGAAGCCTAGACCTGAAGAACCAAAGTCTTTTTTCTCGCCATTCTCCTCCTCTCCATCGTGTACCCTTAATAAAAGCGGTCCTCCCTCGCCCTACGTCGAGAGTGTGGAAAGCTCGCAGTCGACACAAATCTCAGATGCGCCCCTCTATTCCGATGACATGGAAATGTCAGACTCTGTCCACCTTTCACCCGGCCCCTTCCACAACGAACCGCCAATAAGTATTACCGGTCGAATCCCCACACCAATTCACTCCTCATTCGCGCCCTTCATTCGGGCTGAAAAGGCATCCATTCACCACGATGTCGACTTTGCAGACGATGAGGCTATAGTAGACAAATTCAGGCGGGCTCGACGATTGCCAAGTCCCATTAGTGAAGGGGAGATGAGCCCGAGCGTGATTGTGGATGGTCTAGGAGACATGCAGATGGAAGTCGATGGAACGTCACAAACCGAGAAGGAGACGCCTACGAAGAAAGGTCACACACGGTCAAAGCATAGCCTGAGGAACTGGCATGGTTCTGGGGGAGATATGAGTATTACTACTGGCGTAAAAAAAAGCTTTAGCATGGGCTATAGAGCTGATTGCGAGAAGTGTCGGATGAAGGTTCCTGGTCACTTTAGTCACATCATTACTGTGGATTAATTTGCTCCAAGGAGAGAGGTGGTCAGAAGAAGCGGTCTGAATTTTGGTCTTCTAAGCCGAGCTGGACACATTACATCTCGTTCATTATGACCGCCGCTTTCATGTTTGGGACAAGGATATATCACAGCGGTTTAGCAAGCACGGCGTCGGGGAATTATGAATTTATGGGATGCTATGAAATTTGCCTGCCTTAACATAGATTTTATTGCTTAATGGGTAAACCATAATGCACAAGTGTAGGGAATAGGAGTTGCCGAATATGCGCAATCCTTATTTGGTACAATATACCTTATTCTCTTACGAACAATCCTGCCATACCCATACCAGTGCCAATACACATACTCACAACACCAGTCTGTAGACCCTGTCTCTCCATCTCTGGCAGCAGGTCTGCTAACATCCTCGCACCTGTAGCTCCAAGGGGATGGCCAAGAGCAATGGCACCACCCTTAGGGTTCACCCGGCCCTCTTCCATTGCCTTCTCTAGGCCCAGCTGTCTCAAGCAATAGATGGCCTGGCTAGCAAACGCCTCATTGATCTCCCAAAGCCCCACATCCTCCGTCTTCAAGCCCGTATATTCCAACAACTTCGGAATAGCAAGCGCAGGCCCAATGCCCATCTCATCAGGCCTACACCCCGCAACCTGCGACCCCGCCCACTTCCCGATAATCGAACTCGAAAGCCCGAGCTCAGTAGCCGTGCTCCGTCTCATCATCAGCGTCGCCGCAGCCCCATCTGAAATCTGCGACGAATTCCCCGCCGTCGACGTCCCACCCTGCTTGAACGCAGGCTTCAGCTTGGCCATCCCCTCCAAGGTAATATTCGTCCGAATGCCATCATCCCTAGTAACAGTAACATCCTGAATTTCCCCCACCTTCTTCCCGCTTTTGTCAATCTCCTGATATCGTGTCTGCACCGGCACGATCTCCTTATCGAATAGTCCATCCGCCTGTGCTTTCGCGGCCCGCTGATGCGACTGTACTGCAAACGCATCTTGGTCTGCACGGCTGACACCGTATCGCTCTGCTACGTTCTCAGACGTCAGGCCCATGGGCATAATGCAATCCCTCGCGTCCTTGACGCTGCTTTCAACCAGCTCAGGCCACAAGACGGTAGGAATAGCTCTAGAGGCATAATTACGCGTCATGCTCTCCATCCCTCCCCCAATCCCGACATCAATCATGCCCGTAGCAATCTGATGCGCTACATTCGTGATGGCGCTCAGACTGGAACTGCACGCTCTGTTGACCGTGTAGAAGGATGTGGTGGTAGGGATGCCGGCGTGGTTCATGGCCATGCGTCCTGCCTTGGAACCGCCGAGTTCTGAGAGCACGACACCGATGCCGACATCGTTGATGAGGGCCGGGTCGAGATTGGGGTTTGCGGCGAGCGTGGCGCGGAGGACGGTCGCGAGGAGCTCTTCGGGGTAGGCGTCCTTTAGGTGGCCTTTGTAGGAGCGAGTTATGGGTGTGCGGAGGGAGGAGAGGATTACGATGTCGGTGGGTGCTTTTTGGAGGATTGAGCTGAGGCCTTTGCGGATTGGGCCTGACATTTTGAAAGGGGGTGTGGGGAAGCTTCCACGGTGGGGAGGATAGGGCTACCGTCGAGAGTAAATGAAAAGAGAAAGTAAAGTAAGATTGTACAAATACTAGTTTTCAGCTAAAGCAGAAATATATAGAAAGAAGAAAGAAAACCGAAAAGCTGGAGAAGTCATGAAACCAAATATCGTCCCCGAGCTTTCCTTTAACATACTTCCGGCAGCTCTCTTCGGGAAGAACTAGGTTCGCTAGGGTAGATTTCTCATGAGTCCGATGTGGGGAAATTTCGCAAGAATATGTAGAAAGCCACCTTACTTATATTGTAATTATCTCATCTAATACGTTTAAAAAAAGATATACTCAAGCCTATCATATACTTTTTTACAATGCTCTACTTTATTAGAAGTTTTAAACATAAATTGCGCGGCTTTTTATCAAAAAATACTAGACTTTATATTTTGGTTTCACTTGGATCGGACTCGTGAGAAATCTACCCAAGAAGCATGCGGGGAGAACTCAGCCAATAGCAGCCCTGCAGGATAAACACTCATCCGCGAGCCGTCTCGATTTGGAAGTGTTCGACTCGAATTGTTTTGTTGCACTTCGCATTTTACTCCCCATTCTAGTCCCCAGCACGTGAGCAAAAAATTGGTGGGGAGATGTGAATGAAGAAGGGGCATTAAAAGTATCAGGATATTTGGGAGGAAATGAGAACGCTACTGGAGATATCCATGGCGAAGAGACTTAGCTGACACAAACATAATGGATTGAGCAGGAATCTAGCTTGGGTTTATCGCACATTTGCGCAAGCTAAAACTGAAGTGCATTTCGGGCATCTGGATAGGCAAAGGTGAAATGCTTGTGAAGATGCAATAGTTTATAAGATACTATTTGTGTTGGAGAGGGTATAGGGGATTCTTATTGGAATGTAAGAAGATTCTACTAAGTGTTTAGGTCGAAGTGTGCGATATTCTAGGTTATCACCGCTCACTTCTCGTCCCATGCAACAGTACTTACGGGCTGTACCTAGGTATATAACTATCATGCCAAGTGGTAACTGTTCTCTCTTTCTTTATCTCTCAAGTCCACTCAATGCCCTTTAGAAATGCAAAAGTTTTGTTGGAAGTTTTTTCCTTGTCAACACGAGGTCCTTCACATTTCCACACCCCCACCGAGTCGCGGTCCAGAAAACGAGGAAGGGCTTGGTGGGCTTCGGAGGGGCATCTTCCAGCCATTAAAAGCATGCCTTCAGGCCTGGTACCAATAACTCCAATAAACAAAATTATGCATCCTCTTCTTTTTCCACGAATGGGATGTTCTCCGTTTATTCCCAGTGATGCATGCAAAGACTTTGGCGATCGGTACTTAATACAATGTGGCTAAATTACTATACCATGATGTTCTGAAAACTCTTAGGCACGTTGGGTGGAGACAAGTGAAAGGTCCAACACAGTTCATGTCAAGATTGTGATACCTCGGAGGCACGACATATGATTGCTTGCAGATACGAAGTATTGCCTGTAGCTGGTTCACTGCATTTAGCTTCTCGCATCGGCGCGATATTACAAGACATGATCTATACATCTACACTAGCCGCGTCTGTGTTTGCGCCAATCACTTGCACGTCTAATTGTTTGCTGCGTCGTCCATCGCGGGATATATTCACGCATCTGCTATTTTTGATTCCTTGGCCATAAGATGAATGAGGAGTAATGGAAAGTGTCTCTCCGTGCGAAGTGCAACAAGAATCCTTTTCGAGTACTCTGCTTGACGGGTTGGTATTACTCACTGCAGAGATCCTCCAAGAAGGCCAACATCTTCCGCTGCAGCTTCACCAACTCAGCTTCATCGATCATCTCACTCTCGTCTTTGCCTGGTCCGCTCTCAACTTCTTTCCTAGCTGGTTTCACTAGGTCCCCTTTCGTTCCGAAAAAAGGCACACCAAAGCCTCTGAGCCTGGTGCTCATTTCTCTCACCATTTGCATCTGCGCCCTGTGGACCTTCATGTCGAAAGTTTGAAGTTCTTTTGCTTCTTCCTCTGGGGTGTTGTTGGAAGGTGCAGTCGAGATAGCCCCGCCAACAGCCTTTCTATATATCATTAATATTTCCATCAACTACTCTATAGTGAAGACAACTTACAAGACCTCATCTAATTTCTTCTGACCTTCCTCTCGACCCTTCTGTTTTTCGATCAGAGCCTTCCGACCATTGAACCATTGCTCTTCATGCTCATGCTGAACTTTGATCATCTAGGTGACGGTCAGTTATCGAGATCAATAAAACAATGATAGAAACACTAACTCGCCGGATCTCATTGATGATAGTGTCATGCTTAGCAACCGTCTTCATGACACACCGCAGTCCAGCGGACCACTCGATAATAGAAGCAGGTTCAATAACATTTGGTAGAGCATTGACAGGGGCCGAAGGCTTAGGACCCTGAGAGGCTATATCTAGCTGTTGCTGCCATGCTTGCTGATATGCATGAGATGGTTGGACTTGAGTTTTCACGGCAGATTGCGATTGAGGTTGAGGCTGAGGCTGAGATTGCTGCTGCTGCTGCTGATTTTGAGAATTGAGATCGGCTAGAGTCTTGAGAATTGATGCCAGATCCGGCGTTTGTTGACCGTTGGACGACATTGCTTTAATGAAGGTGGTCTTGACTTCAAGAGGGTTAATATTGCAGCTTTAAGTCTCTAAGCTTCTATTCTTTGAAATGAGAAGGAACTTGCAGCGCTATTTACCATGAAATGACTCTGAGCTACCATGAAACAAACCTTTATTCAATAAGATTCATTAAGTAGTCAATTTGTTTGCGTTGAAGACAAAAGAAGTTGTCTAGTTCCACAGCAAACAGGAGCCGAGTATTTCCGCGCCGCTAACAATCTCCAAGGATCATCTCAAAAATCGCCTGACATTGTAGCCCCGATAAATGTAAATACAGCCACCAGCAATCCTCCTCATATCCTCCCTCGGTGCCAAACCCACTGGGTACTCCTAATATGACGAAATCTGCGACAGACGCAACGCGATTTACATCGACAATGCCGCACGCCTCCGCCAAACCTTCACCCTCAAGACCCCAAAAGAAAGGAACTCCAGGTCCAGCGGGCGAGACGCCTCGAGAAAAGGTTGCTAGATTAAGAGCTGCTGCGGATCTAGCTCGCAATTCACAGGTCACGGCAGTGGATAGGTTTTTGGTGAGGGGACGGGTGTGGGCAGACCGGGCTCATAAGATTACGGCTGTAACTTTGATGGGAGCTACTTGTACGCCTTCCCTCTTCCCAATCTCTTATTTCTTGTCCGTATAAGGATGTTTAGTTATGAAAGATGCTAATTGATACCGAACAGTCGTCGCAGGAATCGTAACAGTCTACGCTCTAGGAGACATGATGGTTTACAACCGCAAAAAAAGAGCCGAGTTCTTCGCAGAGCAGAAAGCTCAACACGCCTCTGCTATCGAGAATGCTCGGCTAAAAGTACAGACTGGCAGTGCCAATGAAGAAGATATCCGGTTTCTTGCCTTGGCGGACGCTCATGCCGCAGAGATTGAGGCTAAGGCGAGAGCGAAGGCCGAGAATTCGATTTTTAATAAGGGGAAGCAGTTTTTGTTCTCTGGGCTTAAGAGAGAAGAGGGTGGTGATGAGGTGGGGACCGGTGAGAATCGTTTAGGCTATGAGGGGCTGAGTGAAGAGGATGATGTTATGGGGGAGCGGGAGAGTGATATCGTACGTGCGATTGAGGAGAAGAAGATGGGGATTGCGGATAAAGCGAAACATGCATTTGAGAATGAGAAGGAAAGGCAAAGGAGTGGAGGGCCATTGGACCGGATAGGGGCCGCGTCAAATAAGAACGGGGATGAGCAGCCAAAGTCGAATGGTTGGTTCTCTTGGATGACTGGGAGGTGATGTATAAACGGTGGTGTACATATGGATATAAGAGTGTATTATACGGGAAGAGGTTTAGATGTATGAGATGGGCGTTTGATATTTTTAATACCTCCTGTACAAAACGGAGCTCTTCAATCTATCCACCCTCTCTTCTCATCTATCCACGTCTTCTCGGCCTTCTTTTTCTCAGTCCTCCCTTTTCCCGTTTCCTCAGTCCTCTTTACCTTTCGATTTCCGCCAAACCTGAACCACCCAGCAAGACCCCGCTCCCCAGCCTGCTTCTCACGCCATATTGACTCCAACTCCTCTTCTCTCCAGCCCTTCATCGCCACCTTCCGCTCTTCAAACGATTTCTGCCTGGCCTTCTCCTTCTGATCAATCTCTGCAATCTTCTTCCGCAATTCATGCTCCAGCTTATAACTCTCCTTCTTTATGTCGTCTCGAAGGCTTGGACGCTCTAACGCCAGAAAGGTCTTCCGGCCATCATTGAAACCTTGCAAGTACTCCGAATTGGGTCCAGTGTCAATTTGCTCGGGTTGTTGTGTCTCGGTGAGGGGCGAATTGGGGATCTGAGGGGGTTTTTGTGGAAAGAAGTTTATGGTGCTGCTGCCTAGAGAATAGAAAATATAGGCTACAAGCAGGAAACAGATGGCTATCCCAAGATTCTGGGAAGAGGGTTCGAAATGGGATGTCATACCAAAATGATGTTCTTCTACCTAACGTTTCAAAATAATTGAAAACTTTTGTTGGAAAATGGGAGCTGTAAAGGTTCTTATAGCCTCATTCAGCTGAAATGGGTCGTTGTGAGGCTGCAGTAAGGCTGAGTGTCACCTGAGGCTATGCATATCTTGGTAGAAATCTAATGCACTTACTAGCACCATAAGGTTTGAATTCAGCCCATTCTATATTTATATACTTGTTACTTGCAGCTTTTCCCAAAGGATGATTCGATTAATTAGCAAAAGTTTAACTTCAACCTCAGCTTCAAGAATCCATCGCCAATAGTGTAGACTCTGCCAGAGCTTGGTTCGGCATATAGTTTGTCAATTGGTAAGATAAGGTAGAACTTACCTCTTTCAATAGATTTCAAACAGCGTTGAGATCTAGGAGGAAAATAGATTTCTAGGGGTTTACTTGTACTTGTAGTAGTAAGGATTGAAGAGATCAAGATGTGGGGTCGTTGCCAAGAGCGCGGCGCGGCTTCTAGTAGGATAATTCAGGGGCTTCCCTTCCCTTGAATAATCCCTTTTCCCTTCCCACCGGGCATAGTCGGTCATCCTTCTTTATTCGTTACTTGCTTCGGTGAGCTAAGTTACATCGTATCTGTTGCAACATTCACAACCAATGGATTCTGAATGGGATTGTTTACATGGCGGGCCATATCGCCAAGCAACCCCAGCGAGAGTGGTTCCTGATGCAGAAGCTCGTCCCGTCTGTCTGGCCTCTAAGAGTGCGCCATTTCCTCATGTCAGTGCAGCAAATGCCTGTCTCATGATGTCAGGCGTAACACCTTGATTGTCGCTGTCGCGGGCTTCCTTTAATAAGGTAGGAAGGTAAGGTACTGTGAGAAGACACTGTCTCGTCTCCCGTTTCTTGTCTGTCTCTTGCGTATTGAACAACTTGTACTCCTCTGGACCAAATGAATTGAGAATATATCCTCTTATTGTAGATATTCCTGTTTTCTCCTTGAACACGACCATGGCTTCATTGAAACGCGACATTCCAGACCGAGGAGGAACAAGCAGGCCCCGTTTCACTTCCAACAAAACCGCTGATCGGTTGTGGGAATGTGAACAGCGACCTTCGACGCCGTCGAGAATAAAGCCTCACAGGCAGTCCATTTTCAAAGAAGAGGGACTCGATGACCTGCATTGCCCCATCCATCCTTCCCATACCAATAACGCGACTGATAATTCGACTCCCTCGTTTACGATTACGAGGCCAGGTACCCCGACAACATTCGATGAGATCTTAGGCAATGACGGGGAAAGAGAAACCCCAGAGTCGAGGGCGAGGAGAGAAAACCCTTCGTTGTTTTCGAAGCTTGTCAAGGGACAGAGGCCAGTTATAAAGAGCTCCGCAACAGCCCCTCCAGGCTCATTCCCCTCGGTGCCCAGAACTGCATTGATTGCTTTCTTGATTGCTGTGGTAGTGCCCGGGTTTCGGTACGGTAATGGCATTATTAGCGGTGCAGATGCGGGTTTAATACCAGAAGGTATTCTGGTCGATAATGGGAGCACGATAGAAGGAAGAGCCGATAGTCCGACCGATGTCTGTACGAGATGGGCTCACCAGGGTAATGCAGCCCATTCGGTTTGTTAATGAAAATGCTAACAAAACGACAGCGGCAAACGTCAACGGAACTTTATATATTTATGGTGGAAATGCAAAGTCATCAAGCTCACAAACTTCTAATACGTGGAGTAAGTCTTCAAGATATCCTCAATCATGCTGGCACCTATTGATCGCATTCCAGACAACAATTTCCTCTCGCTTGACCTTACAAAGTCCTGGCAGGTGGCTTCTCCAGCATTAACAGGTCTTCCACAGCCTTCGGGTCCACCTGCAGTAGCTCTAGGCGCATTATGGAATTCTTACAACTCATTGTTCGTCTACGGCGGCATGTTCTCAGATAGCCCTGCGGTCGATCCGCTACCTGTATCGACGTGGGAGTACAACATCAAATCCTCGCAATGGACAGAACATACAAACCCGCAAACCTCCCCAGGAAACTATTCTGACGGGGGGGATCAACCGGTTCAGAGAGCAGCTGAAGGGGCTGGACTTAGTGTTCCAGAGCTGGGAAGAAGCTGGTACTTTGGCGGGCATCAAGACAGTCATACGACTCAAGGTTGGACAACTGAGGTCTGGAGGATATACTTGAAGAGCTTTCTCGAGTTCACTCACCCTGGATATGCCAATACTGGTGTAACTTCACTGGGTAGCTCGAAAGCTGCGGGCTCAGATGGCGTTTATCGAAACATCACTCAAGGTGGTATTCAGGCAGATGATGGTTTTACTGAGCGAGCAGATGGCGTTCTGGTATACGTTCCTGGCTGGGGTGATGAGGGTATTATTCTTGGGTTGGCAGGAGGCACAAATACGACTTTTGTAAGTATTTTACCTTGAAAGACTTTATCACGCTAATCGTTTCAGACGGAAATGAATATCATCGATATATACGATGTTGCGAATTCCACTTGGTATAAGCAATCCACCTCAGGTACTAGCCCTCAAATTCGCGTCGATCCTTGCGCAGCGGTAGCAGCTGCGCCTGACGGAACGAGCTTCAATGTCTATCTTTACGGGGGACAAAACCTCATACCCGCTGATAATCAGACACAATTCTCTGATATGTGGATCCTCACCATCCCATCATTCACCTGGGTCCAAGTTGATATGAATGGTCAATCAGAGCCCCCTGCCCGAGCAGGTCATACCTGCACAATGCGAGATGGCCAGATAGTGGTAGTTGGAGGCTATGTAGGAAAAGACATATCTTGCGATAGTCCAGGGATCTACGTCTTCAATACTTCGTCTTTACAGTGGAGTAATAGCTTCACAGCTCTCGCCTCATCCGGTAGCGAATCCGAGACCCAACAAGCCCAAGATTCCTCTGTCCTTCAAGGCTCAGTAGGCTACGAAGTACCAGGCCTTGTGCAATCCATCATCGGAGGGTCATCACAGGGAGGCGCTACAGCAACCTCACCAGCAGCCGGCTCCGCAACCGCTGGTCCTATAGCTACAGGAAAGCCACCTAGTTTCACAGTAACAAAGTCCGGATCGACAGTCGTCCAAACATCCAGTCCAACAGGAACCAGCGCATCAGGCGGGGCAGGACAGTCATCCACAGCCAGGAAATCAGGACCAAACGTCGGAGCAATCGCAGCCGGAACAATAGCAGCAGCACTAGCAGTCTTAGCCGGCTACCTAGCATTCTGTACTTGGCTCTACAGGCGACAACTAAACCGCTACAAGAATCACGTTGCAATGGCTCAACGAACAGCATTTAACAACAGTCCTGAAGGCGTTTCCTGGACTGGCAGAAGCAGCGAGAAAGGAGCAGGAGCAGGAGCCGGTGCTTCGCTAGGACCCTTCGGCACATCCGTTGGTGGATCAGGAAGTGCAGGACGGCCTTCGAATGTCGAGAGTAGCGGCTCTGGACTCACTTATCCCAGTCCGTATTCAGGCGCCACTGGAACACCGGCGTCGTCTATACCGACGCCGGCAGATTCCCGTACGGGTGGATATGGTGGTGGGAGTATGCCAGGCGGTGGTGCTGCCGGCAACGGGTATGGACGACTTAGTGAAGAAGGCTCGGAATACCATGGTGCTGGTGCTGGGTTTGGACGCACGCCGGGGGGTCGGCATAGTGGGAGCAGCGCGCATTCTTCCGCGGCGGACTTATTAGGTGGGCAGGAGCCGAGTTTCTTTAATGTGGTGATGAATCCCAGGAGGACGTTAAGGGTTGTGAATTCCGATTAGATGGGTTTGGAGGTGTGATGATTTTGGAGTAATAATGGATCGGATTTGGTCGGAAGGTTTGATTAGAAAGCGATACCCTTTTGCGTCAACATTTCAGCAACAATATTTTACATATACGAGAGTTATGAAAGAAGAATGCAAAAGTTTCTGGGCGGGCGGCAAGGATGGAGAATATGTTTATCCCGTTTAGGAATCAGGTAAAAGAAGTTCAGGAGAGAAAGAAATAGAAAGAGGAAGAGGAAGAGAGAGAGAGGATGAAGCGATGGTGAAAGAAATGATTAAAGCCATACATGTTGTTGGAAATGCGTCCCCTTTCCTTTCGCTTTCGTGGATTTCTCCCCTTTTGTTAGACTTCACCTCCTGGTGAAGAGAACAAAACATACAGTACGTTCGAGGGAGCAACTCAATATCAGACAGTTCGAGATATCCCCAAGAGCGTGTGAATGAGGACTTGCAGAATACCGGCTCATAGAGGGGTATCCACCGCCTTTCGTAACTGAACCTTACGCGCTCGTCCACCAATCCAGACGTCGATCTGGTGATGCATTTAATGCATTTGATGGATTTGATGGTCAGGAATTGACAGTTTCTATTCTTGGCCAATAAATACACTTTCAACGGCCCGACTGAGCTGGGCTGGTCACGTGAGATTTTAGCGCTGTCATGTTCCGATAATGACGGAGACTTAATGCGGAGACTTAATGCGGCTGTTATACCCTCTTCTAGCGCGAGGGGCAACAAACTTGGTTCGGCCTCTTCTCCTTTCCCGAATCCCAACGGTCAGAGCAGAATTGATTGCAATGCATCCCTGCTCGAAACAGCAACATCGCCACTCTGGAGCAACAAAGCTAGAGCCCCCGTCCCTGCATGATCTTTGAACGGTTCTACGGTAACATGGAGGAGATATCCTTGAAGATCGGCATGAAATTCGCTCAAACCGAGTTATAAAGTTCCCGTTATGACTTGAAGGGGCCAAGTCGTTGGATTAAACAAGGCAAGATGCCGGCTTCAACGCATTATTCGGATATCGAAACTGGGGCACTTTCTTATTGTCCTTCCTGCCGATGACAGCGGGTTGCTCGCCCCACAAGAAGCCTGTCAACTTTAAACCCTCAAACTGTTAATTGTGCTTCTCCGAATAGCAACTTTTCGTGGAGAAGAATGCGAAATACTGTAGGATTTATAGAGCAATAGCATTCTTATGTAATTCATATCTTCTGGCGTTTCAAAAAGACCTCACTTAAGTAACGTGAAGTCTTTCGTCGTTGTATCTCCTTGGCCCTCTCAGTCGTAGTAGCGTTCCAGAACAAGTTGTCGTCCCTGCCCCTGCATCTCGTTAGCAGAAGCGAGAACAAGATTCGAACACAGCAGAATCTTCCCCAGCAAATCAGAATTGCTTTCGGCGTTTTACTCCGTATTTCATACTTCCAATTGCCGTTACTCCATACTTAATAAAGCCCTGGTCCCGGATGAACCAACCCTATACGGCCACGGCTTTACTCCATGTTCTTACTTCACGCAAGCGAGGTGCAATGATGCTGATCTCCTCCTTTCATGCGTAAATTCTTTCATCCTGGAATAGCTGAGCCCTATAGCCAGTGGCAATGTGTGTTGCAAGGTGCTCGATTGGTATGTCAGGAACCATCGGGCTGAAAGGCTAACGTCCACCCCGTCTCGACTTACGACCTCGACTATACTTACGCATATACATTCAGGGGTTTTTGATCGACACTGAATTTCCCAGGAACAGGCTTGTTACTCATATCATACTATCTCGAGCTTCTCAAGTCTATCTTCTATTCCCACAGTATGACGACACAGGAGAGCAAGAGAGCTGAAGAAAGTTTTATTCCTTGGAAGCATTTCGGTGGAGATGATGTTGATAGGAGTAGCTCCGCTGAAATGCTTCCAAGAAACAAGATAATAGTGGAATTGGTAGAATTGGAAAGTCTATAAAGTAGACTGAAATGTCCCCTAAAAGTTTTTTTTTTTCATCAACACCATCTTCATCAATCAGTCCCCCAGTTCACACACTTCAAACCGCAAGCATCATCGATATCTACCAATCAATCCAACAACGAACCCAACCGCCAATATGAGAACTTCATTCGTCACCCTTTTCGGCCTTGCTGCCAGCGTCGCTGCTATTCCTGCCAGAGTCATGGAGCGTCAGACAACCCTCTGCTCTTCCGGCACTGCTCAATGCTGCTCGGTGGACGTTTTGGGCGTTGCAGACCTCGACTGCGCCAACCGTTAGTCTTTCATCAATCCTATACAACAGACACACGCTAATAGATCTTTGTACAGCACCTACTCTTCCAGCCAACGGCACGGACTTTGCAAACATCTGTGCCGCCGAGGGCCAGATTGATATGTGTTGTCTTATTCCTGTTGTAAGCTGGGCTTTCTCTATCATTGTGCCTCCATCTTTGGCTTGTCACTAACACATCACTAGCTTGACCAAGGACTCCTCTGCCAAGTTCCAATTGGAGGCTAAATACTCCATCCGAGCAGATACTTTGCAAGAGATTTGGACAAGTCTCTGAATGTATGATGGTCCTTGTCACATCTCGAATGTATGATCCTCTGTGGACTGTGTATAAACGTGTATATTTTCTTGGGGGTCGAGGGGAGTTGGTCAAGGGGCAGGAAATCAGGCAACACAGTACGTAGTGTATTAGTTGTAATATGTTTTGATATCGAATGACTTTTAAGTGTTGCTTCGTCGAGAGTTGGTAATTTTGCGTGAAGTCCCTACATGAAATGTTATTCTATTCCAAATCTAAACCCAGAAACATTTCATTTAATTCAAAATCTCTGCGTAAAACCACCCGATATTTTCAATCTACCAATCATTAATTCAAGTGCATGCTGATGTATAAATGGTTTAAGATGCGTGCATCGCTATCTCCATCTAGTTCCCGGGGCTCATTACCCCTCTACTTCATTACATGGCATACGCCCTTCAATAGCAGGGCGTGATCACGCAATATATAGAGTATATCAGAACCCAAAGTCCCCAACCGTCAAAAGAATTGACAATTTTAATACTATTACCAAAATGTTCGAAGGCTTCAAAGAATTCAACATCGCCGTCACCCCAGATGTCACAATCCACGGCATCAAATCCGGGACCGGCCCACCTCTCCTCCTCCTCCACGGCTTCCCACAAACCCACCACATCTGGCACAAGATAACCCCCTCCCTAACCCCCTCCTTTACAGTAATAGCGCTCGACCTCCGCGGCTACGGCCGCTCCTCCAAACCCCCCTCCTCAACCCAGCAAAACCACGCACCGTACTCCAAATCCGTAATGGCATCTGACTGCATCTCCGTCATGTCCTCTCTCGGCTTCAAGAAATTCAGCATCTGCTCTCACGACCGCGGTGCACGCGTAGCGCATAAGCTGTGCGTCGATTCCCCGGCGTCCGTGGAGCGGGTTATGCTTCTAGACATCGCGCCCACGCTAGCCATGTTCGAGAAGACAGATATGCAGTTCGCGACCGCGTACTACCACTGGTTCTTCCTGATCCAGCCGTCGCCGTTCCCGGAGACGCTTCTCATGAACCAGAAGGAGGTATTCGGGCGGCGGTTTTTCGGCGGCGGGTATGCGGGGATGAGTGAAGACAGGGGGTTTTGGGACGAGCAGGCGTTGGGGGAGTATATGAGGCTTTTTGAAGATGGGGAGGGGGTTCATGCTATGTGTGAGGATTATAGGGCTGCGGCGACGATTGATCTTGAGGAGGCGAGGAAGGATCGCGGGGAGGGGAGGAAGATCATGTGTCCGGTTAGGGTGTTGGTTGGGGCGAGGGGGGTGGTGGCGACGAAGTTTGATTTCTTGAAGGAGTGGAGGGATGTTAGTGAGGGGGTGGTGACGGGGGGAGGCTGTTGATGCTGGTCATTATATTGCGGAGGATAATCCGGATGTGCTTTTAAGGCATATTAGGGAGTTTTTTGGCTGATGCGGAGTGGGTGACGCTGTAATTAGGTGCAATCTGCTTGGTTTTGAAGCGAAGTTTTAGTTTAATATAATGGTGACAGTTTTGAAGACTGCTATTTTGCTAGGGTTCCTTTGTAGAGTCCCTGGAACTCGAAAGGAAGAATACTACGGAAGTGTAGATTTCGCTGTCCAGGGAAGATGGCCTGTGAGATGTGGAATAAATACAGAAGTCAAGAATGCAATTGTAGAAATGTTTATTCTGTGCTGATTTTGAACCTTTTACTTCATTTGATACGGGCTATGTTGAAACCCCAATTGCCTCTTTGCCATCCAAAAAAGTATGCTTCTTTATGCTTAGCATCACTCCACCTTATCTTTAACAGCGGTATTGTTTCCACAATATAGAGAGGATACCAGTAAGTTGGATATATGTATGTTGAATTTAGACTTACCATCGGAAAAGTGCAGCAGGTCAAAGTTCGCCCTTCAACTTGGCAAAATTGCTTATTGGTCATCTTGAGAGGGAGCCAGCCATAGCCAAGTGAAGCTACTTGCTCTACTCCAGTTTCAACTTCACTTTAAAGTAGTCAGTCGTAGACGTCAAAACTAATCTATGTTGCTATCGTTATGTTCTCCTAAAGCTCATCTAATAACAAGGTTTTGATGGGCAATCTAAAGAAATAGTCACACCAAGAATGATTGAGGACCTTGCCATCGCGCCTTTCCAACAATCTGAGACATTCCACTAGGAGACAATACTTTACACGTTCTATTTGAGGTGTATATTGTAGTGGAGCCTTTCCAATATTTGCAAGACAAGCAGTGGCGCAGCTGGGTTGCAATCCAAGGGCTTTTGTCACCAACCATAGAAGGATTTTGAGCTCAGAATATGAAGGCTTTACTACCCGAAACAGCATCTCTCAAATCCATTGTGGCATCAGCTTGAGTGTACTTCACAAAGCACTCCGGTGGCCACAGCCCTTTGTATGGTGCCCCCACACTCGATCCAGGTCAAAACCATCCAACACTATCAAATTCGCTAGGCTTCTTTTTTGGACAGTGTTCGATATCCTCACTTGAGAAGTCATAAACCCTATTTGCTAAAGTTTCTTCCTCACGTCCTTTGAAGCTCGTTCAGTTGATAGATGGCGGCAAAGACATCAACTTAAGAGGGGGATCTTGCTCCTTGATTGAGATGCCCACTATAAGCAGTCATTAAATGTTCTGCTGGATAGCACCGAGAAAATAAATGCTAAGTGCAGCCTAAGCTCTCGGTGTAGTAAACCAGACTTTGCAAGAGACTTTGAATTTACGCCAAATTTCCGGAATACAGTGCAACTCCTCCACTAGGATGAAAGTCGAATAGAAATGCACAATGCCATTGCGTATACACGATAGCGAGGTAAGAATTGAAGAAAAGAATCCAAATCCAAATCCAAATCTTGAAATGGTCGCCCGTCACGTGTGACCGTCTATCCCTCCTTCTTTTGCCGAGAAATCAAAGGGGCGAGGCAGGACCTTTGTTTGACTTTTATCATGATATCATGATGTATGATGTAATATATTATCGACACCACAGAACCACTAGGAATGCATTGTTTTGTTTTAGTTATGTAGTTCCTCCAAATAATAATAATTCTCACTTACCTCTCCCAATTTGCAAAAATGCCTTTCCTATTACGTCTACGGGCCACAGCATTCTCAAGCTCGACTCGAAGAGCAGCTCACCCCGGCATACGTCAACCTCTCTCCCTCCGATCACTCTCCTCCACCCCCTCTAGGTTCGCTCAAGGCTACGGCGACGGCGAAGGCGACCCCAAAGGAGAGAAACCCCAAGACCAAGGTGCATCAAACAGCACGAAAGAGAATGCCGAGCACCCAGGTCCAGAATCCCCAGTAGCAGGCAGCGGCGCTGGCCCCACGAAAAGCCGCGGTTCCAGCAAACCCAAATCTCCTGAAGAGTCATCTGCGAATTCAGGAGGATCACGGTCAAAGGAGGCAAAGGAGACGGGATCCAGTCCTACGGGTGGGGAGGTAGGAAGCGGAAGTGGAGGTCCATCGCCCAAGATTCATAATACAAGATTGCCAGGAGAGAATTCTCAGGCAAAGCAGGCGGAGGTCGAGGAGCATAATAAGGAATTCGAGAAGCGCCATGATCGGGAGGCGAGTACGGAGGGTGATAAGGTTGATAAGAAGTTCTGGAGTGGTGAGTTTGCTTCAATGGCTAGCTAGGTAGGTGTTGAGTGGTTGCTAATACTTTTGAATTAGGTGACGGCCGGGAGGGAGTAGAGGGAAAGGTTTAGGAGAGATTAGGCCATTAGTGGATGGGATGTACGATATGGGTGGGGTAGTCTTGCAATCGAGCTCGCGAATAGCTTCATTTCATGATACTTGATGTGATATTGTATGAGTATACAGTAAGATGAGGTGATCTGGAGCTGTCATTGATGCTTCTCCATAATTTTTTATTCAACGCCAAGCTTCCCCACGCTTAGACCCCTGCTGTGGCTGAAAAAGCTCGAACAAGTAGTGCAGTATGACGTGTGATATCGATCCTTGTCATGGGAAAGATGAAGAATGCATCCAGAATTGTGCTTCCCGCAGCCAATCATCTCCGCTTCCCGTCCAAACGCGTCGACGTCACCAGATATTATTGCATGACCGTAGCGAAAGGCCTTTGTGCAGCCACATAAACATACTTGGCTTTGTCGCCTTGTTTTCTATCCTGCCCTGCCTTTTGCTTTCTGCTTTCTGCCAGAACATCACGACTTCTGTCAATCCATTCATCATCTTGACAGATCCAACTCTTAACAAACAACTACCTGAAGACCGTGAAGCTTCAGAGTACACAACATGAAGTTCTTCTCCCAACTATTGCTGCTCGGCCTGGTAGCAGAATCCACCGTTGCCAGCACCTGGTTCAGCAAAGGTGGTACGTTTGAAGTTTCCAATGCATCCATTTCAGCCTGTTCTACCTTTCAATATATGTGCATGGTGAAGCTTCCAAGAGCTTCACTATGATGTTAGGAGCTTCCATTGCTATTTACCATAGCATTCCAGCTATCCAAACAAATCACATCAAGCTCACATGGCGTACCCTGCTGCACAGCCCGAAGCGCCAGATTTACAAATGAGGTCTCTGCTAACCATTTTTCAATAGTCTACAACAAATGGCACGAAACCGAGCTCGAGAGATGGCTGTCTGACCACAATGTCCCTTACCCGACTCCCGCAGATCGAAAGGATCTCGAGAACCTTGTCAAGAACAACTGGCAATCCAAGATTGCATCGCCATACAATGACTGGGATACCAATCAACTCGGCGCTTACTTGAAGCAGAAGGGTGTTGAGACCAAGGATACTGCTGCCGCCAACAAAGACGGCTTGCTTGCCCAGGTTAAGAACTACTGGTACGAGACAGAAGAGAAGGCCGAGGACTCCTACTCAAGTGTCAAGGACTGGATTTTTGATAGGTCAGTAATTCTGCTGCATTGTTGTAGACTACTTACTAACATACTCATAGCTGGTCTGGTAAATAATCAATTCCCACTACACCTCTGACATCTGCTAACATATCCCAAGATTCACAACTCAAGGCCTATGCCGACAAGCATGGTGTTCCAGTCCCTCAACCTCGCAAGCGAGACACTACGCTCCAGAAGCTTCGATCCACCTATGAGACCGTGGCCAAAAAGACTGGCGAGACTGCCAGCTACCCTGGAAACTGGCTTTATGAATCCTGGTCTGAGTCTGGTAAGTCACCTGCAAAAGGAATACGATTCAGGTCTAACATCTAGCAGATTTGAAGGAATGGCTGGATTCTCATGGAATTCCTGCCCCTCAACCAAGCACCCGTGACAAGCTGATCGCCAGCGTTCGCCGCAATGCTCGTATTGCGAGCCTGAAAATGGCCGACCTACAAGCTTCTAGTTCCCAGGCCGCTGAGGCAGCTACCCAAAGTTTAAGCGAAAAGCTGCTCGATTCATGGTCTGACTCTCGTAAGTTTTTCTTGCGTACATCTGAATCAACAAATAATGACTTTGGACAGAAATCAAGGAATGGGCCGACAAGAATGGAATTAGAGTTCCACAAGGTAGCAAGAGAAATGAGCTCTTGGCTATTGCACGAAAGCACCGCGCTCAACTTACTGGCGACAATGTTTCAAACTCTGCCAAGTCTGCTTTCGGAGCAGCTACCTCGAACGCCAACAACCAATACGCCAAGGCTACAGATTATGCTCAGTTGAAGAGTGACGATGCCTTCAACTCTGCTATTGGCACTTGGAGTGACGTAGGCATTCTATTCACTTATGCTGGCAAAATACTGACATCGCTTAGTCCCGCTTGAAGGCTTACCTTGACGCCCGAGGTGTTCCAGTTCCACAATCCGGAAAGAAGGACGAGCTTTTGGCTTCCGTTCGCTTGAACCGACACAAGGCAGCTAGTGGATGGTCTTCATGGACCTTTGATACCTGGACTGTTGATAACTTGAAGTAGGTTTGTGTTGTTGAACTGTGTTCAGCTGTTGCTAATATGTTCCAGGAAATATCTTGCAGACTCCAGCAGCCAGACCGCACAAAAAGCTAGCAAACAAGCTGGTGCTACCCGCGAGCAACTAGTTGCTGCTGCACAAGATTCTTACGCCTCTGCTTCAAAGTCTGGTGGAACTGGATATGCTTCTGTTACTTCTTACCTTGCTAAGCAGACTGATTCCGCCAAGGACTCTGTATTTGACACCTGGAGCGATTCTGGTATGTGAATTTTATACCTCTGGCTTATAATATGTGTGCTTACAATCAAAATAGAGCTCAAGAACTACCTTGACTCGTATGGAATCCCCGTTCCACAAGGATCCACTAAGAATGAACTCATCGCATACGCTCGCAATCAAAGGAACTGGTTCCAATATGGCACCACCACTCCTCAAGGTACTCTCTGGGCTAAGCTGTAAGTATCAAATGCTCCTAAAAGAGGAAGTTTGCAATACTAACTATTAAAAGTTCGAATAGCGCTCAGTGGGTCTTGGACCAACTCAGCATCGGTGTTTCTACTGGCCGCAAGGAAGCCGGCTACCAAGCCGAGAAGGCAGGTGATGCCGTGAAGGAGGGTGCAACTGCTGCCACCAACCGTGCTGGTGAGGCGGCTCAGAGGGCTGGTGATAAGATCAAGGAAGAATTGTAAAATATTCGACATGAGATATGATGTGGACACAAAATACTTCGGGGATGGATGGAATAGAATGGGCTGGGATGTGTATTATTGAGCGTTTACTTAGTGATGGGCGGTAGCAAGCGGCTCATGAAAAGGGATTGCACGGTATTTCAGGTATGGATTAGCTGAATAAAATGAATTTCTCTATAATTGTCGAACTGCAGTGTTTATCCTACTTTTGAAACCGAACGAAGTACCTAGGCCCGTATTGTTTGACTCTTCTGATGTTGATGATAACAAAGCAATGAGCACCAAAAGTCTATAGGACGATCGGGTTGTTCATCGAAGAGCCTACCAAATCCTCAGCGTCGTCCCTCTTTAGCGAGGCATCTTCGACACAGTCAGTACATCTCCCCAAACAAAATCGGGATAAATACTACATCACCTTTACCCGACGAACGTTTCTCGCTTTGCTCCACCACAACATTATCCCTCCAGTCCTCGTCATCTCGCAGTATCCTATTACCGGCCTCTTGATCACTAGCCTTGGTATCCTCCCACTCCCCATCTTGCACAATCAGTTTATAATTCAGCTGCAGCATCTGTGGGATTGTGCGCCGGCCTGTAAACACATCGGCCAGGTTCCCGGTCGTATGGATTAGGAGATGTAGGATTTCGGCCTTTTCGGCGTTGGGCACGCAGACCCAGTGGCCGATGCTTGTGAGGAGGTTGCGTTCACGCTGTGGGGTGAGTAAGGTAGGTAGGTGGGTGGGTTGGTTTGAAGGGAGGGGAAAAAGAGGGAGGGCACAGAAAGGGAAGGTAACGGACGTACGTCTGAAAGGTCGTCTAGGGGTAGGCCTGATGTGTCCTTTATCGCGAGGACCATGTGCAAGTACGCTCTCCAGCATCTCCTCAGAGGCCAGGGCGGGTAGGCTAGGAGGTTGTGTATCTCGTTGGGACGTTCGTAGACGTAGATGGATATGATGGCCTTGTTGGTAGGGTAGTGTTAGGGATGGAATGGATAGAGCGGAGCGGAGTGGAGTGGAGTGGAGTGGAGTGGAGTGGAGTGGACGTACGTACGTCTTTGATATAAGGGGGTATATATTCTTAGGCGCTTAGCATCGAGAGGACTCCGTTGATGGCTTTTGCTTTGTCGGCTCGCTCGCCTTCGTTCTTTGGTGTTGGCGTTGTCGTTGGCTCCATTGTTTGTGTAGCTGGACACGCTGGTTAAGATACTTTTTGGGATGGGATGTTGGGTTTTGGGTAATACTGCTGTTTGTTTTCTCGGTGCGGATGCAAAAGTGAGGCCAACTCGAGGTTTGAAGGGAGGCCAGTTCATGGCAACTCTGTTGCTCCTTCCCTGATTCTGCTATACAAACCACGGTCACATCGCTACCACCCACTCGCGTCAAAACAAAGTAGATGGAAATGATTGGGAGAACTTTTGATATTGCGGGTATCTAACCTCATATTCTCACAGCATTTCCAACAGTAGCGCAGCGCCCTTATTGCCCAATTCTCTCTCCTTAACGACCTTTGTCTTCTTCGCCTTGCCAGAGCCCTTCGCCTCCAACTCAGCCGCAGCTTCCCTCTTGGATTTCTGCTCCAACGTCTCCTCAGTAGCAGCTTTCGAAAGCTTCTTTTTACTCTTCTTCAACAGGCTCAACACCTCTTCTTTCTTGGAAAAGCTACTTGATTCAACAAGTGCCAGGGGAACAAAGGAACTCGAGCCAGTAGCCCATTCAATGATGTACTCTTTGATATTTGGGTACAGGATATCGGCAAAATCAAGGGCTGGTTCGACAGGTACAACGGTCTTGGTGCTGTAATCGAAACGTCCGCCCGCGATGAGAGACTTGAGCATCTTTCCCCCAAACGCCGTGTTAGCGAGATGGGAAGGCGGCTGTGTATTTTCTGTCTCGGCGCCTTCCTCAACAACCTCTGGCTGTACCCAAGTTGGATCGCCGCCCGCGGTCTGCGCAATTGCATTTAGAGCTGCAGTTTTGTCGCCCTCAGCGCCGAATAGGACTTCCGTGATGAATTGACAGCCGAAGGATGTCGCAACTAAGTCTGCCGCTGCTGCTTCGATGGCTTTGAGGAGGTAGGGTGAGAGCGCTTTGGCTAACTCGCTACGTCTGATTTCGGTGTCCTTTTTACTGGTGCTTTGGCGTACGGTGTCAATTTCTGAGAGTATTGAGAGGTCGGAGGAAAGGCTGGCGGGGAAGAGTGCTTTGGATCTGCCTTGGAAGAGATAGAGGAGGGTGGTGCGGGCGTTGAGGTCGTTGGCGGAGAAAACGATATTCTCGACTTGCTTATCGGCGTCTTTGCTTAGGAGTTCGGGGAAGATGGATTTTGCGGTTAGGACCGTGTCGTCGATTACTTCGTAGGCTGTGAGGATGATGATGTGGCCGTTGGGGTCGCCTGCCATCATCTGTAGCGTGTCTTTGTAGGTCTTAAGAATCTGTTTTCGGTCCTTTGCTGTTCCGTAAGCCAATGCGAGAGAAACGACTCTTGATCCTGATTTCGTGAAAGCCAAGTTCTTCATCAAATCTCCCTCTTCGTCTCCCTTGAGGAGCTCTATAAAATCGGTGATTTCCTCGGTGCCAGATTTCGCGTTCAAGAAATACTGTAACATGGCATCATGAAGAAGAGTAAAGCCAGTCAGTTTCTTCTGGATCAAGTGGTTGATGAGCTCGAGTAATGAGCGCATGATAGGAGCTCGTTTGCCAGAATCTGCAGCCAGTATTTCAGAAAGTTCGCCCGTGACCTTCTCACTGGCGTCCTTTTGGAAAAGAGAAAACTCTGCTCCATACCATTCCCTCAATATTATAGCCTTTTGCTGCTTGGTAGCAACTCCTCTGTAGACATCATCGAGAATCCAAGAAGCCTCTGGGTGCTTGATAAGCCGACGAACATGTCCAAAGAACTCTGGAACAATTAGGTCTCTAATCTCATCATCTCCCTGAATCAACAATTTGCCAATCAAGAACTTGGCGTATTTGCTCTCGGCCAATTGACGATATGTTCCAGCAAGCTCTCTGGCGATCATCCTCTTTTGTTCCGGATTGGCATATTTAATAGCAGTTTGAACTACTCTGACGCTGTCGTGCTTCAACACATAATCCTTGATCCGACCGGTGATGATGTCGAATAGTTCGGTGACTAATTTGACTCTTTCTTCCTTCGGGACGTGCGATTTGCGGCGTAATCTCTCCCAGAGCTTTTTCGTTCGGACGAGGTCGTCGGCAAGGGGCTTTGCTGCTTTTCGTTCCTTCACCAATTGCTTCTGCTTCGCATGTGCTTCTTTGGACGATTGGCCTGAAATACCGTTAGCAATTGCAAACAGATTAGGGAGAGGGATTCTGTGTACTATTTGTAACCACGGCTTTGGCTCTTTCTGGGTGCAGTCCATCTGCGACCTTGGGAAGATCCTCCGAATCACTGTCGTTTCCCTCTACATCTGATGTGCTATCGTCCACCTTCGAATCCTTCACATCCAGAGCAACACCTCCATCTGCATCGGAGTCGTCGGATTCGGATTCGCTCATTTGCTTAACCTTCTGCGTCTTCTTGAGAACTGGCTTTGGCTTTGTCTTATCTTTGCTCTTTGATACCGATTTGACATCAGAACCAGTCTTCGCCTTCTTTTTTTCCTTCACATAGCCATCCTTTCCGGCACTCTTCCTCTTCGTTCCTGCCGTCGCAGGTTTTGTTGCTGTTGCGGAAGGCATTTTTTGTGAAAATGTTGTTGGTGAAATAAAAAAAAAAGTTTCTCGATTTTTGGGAACTTTATCGCAGCTCTCTGAAATTTTTGCGGGCAATCAAGGACGCTAGACAAGGATTAGGCAGACCCCACGATTAACTCGAAATCTCACATTTAGAGACACTTGAAGCGCATCACGGCAAAATGGGAAGAGAAGATCAGATTGAGGAGCGCGAAGTCCTCGACAGTATCTTTCCCGAGGAAATTCAAGGTACGTGGGTTGTTCAGACCGCTCTCCAATAACCCCTCTTCAAGAAATGCCCCTCTCCCCACCAACGTTTGCTGATACTTTGAACAGACATATCAGAGACCGAATACCGAATATCGATCCTCCTGGACATCTTAAACGACGATGGTGATGATTCCGAACCCCCCAGCATCATCCTCCAAGTCAAATACCCCCCAGACTACCCCGAAGAAGCGCCCATCCTAGACATCCTAGGCCCTCCAAATGCGCCGGTGCATCCATTCTTCAGCGTAAACTCAGACAAACAGACACTCCTCAATGGCTTATCAGAAACTATCGAGGAGAATATGGGCATGGCTATGATCTTCACAATCGTTTCTACGCTAAAGGACAATGCCGAGCAACTGGTCGCGCAACGGCAAGCGGGCGCGAGACAAGAGCACGAGATTAAGTTATTAGCTCTCGAGGCGGAGGAGAATAAGAAGTTTCATGGCACGCCGGTTACACCCGAGACGTTTGGGCCTTGGAGGGACGAGTTCAGGAGGGAGATGGAGGAGTTGAGGGCTAAGGAGGAAGATGCCGAAGAGGCGGCGGAGAAGAAGAAGAATAGGGGAAAAGATGCTGTTGTGCTACTGACTGGGAGGCAGCTTTGGGAGAGAGGTTTGGCTGGCAAGATTGAGGAGGATGAGGATGAGGAAGATGAATTGCCGGTGGAGGGGGTGGAGAAATTGAAGGTTGAGGCTTGAGGAAGGAAAATTTATGGCGTCCATATATTTGTGGGCAGGAAAATGGAGGAGTTGCATTGCTGGCGTTGGACTTTTAGAGAATTGGAAGCTTTGAGCTATGCCCACATAAGTGCGGTTCGTACATGAAGACGTAAATCCGATATACCATGACTTATGCTAAGATTTGATATACATTTGAAGCTCAAAGAATTACATAGATGAAACATGTTTAGGTTGCTGTTTTTATTGCTAGCATATACACACATCTACCGACTGTAGGGAGCAATTGGAGAACCCTCAATACTTAAGCCAGTCAGTATGCAAATCTAAAGTACTGGCTACGTTGGCATCTGAAATGCTGTATGTATCTATACTTCAGCCATTTCCTCATCACTCGCATCGCCCTCATCCTCGTCCTCCCATTCCTCTTCTTCCTCATTGACAGTTTCTCCACCCAGCTCAGCGTTTAAGCTAGCCAAAAGCTCTTTGGCATGCTCCCCCAATCGTTCATCCTCGTAATCCTGCTGATCAAAGAGTCGAAGACTGTGAGTAAGCCATTGTCTACTCGATATCCAAGATACCTTCCAATTTTCTCCGTCGCCATCACCATTTTCAACCTTCGCTTCGCCGTTCTTCTGCTTTTCTCCCATAATGTAAAGACCCCATCCACCCAGATACCATACTTCAACACTGCTGTCATCCTCACCCACTAAACGCTCCAAAACCTCAATAGCTTCGACGTCCATATCGGCCTCCATCAGTAGTCTGGCCAAGCTAACCCGTGTTGGAAAGTCAGGAACAACAGTATTTTCAGGAGGTAAGTCTTTCCATAAATCCAGACTCCTCTTCAACGCCGCCCTCGCATCCTCAATTCTCGACTGCGAAATCCTAACATTGGCCAGCGTTTGCCATGGTTCCGCAAAACCCGGCGCAACCATCGTAGCCTCCGTAACAAGCGCCTCACACTTCTGCTCCGCATCCTCCTCCCACGACAAATCCGTCATATAAACCTCGACAACGCCGCATAGCGCTACGGAAAGTTTCCTCCTCTTCTCCTCCAACATTGCTTCAGCCACCGCATCCAACTTCTTCCGCTCAAGAAGCGCTTGAATGTATATCCTCAAGCTCAGCGCTCCCTTCTCAAACCAATCTACACTATCCTGCCCCCCTTCCTCACTTAGTTGCGCCAACCATAAGAACTTTTCCGCTCCACCTCCAACATCTTCTCCAAGTGCACCATCCTCATCAATAGCTGCTGCTTGTAAGAAGTATTGGCGCGCAGACTCAATATCTCCTAATTCGACATGTATTTCGCCCAGTAAATTCAGCGCTGGTAGAGCCTCTTCTGAGTCAATGTCAAGTAGACCCAGAGCTCGTTTCGCTGGTGTGACGGCGCCCGCAATATCGCCTTGTTGCAGCGCAGAGGTTGCTTGTGAGAGGAGGATGGAGGGGGATGTTGGTAGTGATGACATTTTGGAGGGGCTTGCTGCGACGCGATTGAGAGCTGATTTGTCGCGCTTCTTGATTTTCTTGTTACTGGGTTTTGTTTTCGCCATTATGAGGGTTTGGGGGATTTGGTTTCGAGACACAAAAGTTGGTGATTTCAAGTTGAGGTTTGGCAATAATAAATTTCTTGCGATAAGATTAGCCGATGACGCTAAGCCTCGATGTAACTGTACCCCTCTTCGTAGTGGGGGTTATAAGAAGGGGCAAGAGGGGAGGGGGCCCTTATTGCATGGATACTGCATTAATAGGGGTTCATATTTTTGGCGAACTGATTGATGTTCTATCTATTAATCAATACTTAGATGGTCGAGTTCTCTGAATGCAAAATCTCGAGAGGTTCAGATGAGGAAGTTGAATAAGTGGGTCTTGATCTTGATGTTTGTTTATGGATGAAAAGTTCTTAGAGGTGGATGATAAAGGGAAAAGCCAGCGAACGTATTTAAATTATCATTAGTTTGGAACTCATTTACATCGGGTTCATAAACCTCATAAAGCACCCGGTCTTAGCGATAGTACAGTATCCAAATACCAGTTCAACCGTCTAACGCCCCCAAATCGTAAAGTGAGAAATGCAATCGTGAATCAAGTTCCCTCAACGAACCTCCTGGATTTCTTTGGCAGAACCGGCCGTACCAGGCCTTTGCATGCTCCCTAATTCTTCTCCTACCCCACTTTGACCCCTCTTTCGGCCTGTGATATGAAACCTCGATCCAGACTGTGAGTCCGAGTCACCGAACTTCGAAAAGAATCCCTTCTTCTTTATCTGCTGCTTTGCTTCATCATTCAGCCCAACATCTTCAAATCCCTCCTCAGCTGTAGGAGGCTGTCGCTCGAATCGCCGCTCGTTCATGGCCGATCGAGGGAGTCTGGACATTCTTGCTGAATCAAGACTTTGGCGTCCAATGTCGCCAGGGAGTACTGGAGACCTGGCAGATATATCCTAGGAGTAATAATTAGATATAAATAAATAGTCATTCTGGGATGCGCAGAACATACAAAAGACCTTCTATACGAATCAAACGATTCCCGAGATATCGGGAAGTGCTCATATTCCGACTCGCTGTTATTCACCGAGGTACTCGACGGGTTTGAACGTCGAGGCCATAACCCTTTCTTCTCAGGCGGCGAAGGCTTCGAAAAGTTAGCATGTACCTCCTAGTTGACTGTTCTGTAGACTCACTGGAAGATAAACTCCACTGTCGTTGACAACTATTAAAAAAATTTAGCCAAATTCCAGAAATGAGCCGTCCGGTTCCTCTCGGAATGGTGGCATACCGCTCATTTTGTACTCAGGAGGTTGATCTTGACTCAGCCTGCTACTAATGCTCATCGATGAGGCCTTTGATCCCATGGTATCGACCTTTTCGAACCTGGGTCGTGTGGCATGCTCCTCTTCATGTGGTTGCAGACTTGTCTGCACATCCTGGCGCTTTGCGAATGGGTTGCGAATTGGCATCGTGAAGGTGGGGTGATGAGATAGACTTCGTCTTGAAAAGCGTAAAGTGCTGAGAGGGGTCGGAGAGTGAATATAATGAAGACTGCTCTGATACCGTAGTAAGCTGCTTAATCCGCCCTTGCTGCAGGCTAGGAGAGACGTTCGATTACACTGCCACTCCACTGCCGTCTTGCGACCCGTCGATCTTGACCCTCGGTCTCGGTGCCTGTGGATAAATTGACCGGGTCGGATATTCTCCGAGATCACTTGACCTCCATCAAAGAAATTGAGAATGAATTAATTGGACGGATACAGTACAGTACAGTATCCCATGCTACTGTGTGTGGCTACTGTAATAAGACCAGTTCGTTGTCAAAGCATGGGCCACTCCTTCAAAAAGCATGCGTGACGTTTTTGAAATCATCCGAGAGGCTTTCTTTGTTCCGAAGGCAGATTCGGAGTTTCACAGCCTCAAGCTCGACGCGTCGATGCATACCTATATAGCCAATCTTTACGAAATTGTCAACCCAAACGAGCCAGGGACAAGAAAGAGATGTGACCTTCGATGTTGTGCGGAGTACTTGTAGCTGAAAATGTATTCTTTTGGTGCTACAGAGCGCTGTTGTCTAGCTATTGCTTTGAAGAGTGCTGTAAGTTTGCCGTTCTGGGAATGCCTCGACCCAGGTACCTATGCTGCAATAACCATCTAAATACAGGCCCGACATCTGATCATTGCAATCGATTCTGCTCGTCAACGTCACGGGCTCCACCGTGCCAGTTTCCAATGTACTGTATAATGAGTAAACAGGTTGATTTGTTCTTACTAAAGGCTCATGGCAAGTGAAAGAACTTCAACTTCTGCGTCTAGGGCAACAATTGAGACAACGATCTGATGTTGACCCTTTTATTGAGGCTAACATACAAACAAATACAAATAAGGTGGGTTGTCTTTGTGATATTCAGGTATACCGAAAGACCTCTCTTTTCTAAACCCGCAAGTCTTGAGTCTTGGCCACCAGCTTCAAGTTCTAAAGTATTCCAAGAACGGTGTTTAGAGCCACACATTTCTCTTCGTTTGTTGTTGCTATCGTTATCATTGATTGGCCTGCAATTATTGAATATTTGATTGAACCAGTCATCTTCTGTCATAGTATAGATTCATTCTGGTGTTTGAGCTTCGATATTGAGTGAATGCTTTATTAGTAGCACAGCCTGCAGCTATCCGAACAAGCAAGACCAACCCAATAACTTTAAATTTGATCATGTTGTCTCTTCGAGTTACACGTTAAAGGTCCCTATCATTGAACTTATTCTATCCTGTTGTCAATCCATTTTGCAAGTCAAAAGAGTACTTTCTACCCGAACACAACCTTTCCCCACATATACCGCCCCGAAAGTTCATAAGAAAGGGCAACTGCCAAGCTTATCAAATGCGGTGTGCGCCTTCCGAAATAGAGGCTGCTCTGCCAGTTCTGGCCATTGCGCAATTTCAGTAAACCCCAAAATTTCACAGCTCCACCTCCTTGTTGATAGCTGTAAGGTTTTACAACCTCCCCAGTACCATCGAGCCAGATAGCAACAGTCACGGATCTCCGTACTGTCTTCTGCGCCTTCATCTCCCTCGAGCGGTCTTTCAGCAGCAGAATTTGCATACATAAGCAACCTAGAGTTAGCATGTCATCATTCTATCTCTCGTGGCAGTTGTGGGAGAAGATGACCTTTGTGAGCAGATGCTCCAGTCTGCGGCAGTACACCCCGCTAATACTTTGCAGGTCTTAGGTCTTGCAATACTCACAGTCTTTTGTATCGGATGGGGCAAGGTGTTGTGGAGAAACAGGCTTGTGCAGAGGCAAGAGATTGTGGATGAGGAAAGGAGGATACGGATTCAAGAATTGAGAACAAGCGGGCAACTCATTGAACTTCAGGGAGGCCACGATGTTCCTTTCGGAATCAAAGCAATCGAAAGTGGGATCGAGGTTGAGGGTATCTGGATTCCATCCAGGAAAAACAGCCCCGTCCGAAGCGAGCTCAAACTAGGCCACGTACATGGAGAGTCGGATACACTTGCTGCTTTGGATATGAAAATCAGCGGACAGACATCTGCGGAAGCTTTTCCGACCCCAACAAGACCGACTCCCAGAGGCCGATCATCACTGGGGACAACGAGCACTGCAACGGTACCCCTCGAACGATCTCCTGTCTCCGGAGACATCACTGCTTCCGAGCGATCCGAATTCGACAGGAACAAAGCCCTTTACAAGCCTCGGAAATCTTCACATCTTCGTTATGGTAGTTATGGAGAGACTCGGTTTGACGTAGCGACACTTAGCCAACTCGAAGGACATTGTTCTGTAGAGAACATACCACATTCCCATAGATCACGAGCTTCTCGCCAGCTTGAACCCGAGGCGTATTCCTCGGCGGCAGACAATGAGCATTCCTCAGGAGTATCATCTGACTCAGAAGCTACGCTTTCCTGCCACATATTATCGCAGGAAGATAGAAAGCGTCAGTCCGTGCCCGAAGAACAATCGACCCGGACTATTGATACATCCGTCCCAGCAGACGTACCTTCACATAAATCGATACAATCCTCAGTTCCGATTCAGTGTTCGAAAGCAGATTACTTTTCGATTCCTCAATTTTCCCCAGATTACGAATCAATGGAGCCGCTTGCGACCCCACAGCAGGTTGCAACGGAATTTTCGCCATTCATGCCTTCTACCATTCCTGGCACTTGGCCTTCAGCTCAATTAGAAGGTGATTCGCAGCTCCTTCGCCGGTCTCAGAATATACCCCTTTTGCCATTTGTTCCTAGAGAGCTCCATATGAATAAAACACTACGGAAAGTGAACTCTGGGTTCCAAGTCCTACCTGCTGGAACATTCGGAACCCATGACCCAACTATAGACGAGCGGAGTATTTTGTATGATGGCGGAGAAGACACAAGGCGACAATCCAAACTTCAGAAGAAGCCGCCAGCCTCGATAATATCGGGAAGACTATCAAGAACTTCAGAACGACCTTAGAGCGTCTTGACGAGACAATGTTTCTGCATGAAAGCATTGGAGACTCCGAGGACTTCACAATAGCACTACATGGTAGACCGCAAAGGCACTTCCTCTTCCAGAATCTTTTCTGGACTGTTTGGGATTAGCCGCTTGCAATGGTGGCAATAGAGCTTGATTTGGGTTTTGATATTGGAAACAGAGAACACTTGCATTCTATACCGAAATAGGCCATGTTAGGTTTGGAAGGGGCTAGGAGAAAAAAGACATGCTTATTTGGAAATGCAATCGATGTAGCCTGAAGACATGCATATGTTAAGCTGCTACATATTGGCAGTCTGCGTATACCTAGAAGATTTAGATTACAGAAATTCCCCAATAGTACCCTCCTGAGTACTGCAACGCATCTCGTAGATCCATTGTCTAAATGATCTAGCTAGACCAAATGACTTTAATATTGAGTGTCAATCACAATGAATTCAGTATCAATTTGAATTCAGCAAACCTGAAAGCCTGAACTCAATGACACACTAATTATAGAGCCTTTTGAAAATCCCAGAGAATTAGTTCCTTATTTGTATTAGGAAAAGTATACTTATCACGTGAAAACGCGCATCTAGGTTCCGCGTCGCGCGTAAACAACTTGCATCTAAACAAATCCGCCAGTCCAGTCCGCAATAACGAACCTTTTTGTCACGATACGCTTCCAACGCTTGCGGTGAAAGAACGCGTATTGCCAAGATGACTACAGAAGAAATTGAGGCCTCACAGTCCGGAGTCGAAGATGTGGGTGTCGGTGGACCTGGCGCACCGACGCCACTCATAGCTCTCGAGGTACGTGTTTTAGATCGCGAACCCCAGTTGAATATTTAATAACAATTGTATAGGGCGTTGCAGGTCTTACGAAAAGAGATATACAGCTCATAATTGATGGCGGCTTCAACACGGTTGAGTCTGTTGCATATACCCCGCGTCGGGTTTTGGAGCAGATCAAGGGTATCTCGGAGCAGAAGGCGACAAAGATATTGACGGAGGGTATGTTTTAAACCTATCTACATACCTCCAACTTTAACTTATGGATTGTACAGCATCCAAGCTTGTACCTATGGGCTTCACCACCGCAACGGAAATGCACCAGCGACGAAGCGAATTGATATCCATCACGACCGGCTCCAAGCAGCTTGATACATTGTTGGCGGGTGGAATCGAGACTGGTTCAGTGACCGAAATCTTTGGGGAATTCCGAACAGGAAAGAGTCAAATATGCCATACCCTTGCTGTCACCTGTCAACTACCTTTTGACATGGGAGGAGGTGAAGGGAAGTGCCTCTATATTGATACAGAAGGCACGTTCCGACCGGTTCGTCTGCTTGCAGTGGCAAACCGATACGGCCTTTCAGGCGAAGAAGTTCTTGACAACGTTGCCTATGCTCGTGCGTACAATTCCGACCATCAGCTTCAGCTACTCAACCAAGCTGCGACCATGATGTGTGAGACTCGATTCTCTCTACTCATCGTCGACAGTGCTACTTCCCTCTACCGCACGGACTTTGTTGGCCGAGGAGAGCTGTCTTCCAGACAGACTCATCTAGCAAAGTTCTTGCGGACCCTTCAACGTCTGGCCGATGAGTTTGGTATTGCTGTTGTTATTACAAACCAAGTTGTCGCTCAAGTCGATGGTGGTCCAAGTGCTATGTTTAACCCCGATCCCAAGAAACCTATTGGAGGAAACATTATTGCACATGCAAGCACCACCAGGTTGAGTCTCAAGAAGGGTCGAGCAGAAACCAGAATTTGCAAGATCTATGACAGTCCTTGTTTGCCGGAGAGTGATTGTCTGTTTGCTATCAATGAGAATGGTATTGGGGACCCAAGCCCTAAGGATCTTGAAAAGGATTAGATGGTTGTATAAAGTATGTATGTTTTGGTGAGGACGCTTCGTGGTAGAAGAAGGGTTGCATGGATGACACGAGTGATATGAGGCTTTCTTTTTATTAATTTGCATTGTTTGTGGCATGGCGTGGGCGGAAACTGGTGCTTTAGTGGTCATGGGATTGCGCTATTGTATAGCTTTCGGATAGAGCATTTCGGAACTTAGAGACTCAAGAACAGGAACTTCCTATCATACCTACCCAGTAGTACAGTATCTTGGAATCTGAGACAGCCGTCGCTTGTTGAAAAAGTGCTCCTCCAAGGGGCATATTAGGGGCCAAATGCGACTGTTGAATGACTTATTCCATCTATGATATCTTAACACATGCTTCAATTGATATTCTAGCTAACTGCTACTCTTTTATTTAATCCCACACGTCATGGAACAAATAAACTAAAGACGAATTTGGAAGAATTACATCTACAAACGCCTTTGCGGTGAGACAAGGACAAGGCAGAATCTGCCAAGCGAGACAGCTCCAGCTCCAAAAAGTTCAATCTCGCGACTCCATCAAACGCGTCAATCGAGAATGCGACAAAAACTTTAAACACGCCCACCAACTTCCTGGATTAATGGAGACAAAATGGAGACTCCGCCTACAGTCTATACCTACAGGGAGACAAGATTAGATTTGGATTCGTCAATACAAGATTCTACTGTTGCGATTCGATTGCCTGCACCTGGCGCCCCATGGTCTTCGAGAACAGCCCAACGACGACCGCATTTAGTCGCAATACCTGTCGCGGAGGATGAGGATCAATTCAGACAGAGGCATCTCGCTACAGCGGCATCAATCTACCATCGCGTTCACCACAAGTCGCCAAGGAGCTTTCTCTGGAGGATCTTGGAAGATGGAAAGGTCCTCTCTATTCGGGCTGTAGATGTCTCGAGACAACCAAATGTCGCGGATGCGAATCTCACCCTGCGACTGAGCTTCCCGAGTCGTATTATACCCACATGTGTTGCGCTTTCGGATTCAGATGCTCACGATGTTCTGAGCGTCTTCGTCATGACCGAATCGAAGTACCTATATACGCTCAATTTTCGCCCCGATCACTTTCGAAAACCATCAAGCACGGAAGATAACGTGGGGGACTGGTGCAAATTATATTCGCAATCCTCGTTGACCTTCAAGGTTTGCCATAGACTGGTTGCATTGGCGGCAGATGTGCTCTTGCTGTCATTCACCAATGGCGAGCTAATCAGGCTGACCAGAAAGTCTGGAGGCGATGGTGAGTTTGAATATAAGGAATCTGCTTGCTAGGTCCCTACTGACATAACATAGGCTCGGAATGGGAGAATAGACACTTCAACGAGGGCGGCTGGGGCAACAATCTTCGAAGTTTCATGCCAGCCTCGCTCCAATCAAGTAACTCCATCCACCCGTCAACAGCTACCGCAATGACAAGTGTCACTTTAAATGGCATGTTGTATTGTTTCACGGTTACCTTGGACCACCGGCTTAGAATTTGGAACTTCATTAAATCCAAAATTGTCTACATGGAAGACCTTCTCGGCGAGGAGTTACAGGAGCCCGAAAATGCGAAAAGAATCGACCCGGAAAACTCCCAGTTAATAAGAGTCTACAGCGAAAATGAAGACACAGCATTGTGCGTGACATACTCACCACTTGGCGACGGTCAATTCAAGTTTTGGAGAGTGTCTTCAGAAGGAGACGGAAATCTCAGACTCATAGATCTTTTCCCAGATAATGTTCTCGAACCTCAGAGGAATACACCTGTAGCTTGGACAATGGCAGATTTTGCCTTGGTATTAGATAAAGCCGACATTAACAACTTCACCCTCTGGATTCTATGGAAAAACAACACTGCTTCCCGGGTTCAGAAGTTATTATTCGAAAGCGGCCCAGAAAGCCAGGTGCGGAACGCATGGAGAGAAGATTGGGTTGATATGGTCCCCGAGAACCTAGAAGTAGATTCTCTCAAGCCAGCAGCCCATTCGGGAGACTCTTCAGATGTGGTTGATCAGTGGCTCCAATTTATTTTATGCCCCGGGAAGTTCACCAGAGCGACCATTGAGACGAGCCTTATTCTTTGCGCACAAAGCCCAGGTCACCAGGTCAATCAAAAAAATGCGACTTTGCCGGAGAGAATTTGCTCAACTATAGCATCAGCCGCGTCTCTCAACCGTACATTAGATGGCAAGATGGATTACAAGCAGTTCCGCAATACAGCCAACACCCAATGGGGTTCATTTTATAAGGAGCTTCAGCTTTTAGACAAGAAGCGTGGAGAAGCTCTATCGATGGTGATTGATCCTCAAGGGGATATGCCATTCGTTGTTTCGGCAGATGGCATTGTAGCTGTACGAGAATGCAGTGGTTTGGAACGAGTATGGTATAATAACAAGGAAGCAGTGGTACGTGATGATGACGAATTCAGAGCACGCCCTATCTTCGCCGCTTCAACCTTTCGGGAGCAATTCTCGATACAGGTACAACAAAGCTGCAAAGGCATGTTGCTTGAAGAGATCTTTGACGAGCCTTCACTTACAGACTTGGCGCGAATGCGAATGTTCTATGACATGTGTGATTTCTCTAATGAAGTAGGGGAGATTCAATATAACGAGCTGGTGAAGAACCTCGGAGGCGACTTCAAAGAGTTCACTCTGGATGTCTGCAATGATATTCTGCAACTGATGGCGCCTGCGGCGGACATGGAAAAGCGGCCCCTAGAGCTTCCACTGGCTGAGTTTGGAAACAAGTTGGTTCTCAAGGGTGTCCAAAAGACCGTCGAGTTACACCAAAAAGTTTGTTTTGACTTTCTGGTGCTTCTTGTCTTCATTGAGGCGGAAATAAACAATGGGGAGGAAGGAACCCAGTTTGAAACCGCAGCCGTCTTCCGCCAGCTGGTCTTTACATTCAAGCGGCTCGAGCTCATCAATTGGCTTGTAAGCACTCAGATATCACTGCCTTTACCAAAGACGGGGCGGTCGAATTCCATCACAGAGAAGGCTTCGAAGAAACAGACTCCTAAAATGGAAACAATCACGATTTTAGAAGGACTCCTCCGTCATCTTTTTAGTTTGGATCTGAAAGAGCGCGAAGTAATGCCCAAAGCTGTGACAGAAGTCCTCCTGACAATCTGCGATCCCGAGAGCGAATTTGAGCTTCATCCGGCTCTCATCCAGTGCTTCTTACTCAAGCACGATCGGCCCGACCTGGCAATGGAATTTTCCAAATTCGCTGGCCAAGATGCATTCTCAAATTATATTCAAGGTCGCGTACACCTTGCCAATAATGATCCTGAGACTGCTGCTATTTTCTTCAAAAAGGCAGCCTTCGGTATATGTAAGTACTGCTCCTACTTCCACGTTTAACCAACGCTAATGGATCAATAGCATACCAAGACTCAAAGCACGCTACCGACAACCACAGTGCTGGGTATCTCGACGAGATAGAGAAGCAGGCTCTCAATGCGGGCCTCCCAAAATATTACGCCCACATTGTCTCACTCTACGACCAGCAGAATATATTCTCATTCGTCATCGATTTTGCAAGATTGTCTCTACAATTTATCCCACCCGGCAACGAGGATATCGCCTTGCGGAGCGACATGTACAACAGACTCTTCACATCCGCCATCCAAACTGCCCGTTTCCACATCGCGTATGCCACCCTCTCACTTTTCACCGACCACGCAGTCCAACATTCCTCTCTCCGCAAGCTCGTCACAAAAATGTGCGAAACCTCCTACGCCAGCCAACTTATCGACCTCCCATTCATTAGTCTCCAAGACTCCGTCGATGAAATCCTTGCCCAGAAATGCCACAGCATAGTAGACGTTAACGCGGGCATTCCCTACCACAAGATCCTCTACGCCTGGCGTATAAAACGCGGCGATTTCCGGGGCGCTGCATCAGTCTCTCTAGAACGGCTACAACGGCTCCAACAATCGGGTGATGGGGATCGAGGTGATGGTCTCGAGACGCCTGTGACAAGGCAATATATTCTTCTCATCAATGCTCTGAGCTGTGTAGATCCCAAACAAGCTTGGATACTGTCAGAAGAGCCCGTGAAGCCGGGGCAGAATAAGAATGGTGGAGCACAGGCGAAGAGGACGGTAGTCACGTTGGAGGATATTAGAATGGAGTATCAGGCAGAGTTAGATCGGATTGCGGCGATTGATAACAATCAATTTGCGTTTGATGGAGGGGATGAGATGGATGTTTTATGAAGGCAAAATAGCAGAGGCGTTGATATGGATTGATGGAGTTTTGAGTAGCTGTAAAATACCAAGGCAGAAATTGGGTCAGAAGATGGAGAATTCGATATCCACGAAAACATCTTGCCTGTGGTTATGGTCTAGTAAGAAATAGGTCAAGTGTGAAGCGGGTGATAATGAAGTGAAAGTAGAAAAGCTTAGGTTGGGTGTTTAATTCATTGCTTCCAACTTCTTCATGATAGCGCCGGGGTCTATGGTACAATGGTAAATGCTCATGTTCGTCCTTCCTCTCATTACATCCTCATGCCTGAGGAATCTGCGCTCTCTCTGGCGGAGGAGCTCCTGCGATCTGTGTTTGCTGGCCCGCATTGGCAGCAATTTCTGGTGCTTGGCGATATAGCACGATTTCAGATTGCTTGAAGTACCTTCGTGCATCTAGATGATGTTAGTAGTTGTTGTTGAAGATTAGTAAACATTGTCATGGAGGACTATTTACCTTCGTCGATGAGCACGAGACTTAGGTAATATCTAGTAGAGTACTTCTTGTTGACTTCCCGGAATGTTGGGGTCAGATCAAAACCGCCTAGGAAAAGTCTGATTGGAATTGTCTCTCCTCTTGATGGGGAGCCGTCCATGATCTAATGTTCTATTAGAAAAATCCGGGCATGTATTCTCAGGGCGACTCACCTCAAATCGCACCAACGTTTCACTCTCATTATACTGATTCGGCGCCGCACCCGTCGTCTCCCGCCTAATAATAGACAACTCCATATGCTTGATCTTCAATCTAACAAGCAGGAAATAAATGCGTCCAACAATAACATCCTTGAGATGGTATTTCGACTTCGAATACTCAAACTCAATATGCAGACAATCCTCAATTCCGACGTCCATCTTGATCGAGTTGTTCATATCAGGCGGTATCCGGTACGAGTAGACCCAGATATCCTTCTCCCTGATCACATCCGCCATCCGCCTCGACACCGTGACGCGAATAAAGTACCGGAGCCGTACATTGATGCCGCTGTAGGACTCGTATTGCTTCTCCACGTTCTTGAAATTGAAATCGAAAGTTTGCGGGTGTTGGAGGTCGCCGGGAGCTGCTAATTCTTGGCCGAGGGAGAGGAACTCGTAGTGATTGCCTCTGTCGAAGAACATCTCTGTATCCATTTGTCAATTCTGAAGCTCCTATTTGGAGCGCCCATAGCTCCAGAGCAATGCGCCGGGACGTACCAATGGTGCCAATGAACTGGACCTTGATTCCAGTATGCTCTAATCGTTTTCCATCCTTGGGCCGTATGGTGACGGCGCCTTTGACTGATTCCCCGTCTTTGTAAAGAGGTGCCTTCTCTCTGCGGTTCTTCTCCGTCTTCATGTCTACCATCTGCCTGTCGTCTCCATCTTCCAGCACAATGTCGATATCGACGGGCGTAGAGAAGAAGTAGGACATCTTGTCAAGATGTAGGCGTTATACACCCTCCGTTTGGCGTGGATGTGGTTTGCTTTGGGGAGGAGGATAGCTGGGTGAGGTCTACGAATCGAGGCGGCGTACATGGTACAAGGCTGAGTTGTGCACGGGCCATGTCGACCTTCAGAGCTTCCAAATTTCGATCAGGCTCAACCTTGCAACTGTACCGCGTCAAACTCCCAAGACAACAACTAAAGACCCCTTGACTAAGAGTGAAAGTGCTCAAGCTGTCTTGAGCTTCTTTCACCCGCGCCGTGCACCGCCGGCAGCGACACCCACGCCATCATTATGTCTCTCCAACACTATGTCAACAGTGAGTTGCCTATTTTTGTTGCCCCCTTCCTACACCAAATGTCATTGCAAAGCTTACAACCCATTCTGACAGCCGGGTAGAGAAGGTGCTGGTTATGACTAGTGACTCGAGAACACTTGTGGGAACAATGTTGTCATATGATCAGATGACCAACTTGGTGAGTATTTTAACTATCTACCATTTCTGGTTGCATCAGATCTGACCTTGAGTAGGTTCTATCAGAAACCATTGAGCGTATCATTAGACCCCCAGATGATCCAGAGCCATCGAGTGAGATTCCTCATGGACTTTATCTGATCAGGGGGGATAATGTCGTGGTTGTGGGTTTGGTTGATGAGGAGCTGGATGATAGTATTAGTTGGCTGGAGGTTCGTGGGGCTGTTATAGGAGGGGTCAAGCATTCATGATAAGATGATTTGGATGGATGAATGCCATATGGGAGTATGAAGAAATGGTTTTGAATGAAAGGATGACAGAGCAATGTTGCATCTTGGGCGTTTGGGAAGGAATGAGGACTGAAAGACCAATTGATACACTTCTGGAAAGCCTTGGGACATCTAAAGGCTTTGCAGCCTGTGGATGCTATGATGGATTTAGACTTGTCTCGGTGTCGGCAAATACAGCGGCGCTGATTTCAAACGTGCCCAGCGAAATGGATCTTTATCACGGAGCAAGTGCTGCGTTTTGATGTTTGGTGCATGGAGAGATCGAATTCTGAAATGCTAAACTCTTCTCGATGCTCTATTCAAAAACCATTGAGTGCTCTAAGGTGTTCAAAACCAAATCTAGCATCTACCTAAGCTGCAATACTACCACTCTCAATGCACGACAGAGATATATCTGCCTAAGTTACACTTCTTATCCTAATTCGAAGATGCTGATCTAGCCAAAAACCCTCTCCAAAAGATACGTTCCAAATAGCTCCTCGCCTGGGGTGCCAACGATTCTGGTAATCCTGTTACCCTTCTTAGGATCAAGCCAACTACCATTGTCACCGGGTGCATCACCCTCCGCGACATCTTCTGTATCAACATCCGAAACAATACTCAGACTTTCCATTGGATTTGTAATGTCAACAGCTCCGGGGCTCTTGACTTGCTCCACGATACCTCCCTTCTTTCGATTGCGTCGGTCAACGACATGCATTCCTCGTGTCCATTGGCCGGCCGTCTCAACTCGGATATCCTCCGGGGCCTTTGGAGCCTGCATCCACGCAGGCGACGAGCGTGTTAGTACGTACCACACACACAATGGATCATGCAACTCTAATCCCGGGTTTCGTTGCTTCCTAGTAAGGGACTCGACCTTCTCAAACGTCTTGTTGACGAACACAGAAGTCCACTGTGCCAAAGGACTCCCAGCTTCGACCAATGGGTCGAGCTTGGTCTGGAATTCTGTTCGGTAGAGTAGATGTGGGCTTGTTATGTCGAGGGGAAACAAAGTTAGGTTGAGCTTCCTCGAAAGATTCTTTGGATAAGGCCCCATTGTAGACAGTTTCGATGGCACTGGGGGGAGGGTCGTCGAAGGATTTGGAGATGTCAGTGCGAATACGCGGGCGGTAGCAACAGCGTCTGCATAGGTGTTGAATTCCGCCACAGGCGTAACGTTTCCTTCCACGTCAATGGCACCACCCATGACAACAACCTCTTTCACTCTCAAGAATGTCTCCGGATCCTCCGCAGCCGCCAGTGCCAAGTTCGTCAAGGGTCCAATCGCAATAATAGTGATTGTATCGCGTGGGTTCTCTTTGAGGAGACGAAGTATTTCTTCGTGAGCAGCGACTTGAGAAGGGCGAAATGATTCTACAGAGGTCGCAAGTTCGCGAGCTGCTTCAGTCTCTGCCGCAGATGCGTTTGCTGGTGGAGGCTGGAAGAGGGTCTTCCATGTATCAGCTGGAGATAGATGTGGATGCTATTCTTTTGGTCAGTAGAGCTTAAGCAATTTAGAACAAGTCCTCCTCGATAGCTGCACTACAGCGGACAAAACAATTCACCCGGAAATGCCATGTATATACTCTGATTTGCAAGCATCTGAAAACAAGCTGTCAAAAGAGTAGACATACCGAAGTGTGGACACCAGCTAGTCCATCAATACCATCTGTTAAAAACATTAGTCTAAAGCTCAGAAGTCTTTGGACGACTCCATACGAAAATAATCAGCCATGAGGAGCTCATCATCTAATGGATGCTCGGCACCAACGGCAACAATGGGCTTTGAGCTTTTCATAGCTTCAAACCCTTCAAGTTGACCGCGAGCTCTACGCCACTCCAACTCCTTCTCGATAACATGGAAGAGTGCAACAACATTGCGCAGACAACTATAAGATGTCAGCTGAGTATAAGCAATCTGGATGAGTCAAATCACCTTTGGACTTGGACATTGCCATATGTGACAGAAAGGAGAAGGATCTCTATCTCCTCAGGCTTTGCGGCCAGCGCCAGCAACAGGGCCAGGACATCATCCACACCTGAAATGAATTAGCCTTGGCCTTAAGCCTGGTGATTATTGCGTACCAGGATCTGTGTCAATAATAATACGGTTGAGAGGAGCCATGATTGACGACTTCAGAAGAAATGTTGGGGTGGGTAGCCAAGAATGCCAGATGCAGCTGCTTTGGGTATCCAAGTAAGACTGTTAAGTAACTTTTGCTTGTACAATAAAATACGATACCATGAGCCTGCTTGCTATTTGGCTTGCTATTCAGAGAAGTCAGGGTGTGCTTGATGGCAAATATATATAAGTATACCTAAGTACAGGTATCGCAGGCACCTACAGGGTGGGGTAGGGTATACATTCTGCCAGAGCTAGTTCTAATAAGGCAGGCACAGGTATGGAAGCGGTGAACGATAAGTTTGCCGTATCGGCACCTAGGTATTTAGTCGCCTTCCGTATTATCCAATTTATTGTAACGGTTCACGGGCCACGCCCAAGCTTGAGCCAAGAGACATCACTCACCACCTTACCCTAACAATACTGGCCACATCGAAACCGACGGGACACGTCTCTATGGGCTCATCTTGGACCTCGTAATACGCCCTTACTACCACTTACTTTACAGTCTCTACCTACCTTCTTCCTGTGCCTTTGTTCTTCCCCTTTGGCTATTCCTCATTCAACTCCTATCAGGACACCGTCGCCAATCCACGGATCCACCGTTGTCTCGACTTTCGAGCCGGTCCCCGTCTGAGCCACCAGCGTATCCCTTTTCCAAATTACCACCCAGCTGTCACACCTACACTTTCTGCACCTCCCACTTCTCACCGAAAGCATGGCAACTCTCAGCACTCTTGCAGGCTGGGCTGCGCTCATCGCATTCACTGGCGCTTATTGGTACTATCACTCGAATTCATCAAAGAATCGGCGATTGCCAGCCGTGAAAGGGGCAAACAAGCAGGTCGAATCTCGCAACCCAAAAGTCAAGAAGCCCAAACAAGAAGGGGGGCTCAGCAGTGGCGACCAAGAGGTCAAGTCAGGTGTGAAGAGCCAGAAGAAGAAGACGCAAGTCTCCAAGGTTGAGCGGGAAGTCGAGAGCATCCCCAGACCCCAGGCCACCAAGGATGATGGCCGGGATGATGAGATTGACAACAAAGAGTTCGCTCGGCAGCTTGCCAGTCTCAAGACGGGGACAATCATGGCTCCTAAATCACAGGCTACAAGCAAACAAAAATCTGTGAAGCAATCAAGGGCACAAGAGAAGCTCCCTGTTGAGACGAGCTCAGACAATGCAACGGCGCCTTCTTCAGCCAATGGAGGAGATGCTGATGACGATCAATCACCATTAAATTCACCTGAGCTGAGTGCAACATCAATGGCTTCAGCAGTCACGGTAAGCTATACTACTGTCCATCCCCTATTTAATGGTTCCTTACATTGAAGACCTGTACTGACTTATTGATAGAACGGTGATGTCTCAGATATGCTGGAAAAAGCGGCCGCAGGTCCTTCCGTTTTGAAGATCACAGAGTCCAGCGCTCCTTCACGTCCAAAGAAGGCAAAGCCAGTGACTACTTTCGAAGCAGTCGAGACGAAAAAGCAAAGGCAAAACCGCAAGAAGGCTGAGGCTAAGAAGCTTGCCCGGGAGGAGGATGAGAAAGAGCGACAAGTTACACTGGAGCAGCAACGCCGGACTGCTAGAATTGCAGAGGGTAGAGCTGCGAAGGACGGAAGCTCATTCACTGCGACCAAGGCGCCCACTGAGTCTGCATGGATCGCTTCACCTGCCAGCGGAGCTAATGGGAGCAAAGCTGCCAACACTAGTGTCGACCTCCTCGATACCTATGAACCAAGCAAGACGCCAGCTGCTCCCGCCCCAAAGAAGGAGACTACCGTCCCAGCAGAAGCTCTGTATTCAGAAGGCGAGCTTGCCGGTAGTGACTGGCAAAACAACTTCTCGGCTTTGCCATCGGAGGAAGAACAAACACGACTGGCGATGGAAGAGTCTGACAACTGGAAGACGGTCAAGGCGAAGGAAAGGCGAAAGCGCGAGAAGGCAGCCCCCACGGGGCCACAAAGTTCCGGCGATGAAAGGAACGATTATGGTGTTCCTCCTGTCACCGCCCCGTCCGGTCCTGGAAAGAAATGGGCCACTACACTGGTTCACGTGGAGCCAACTGGAGATGTTGTTGAGCGAGAAAAGGAGCTCCAAGACTCTGAGTGGGAAGTTGCCTAGTTTTGGCGTTTTTTGCATGTGCGTCCATCTGCCTTGGGACTCAAAAAAGTTGCTTTCCATAAAGCTTCGCGCATATTTGGGCAATTGTTTCTTTTATCTTTGTACATTGATATTCACATGCGTAGTCCCTACGACTTACCTCTCGCATCACTCGTCCTTGCATATTGGCACCAGGGTTGGGGTTCAAGGGCATTTTGCATGAACCCATTCATGTATTCCAAATTCATTTTTGCACTTTGGTGGCAAGGCGTATGAGGCCCATTCTCATTTCAGTGCGATCGATGGGGGATCAACAAAATTGCGAGGGTTCAGGGCTCTTTTTCATTTACACCGCACATCTGTACCATCAATCTTCCCGTTGAAGAGCCCAGCTGGTCTACATACTCCGTCCATCACAATAGCTAGCAATGACAAACCCCTTATTGTGAAACCTTGTGACTGACTTCGCTGCGATGCTATTGATGACACTTGTACTTTAGATGAGAATGTCGGGTCGGATATCATCCTACGAGACCCCGATGATTCGCGCAAGGGAGGGCTCTCCGGGTATCTACTCCGTGAGGGACCGGTGGGCCAACGGACGCCGACCCCACAAGACAGATTTCGACCCGTTTTAGCAGACTAATTACAACATAGACCCACTTTAGATCCGTATGGGGAGGCTTGTTCCTGTTCAAACGAGTCGGCTAAGCTGATTGGCGTGTTTCACTTTTCGTAGCTTACTTCTTACTGTTTATTCAGCCGCCGAGAGAGGATGATAATTCATCTGGACCTCAATTCATGTATTATATACGGTAGCTTTCTGAATTGCCTTATTGTAGTGTATTATTATATTACTCCCTATCAGAATGATACACGAAATATAATGTACAAAAATCGCAGATCGAGCGGGGCTGGGAGGCCCAAGCCTTCTAGCATGCACGCACGGATGACCTAGTAGGGAAAGGTTGACGAGTTGAGGGGTGAGATATGCATAGACTTACAAGTACGGTACGGAATATCAAGACAGTAGTAGTAGGTACGAAGGACAAGTGATACGAAGGAAACTCAGGTCTCAACGCAAAGAAGATCCACATCAGGAATCTTCTGCCTAATGTAGTAAGTTCCATCACCTCACATAAAAGACTGGCATAATGGCATTATTTAAAGTACCCCGATTAGGCTTACCTATGTGAATTCTTTACCTAATTATTGCACTCCTCAATCACCTCTCCGGCAGGAAACGCGTCTGAAAATTCTCCAAATGATATGACTTGAATCATAAGACTACCGAGTACCTCTACTACCATAATCTTCAATTACGACTTGACATTGTATTGGAGGTTGATATCAAAAATGCACTTGCTGCGGTATTACTGCACCGTTCTGTATTAGGGGGATCCCGTTTTTAGTGTAGCTACTGGGAAATGAAATGGGAAGCTGGCGACAACTCTTTCCAACTATTATACATAAGACCGCAACATCTATTCTACAGTACAATTACCTCACCCAGCAATATCAGTTTACGGCACGGTCAATTGAAAGCCTTCGCCGGTCGAGGCTCATCCATTTCTTCCTGTGCGCCCGGTTTCTTGGACCACGCCACGCTCAAAGCGAGACAAAGGCACCACCACCGAGAGATCAAGCTTCATCTTACGAGGATCCGGTCCAGCGCCTCTTCGACACGAAAAGTTGCGCCATTGGATTGAACTAGATCGTCTCCGACACAACCAGAGCAGAGATACGTGTTCAATCGCGCTTACAGCGAATGCCTGATGCAGTCCTGCGAGTGGACTCCATATTAATTTGGGAAGGATTTGAGGCTTGGATCGTCCCCAGTTGTTGGAGATCTCGATCGCCTCCCGAAACAGCCGCATCCCCTGATACAATATACAATACAGCAAGACTCAAATTCAATCTCTGAAGTCGTTCTTCATGCATTCATAATTAAGTCGGTCCTCGAGCACACGACATACCGTACCCCTCTTCCTTAGCCACTCCACCCAACTCCACGCCCAAGATGTCCCTCGATGTTGCGCTCCAGTCTGTCGCATTCTATGTCCTATCTTGTAGTACCTGCGCCAAAATCAGCCATCGTCGGAAAGCAAAGGCACAGGCTAAGAAAGAGCGGGCGGAGAAAGTTGAGCTGGAAATAGAGCAACCGGGCCTGTATCGACATCCTTCTCCTTTCTCTACGAATCCGTATTGGACCGAGGAAATCATGATGGGACCTGGTCCGCCGAAGAAGAACGACAAAGGGGGTAGCAAGAGTACAAGTCAAATGGCATTGAATAATGCAGAGAGCAGTTATGCGGGAAGTACTGCTGTGAGTACGGTGCCGTCGAGCAGTCCGACGGTATTTACGGAGGGGTCGCGGATATCTGGCGAAGGTTGGAATCGAAAACGATATCAACGGGAGGATGAGGCGCTTTGGGGATTTGATATCCAGGGATCGAGTCAGAAAATAAAGGATGCAATTGCGAAAGCAGGTTCGTCGGCAAGAGACACTGCGGGCCGTCTTCTGGAGACCCGATTGAGCAGGAGTGCCCCAATAAAAGAGGAGTCCCCAGGGCCTTATTATTTGCAGGCCAAGAATCCACCGGTGAATGATTTACATCCACCTGTGGTCAGCACACAACCTTCCAGTCGGCATGAAACAAGATGGATGCTTCAACCACCACCCTCGGCGAAAGTGATGGAGGGCAAAGTCAGGGTGAACAGAAGTCGGGCCGGCAGCAATACAAGCAGCCAAAGGAACACACTCGGCCGACAAGCGACTGGACGGCTTATGGAAGAAAGAATGCAAAATGAATCGACCCCTTCACGGACGGATTCGAGGTCTAAATCATTCATGGAGGAACGTTTACAAAACGAGTTGACCCCTTCACGGGCAGAATCGAGATCTAAATCCTCTAGATCAAGTCGGCTAAGAGCACAACGTCGAGAACGAAGCCAGTCGCCTTACTCATCTGATGATTCGATTGATGTCCCAAGGAGGAAGAGGAAGCCGCTGCCTCTTACCATTAACAGCCTAGGAAGCTCATCTCGAGACACAATCGAGCAAACTTCTGTACCTTTGAAATCCTCTCGTCCTTCGACGGGAACATCCGAGATGAGGGAACGGTCGTCGAGGCCTTTTCTGAGCACAATTGTGAGCTCTTCGGCCAATGTCCCCACCATAAACGGTATTGATCCTAAACCACTACATGAACTCTCCACGCGGGGAACAAATAGTGCCTTAAATTCCAAAGACCCATCACCATCTTGCCAGCTTTCACCAAACGAGAATTCCACGCCGGCATCGATACAAGACATAGATTTGAAAAAGCTAGAGCTTACTGTACCACAACTTGCACACATACAAAATTCAGATTAGGATACTTTCTTTCTTTCTTTGTTTCTTCGTTACCTATTTAGGGTCGGAGCATTGGGCCGGGTGTCCAAAACACAATCATTTGTATTATTTCATATGTCTTTTCAAATTCAGTCGTTTTGAATTTGGGCATGGGGTCAAGCATGCGTGGAGTTGGGTGTTGCATTTTGGGAACAAAGACTGCATTCATGCATTTCGGTGGGCTTCTGATAATGCATTTGCATCTGGATACTGGGCAGGAGGCATAAGACCTTAAATAAAAAGAAGTTATATAAATGCTCCTTGTGCAGGCCTATTCTGAATAGATATTGCTAGTAAACATTGGCTACCCACTCACAGCCTACAGGGCTCTTTTGTACATTTTACAATAAACCGCCTCAAATTCTTACCTTCATAAATATACACTCATAGCAATCTCATGATCGAATATTCATAGATGCATACCCTCCTCATCATCATCCTCTTCCAACCCTCTCATTCTCTCTTCCATAGCTCTACTCAACGCCTCATCATCTAGCCTTCCACCAGTACCATTTACATTCGCAGTCCCGTTAGCAGTAGCAGTCCCATTACCCACCACTTCAGCCCCAGTATTCCCATCCATTCTAATCTCCCCATTAACAATCCGTCCCGTCTGAAACGTCCCATCCGCCCACGCACTGCTCCTCTCTTCCCCCTCCCCCATCCCAGTTCCAGTTCCAGTTCCAGTTCCATTAACCAGCCTCTCCTCATCACTCCCACCATCCCTCGCCAACGCCTCCGCGACCTCCTCCTGACTCCTAAACTCCAACCAACTGCTCCCCCGCCCCTCTACCTCCACTCTCAGCAATCGAATCCTATCTGTCATGCGTGTGATCACTACTTCGTTTTCTCGAATGGCATCTACGCAATCCTGGTCCGGAGGCTCGCTCTCTGCGAACGGTTTTAGTTGTTCGTTCGAGTAGTCGAGGTGTGCGATGCTGTTGCGGAGTTCGGCGGCTTTGAGGTGTAGGGTTGAGAGGGGGAGGTCTTTTAGGGCGGAAGCGAAACGGGATGGGGATATTGGGGGGCTTGCTGATGACATTTTTGGAT